TATGACCTCCGAGTGTAGCATTATGTCTGCATTTGGTTTATAAAATTGGGTTGTGGACAGAATAATATTGAAAAGAAAATCAATATAGATGTTACTTGATAGATAGATAAATAAATAAATTGTTTGTTTGATAGGTTTTGCCATAAGTACGCCGCATTGGTGGTATTTTGCGCTCTAGCTTGGGGTGGGGTGTTTTTCAGATTGACATTTGTCATTGACAGATGGAAATAGTCTTAAGACGACGGGCAATTCAGCTTTAAGAACATCAGCATTCATAACAGCTAATTACTGGATATCAATTCGTCAAGAATGAAAAGAAGAAAAACGAGAGAAATTTGTGGTTCTGTATCTCAGAGGGCCTGCCACTTGTCTTAATCAATGAATCAAATTTGTAGTATAAAAATAGACGCGCTGCGGAAAACGTCGGGGAGTGACCGAAGAAGGGAATGATGGACAGAGAGGAAAAGGAGAAGAAAAAAGGACTGAAGAAAGTTAAGACAGAAGGGAAAAAGTTTCGAAGTTTAAGCGAACAAAACGAGGCCCTTGTTGGACCTTTGACGCAGCCGATGCGGATACAGTAAAGCGGCCGATACAGTTCTTCCCAGATAACACCGGTCCGAGCGAAATGAATCCGACGCTCGTAGAAATAAACTGTGGCCATTAAAAGCCTGAACCGGTGGCTAGTCCGACCCCAGTCTGTATGAAAGCTTTGAACGAAAAGAGACTTTCGGACTTAACACACTGAGCTTAAGGGCCATTACCGAAGTACAAAACTGTGAATGAAGCATATAATAGAATTACCATCTTGCATCATTGACTGAGACAAGTGTAGCCTTTTTTATAAATGAATATTTTAATCGATATGTAAATGTGTTACTGAGAGAAAATGTAGTAGCTCCCGCTAGACCTAGTTCTAGTACAGGAATTGTCGTCAGAAGCCCTTGAAATAACTAAAACCTCCCGACATGCCTCGCGGTACTGATCCCTGACCCTTAAAATCTGAGCCTTTAAAAGTCTGCGGCGCTCCGAAAGTCCACAACAACAATGGGCCGCAGGAAACAGAGAAGGCCCCGGAAGGTAGCCGAGGAAGATTCGGAAGGTAGGCATCTGAGGGACGTGTTCGACTTGTGAAACGCTGTCCTAAAACAGAGAAAATACCGCCCTAATATCGGTTTGCCTGTTTAGGGTTAGGGTACGTCCGCCATTTTTCCAGGGCAAATAAATATTATTTGACGTTACGTGACACTTGCCGCAAATGCGCATTTTCGTTTGAAAGCTTAGAGGTTGATCATTTAATGTTTTCAATCAAAGTTTTCAAATGCGTAGGATGACAACTTTTGAGTGACTCTGCGGGCGATTCTTCAAGTACACACAAGCGTACAGATGTAAACAAACCCTTGTGGTAACAACATTGTAGTTTTCACGGTACACTACACAAGGCCACATTCATGTCATGGGTCAAGTTAATCTTTATATAAAGCGAGGTGCGAGACATGAGGTTCCTACAGGGTTGTCAACAAGTTCGCACAGTTTAACACATACCCTTTCGAGTGTACATTTAACGTTAAGGCCATTTGAATGTGGGTTACGTTTTCCACATTTGAATTGTTTTGAAGTTCAGTCTGGGCTGTTCCATTTCTGAAAGGGGCGGCAGGATAGAACACACACTCTGACTCTGTAATATTAATACATAGTTACAGAGTCTTAATGGGAAAGTTAAAACGAAAAGTAAATCTGATGTATATTAATCGGGTCAATGTATAGTAATTTAAGTAAATAAATATACTATATAAAATAGCCTCCCCCAGGAATGTACAGATATAGACTGGTCCTTTAAATTAAATAAATACACTGGATAAGGGACCCTGGATATTGGCTGCCTTTGACACTTTACAGTATAACTCAAGATTATATAGACAAATTCTATGTGACTCTTTTGATGTCCCATTACACTTCATTATATGAAAAATGTAACTGTTAGAAATATCACACCCATTCTAGTGATCAAGCCCTGAAGCAAACCAAAGAGTCATTTTCATATTTAAGATAGATCTCATTTTAATCTGGAGGTACTATTCTGAGACCAATGACCTTGCCCATGTCCAGCAGAAGAAATGTGGATTTGCTATGATGTGTTAACACTGGTGACGGATAGCCAGTTTTCCTCCTACAGAACCAGCTGGTGGGTCTTTAACAGGTGGGTATTCATTACTTGGGATGACATCATGACAATATGTAGGGGTGCCACCATCCCTTGTTTTGTTAATCATCTATAATGATTAGCTACATCATCAAAATTTCATCTGTCATATTGGTTACTCTTGTCTGTCATTATAACACATATTAATTACATCCCTAAACATGTTTGCTTGTATTGCTGTTTCGACAAATTTGCAAACACATGTGTTTCTGTTTTCCAGGAGAGAAAACAGTCAGCTTACAAAGATACAAGAGGACAGAAGATCACAAATGACAATACACCACAGGACTCCCAGGGACTTGTCACACAGTACACATCCTACAGATGAGGGTCTTTCAAATTCCCTGCTGGAGAAAAACACTGGAAGACATCAAGAGCTGGTCAGGAAGATCTATTTGATAAAACAGCATGTATTTCTGGACGATGTTCAGTTCAAGGCACCTTTAGGGGGACACTTCACGTGATCTACAAGATGAAGGGCGAAGGTATTCAGAACAGGATTGAAATGGCATGGGACCTTGTGTTTCCGAGACTAACTTTGAGGACAGTGGTGGAAAAGGCCTACTGTGAGAGGAAAACTGTACGAAGCACCTGGTTCTAGTCACACCAGTGCCCAAAGGCCTGTGAAAGTGTGTGTGTAACAAGACCTCACTGTGTCACTGTGTATCAGGAGTACAAAAAAACAGTTAAAGGCATTTCAGCACTCTGGAGAGAGACAATATGAAGATGTTTAACAGCCAACTGCAGACGCACAAGTCAACACTGACCATCTCTAGGGATTGTAATGTACAACAGCAGCAGATTATCCCACATAAACATTGCTGGAAAATACAGATCATGGCGATACATTTGTGTATAAAAATATATATATGTATAACTGATAATGCAAGGTAAAAACCTTATTGCTTCATATTACATTTATTGCACTTTCTTGTCCTTTTTTTAATATGTCGGTTCAACTATATGTACTGCTGGGAGGGGGGGTAAGAAATTCATGTTTATTAGAAACCTTTTGAATCAAACATACATGTACATGTAGCCTCTTCTGCAGTGCCATTAGATCTATCTGACAACATTGTAACAAAAAGGATGCCAATGATTATATGATAAAGTGTACATTTTGGGTGTGTCTCTGATTGCATATTGAACAGTAAACCTTTAGATGGGACAGCAACAATGTTGCACGATAAACTTGCATCCATCTTAAATGCGGGTCTCTGGTCATAACAGGTACAACACGCGATATGGTAATGGGAAAATGGCCGAAAGTGGGGTCAATGCCCGCGTAAAAACGGTCAATGGCCATTTCTTGAAGAATATTAAGGAACACCCACACCACACACAAAAACAACTTTGTTTGCCACACACAGATTGAACATTACAATGAAGTCATGGAATGATTTCAGTAATAACAGACCCTTTTGACATGACTCGGTCATGTGTAGGTAAATGTAATGACCCCATTTGAGCTTTTAACTCAATAATTGGCAGTCTCCACCTAAAAATCACACAGTTAACCTAACTAACAATCACTTAGCAACATTCATTTTGTGTTCATTGCAGAAAAACTGCTCAATTGTAAACTGACAAGCAAAGTTGGATCTTCTTACTTTACCCACAACTTAGGTCCTTTCCACAACTGCTTGACTGCGTTCATTTGCATAAAATGTCACGATTACAGTCCGAGCGCGGGACTCACTGAGCATGTGCAAGATTTTGCGATCGCTATTAGTCATCTACAGTCAGTAACAGATTTTTTATGAGGCTACTGTAGAATTCAGAGTCTAAATAAATTGCTTAAAAAAAAATATAAGAAATTTTGTTATTTTACCCAGTACACGTACGTACAGTAAAACGTTACGGTATCATATTTGACAGTCAGAACATATGGTATTACCAACTACATTCTATACAACTACATTCTTTTTGAGTGTGATGCTACATGTACAGTACAGCGAACTTCCTCCATGGCTGCTGGTATATTTTCCCCCACACCCATTGCGTGTCTCCTTAAACCAGACTGACCTTTACGCCCTGTCCTCCATGTCAGCACCTTTATCCCATCATTCAATTTGTTTATTCACTCACAAAACAATTAGTTCCACAAGCCAGCAGACAGATTCATAACCGCCGCCATTACTGTGCTCGACAACCTTTAACAACTATGGCGTACACCTCGGATGTGAAGTGAGCTTCGCAACTCCGGAAACCGCTCTTACTTAGACGATTACTGCCGCATCTTCAAAGACGTCTCCCGCATTGACTGGCCTTAGCCCTGGCTTTACCTGAGGTTTCTTAGTTCTGACCTTAAAATGGAGCTAGAATGTCATGTGTGAGCTTAGAAGAACATCAATCTTTTCTGAGATTCCTACCCTTCTGCGGGATTTGTCGATGTAAATTCAATGTTCTTAGAGTAATAATGAGGAGGACTGAATAATGAGGTAGTCATACCTTGTAGATCAGTCTCCAAGCAGAATGTTCCAGCTTAATTTCATTCATTCTTTGATAAGTCAGGTTTGACTAGTTACCTCACTACAGAAAGGGGGCTGCATGCCCTTTTTTTGTAGAGTGTAATCGGCCGTTTTAATTCTACGTAGAGGGTAGATGGATCACTTTAATTCAACGTAGAGCGTAATTGGTGCATCACACAATTATTTATAGGCTTATACGTTCCTGGATGTGGATCAAATCAGTGTTCAAACTTCAGGCTTACCAATAAAATAGGGAAAAAAAACACATCCACCACTTTTCTGTTATGGGTGAGGCACTGCAGTTCATTTTGTTCAAACCAGATAAGCTTAATTGGTGAGCTGGGTGGTAACATCTAACAAAGCTGACAAGTTATCTCTGAGTCACTAATCCATGATGATCTCAACAGATTATCCAGTCTGTATACAAAGAAAGATCCCATCCAATTGTCATCATTTCCCACATAACTAACACGAATTAAAAGAATGAAAACTTTTACATGTTTTCAGTATCATTTCCTCAAATTGACATATCTTTATCAAAATACTTATCATCATAAGGATCTATCTTTGTTGTGGAATTCATGGTTTGATTTGATTTTATTTAATTTGATTTATTGGAATTGCAAACAATACAATACTCGTGGGCCACAGGCAGCAGGGGGCTGGTGTTGTGGCCCCCACACAAAACAATTGCATACACACAGACAAGACACACATTTAAACCAAAACAATATAAGTACATAAAAATTACAATCTAAAATCAACATAGATTAGAATATATCAATCTAATATCTATCAGTCCAGTTCATGCGAATTCATATGCCTGTTATCTGCTGCGTTTATAATAAGTGCAAAAGCAGAGATCACTCAATCTTGCAATGGTATTCAAACTCCAATCACTATTATTAAATTCTTTTGACATTTTGTCGTATTACAATTATTATATCATTATTTATTGCTAAGGCAAGGGCCCAACTAAAGCAGACCATGACAGTCTGTTTAGACCTTTTCTAGCTACCTCCTGTTAGCAAACTAAGCAACAAGGTAACTGTTGACATTTGGAAACCTTCATGTCCTTTTCAAAGTACCCACCAGAACCACTGACAACTGCAGGACTGAACATCCCTCTTCCATCCTTTACATAGTCAACTGTTACAGTATCATGTACTAATGTATATAATGTATAATATACATCTATTATATTGAATACATGGAAGTACAAAAAGTCCTGGGGTCACAGTTCAGAGTATTAACAGCTCTGGGAGAATAGAAAATACTTTTTGGTGACGTACATTTGTACGCAAGTGTGGGGGAATCTGTTGACGGTCTCGAGAGGGAATCGCGTCACAAACATCCGCAGCAATCATCACACCTTAAGATTTGCGTCATAGGTCAAGGTAAGTCATGAAGGACTCATGTCCAGAACATGTCCACCCTCTCCACAATGGCTACCCCTACCACAACTAAATAGATACCTGAAATAATGAGAGGGCGATTATGGGGCCACTTAAGTCAGTTAATGTGGCGTCCAAATTACATAGTGTGTGGCGGGATTGTTCTTAAGCGGGTAAAAAATAAGTGTCATTAATCTGTCTGTGCTAGAAAAAGCTCTTGTTTTTCTTTTTCTACAAGAAAACAGAGATTCTTTATTGGAGGAAAAACCTCCTGGGCTTCATTAAAACCCCACTAGTAAGTGATGACCCTTGTTATTAGCTACATGTATATACTGAAAAGTTCTCTTGGTGGTGTACTTATTGTAAAGATTGCTTAACATTTGAAACATGCTTGGCATTTGAAAATTGAGATGAACTTTTTACCGGCATCTGAAGTCAACCCCTGAGAACAGAATCAAAGCTGTTTTTAAGAGTGATTTATGAGTGACTCTCTCTCCTCCCACCCAAGTTAAGCTGTGCCCACCACACCTCAGGTTTGAGAGCTCCAGGTGTGACGAGTGCATGCACACAGACAAAGCCTGCCTCTATGATAAGGGTTAGGTTCACACCCTTTCAAAGGTCATGTCTGCTCAGCGATGATTTCACTTGTCTAGTCAAGAGGAAATTCCACCTTTGTGTCTCTTGGTGAGAATGCACTCAGTTAGCGTCGGGCCTGATCAGATCTTCTCACCGTTACCCGTCACACCATGTTAGATTTGATGGAAAAAGGATTTTGGCTGAATTCAATGACAGATCCAATGGATATCTTAGAAGTGTCCTTGCCGTAGTATTTACATGTATATCTACTTGCACACCCTAAGGCCCTTTTCCTCCCACTTTTTCAACAAATTTCAGTCAGTGTTATGGATATACATGTAAGGTTCCTGATAGTATGTTGTTTTGCTTTTTGAATCCATTGACATATACCTGAATGAAAAAAAAAAAGCAGGAAAACTACAAATGGTAATTAAAGGATTAGGGCAAACTTAGAAACTTTTTTGTAGCAAAGATTTACAGTTGTGCTCTTTATGGGGAAACTCAGATGAGGGTACATCCACCGCGGATATTGGCAACTACGACATGATTTTGCTCAGCCCATTTGATACAGTAGATCCTCCGTTGGATCAGATCCAAGATCGAAAAGCCGGCAGTACTTTTCCCACATCAAAGAAAAGTCTTTGGGAAAGAAAAAGCTTCCTACAGCATTTTTGCTACCTAAGACAGTAATCATTAAATATAGAAAGGGCACATTATCATTGCCTGGGCAACCCATGGATATGAATATGAAGTTCAAAGCTTGTGATCATTTTGCTTCGTGCCACTAAATGCAAATTAAGGTAGTTCAGAGGTAGCCGGCCAATTATAGCATGCACACACGTTTATGTGGCCCACTTAATTTCAAGGCCTATTGTGGCCATTAGAGAGACAATTGTCGTCATTGGCCACCAGACAGGAAAGAGGTGTAGTCACCTGGCCACAACGAAGAAGACACCCATCCTGTACGGCAGGTATAAGTCATGACCAACCAGCAGGCTCGCCCTCTCACACTTACTCACCGCTAACCGAACAGCCGAGCCATTCCAACCGTTCGCAGCGATATCCAGTCAAAAGTAGGTCCCATGTTTCTTTCTCACAGGAGATGATCGTGTATACTAGTGCACATTCTGGAAAAAATAGGGTTTTGCCGCGGCGTAAATCAGCCATGTTGACATTTATCGTTCACGGCGAAGCCTGCGTGTAGTACCGAAGGGCGGTTACACTGGCTATGTACAATGTAGTTACAGATGCCTCGCTAAAAGGTGTTAAAATTTTCCATTTACTTTGTGGAGTATGTCTCTCAAAAACTGATTCCCTCTGAGTCAAATTACTGAAAGATCCAAGTAGCGCTTAACCCTGTGAAAACGGAATTTGAGGAGTACAGCGCCATGTCGTGTTTGTCTACCCAGAGAAATGGCGCACTAACCGTCTTATGCTTGCATTTTACGAGTTGGGCCACTGCACGCACCTGAAATATGGTGTCGAAAATGAATAACACAAAGTCGTTCTACACCTTTACGTCTTTGCTTTGCGCTCTATTTATGTTTAATATGTTCGAAGACATTTAGTTTTAAGTTCAATATGTTATCAGCGATACAATCGTTAATGTGAGACCGCCGCTGTCGCTAGGTTTTCTGCCCAAGTACAGACAGGTTATGCATCCTCCCAATCGTCATTTTGCCAAATGCTGCTAAACCTTAACAAACTGCTTTGTGACTATTCAACTTGATATTGGAGTTTGCTCGAACCTTAAGCAATCTTCAAGCTGAGTTGTGTAACATATAACAAGTACATCCCAACAGCAAATACGTATAAATATGTCTGAAGGCACAGTTTGTGTCACATAATCTTAAAGCTTCATGAGGTTTTCTGTTCCAAATCAACAGAAATCACCATAGTTAGTAACTACATCAAACAGAAGTATCAGATCCTTCACTTCAGGCATTTCAAAATCATTGATTGTCCTGAACATTTCTCTGATTACAAGAAAAAAGAATTGAAAGTATGTATCATGATTGCAAAATTAAGTGATACACCTTCATCTCTGCATACTGCCATACTGAAAAAGGCCCAGCAAACGACCCATTCTTCCCACCATTGCCAAATACATGTAAGTCAGGCAGCAGCAACCATACAAAAGTTATGTACATCACAACATGTCAGATAACTTTCAAATTTCCCATGCAACGTCTTGTTACTATTTATTTAGTAGCATATCTAAAGCCTGGTATTTTGAAAGATATGACATTGTTGTGGTATTGTTGTGGCTGTTTGGTGCAAACTAGCAGTTACTGCGACAACCTGAGTCAGGTTGTCGCAGTAACTGCTAGTTTGCACCAAACAGCCACACAGTGAGGCTAGTGTTCAGGGACACTCTACTATATTTTCAAACCTGTCAGGAGTAAGGTCAGTACAAGTAATTCTAAGAAGGCTATGATTGCAACAAAGGTCAGTCATTATATAATGATAACAATCACACGAACGCTAAATTTTTGCTGTTCCCAAACTTCAAACAGCTTTTTCTCTCTTTCTCCACAAATTTGCAGTACTTCTGTTGCTATAATTCATATCTGGAAAATGTACTACAGAGTCTACAGAAAGAGTTGTTGCGATATTGGAGCACTGGTTTCTTCAGTACTGCCACTAATTTTAGCCGGCCCGGACAACAACCTTTCTCAATCAATCACAGTCTACCAGATCACAGGCATTACCACACAGTAGTACATAGTCAAAGAAGTTAAACTGGTGACTGTACAAAGGGCTCTCAGGCGATCAGAAATGACATGAAATAAAATCTTTAAAAACAGTAAGATCGGATCGACAACAAAGGCTGGTCGAAAATTAGTCTTTTGTGTGTTTTGTCCATGCGGCAAATTAATTACCAGCCTGGAAAGAAAAGAAGCTACACAGGTCAACACTGCCTAGAGCAGAAGTGCCAGGGGCAACTTGTGAAGCCATCTAGCCTAGACTTGTCTAGTCCAGTCCTGACTGCACCAGCTGAAATACTTCAAAGCCACCAGAAACAGTGTGCATTGGTGTATGAAGTAAGAATTGTTCACTACAAAACTGAGCCCATATTCACTGGTAAGTTCATTGCTGATACCATTATTAAATCATACTGATTATAGTATCAGTAAAATTGATAACGACAGTGTTTGGATGTGGGGAGCATTGCAATGCCAAGGTCTGTAACATTTGAAGTCAGGTTATAAATTGATTGTTCAACACCATCAAAATGAACTGTTTTTATAATGTGACAGGTTCACAAAAGTTTGTAGAAGACATGTGATGTCACTATTTTTTCAGGTCATACTTTCCAATCCTACCCCTACGGTGACTTAGATTAACCCCACTCAACCCTAACCTGTAACTAAAACAAACTGCAAGGAGGTTATCTATCTCTTCCTACTTGCTAAGTTATTTGGTACAAGATATTCAATAGTCACTACTACATTTATATACTCTTGGTATACTTCTAAGGGTTCTTTCTTACCATACTGAAATACATGTAGCTTTTTCAGTTGGTCTTTTATGCCATAACCTGCACCTTACCTGAGTATCATGTCTTATTGTGGACAATCTAACAGCAGATAATTGCTTAATATTCAAGGCGCTGTTGAAACTAGATCAACTTTTGCTTTAAAAAAATGAAACTAAGGGATAAATCCTCACAAGATTGTAAAAACAGTGTCATATCAAAGTGTGATAACTTAAAGAGAATCTTACAGCTAAGCCAATTGCAAGAAGGACCTCCTTCATATCAGGATTTGTTGCTAAACTCTTTAGCAGGGTTTTAGCTGGATTTGTTTAGCCTGCATGGTATGAACACAAATATCCTACTCTGTAAGGATGTTAGCCAAGTTTGCCAAATCCTCTTGATATGTGAAGCCTTGTTACTTGTTACTTTTCACTGCTACAGCTGTCACAGCAGACATGATTTCAGACTGTTTGACAATGTTGTATTTTTATTGTTAAATTACTATGTTTAAAAGATACTTAAAGCTTCAGGTATTTGTGGATGATTGGATTTGTTTGTCATTCAATTAAAAGTAATGACTCTGATTGTTCTGTAAATGGACTAAATGGTTTTTCACATGTCTAAGTAATCACATATCAATGCATGTGTAATCTTTTCCATTGCAAATTAGGCTTAATTGAAAAGCTGATTCAGGTCTTCCTATCCTGTCGATACAAGCGAGCATACTCTGGCGCGAAAAAGATCGACAAATCGGCGTGGAACAAAAATAGTGTGCAGTGCCCTGGAATAACCCTCCCACCTGATTGTTCCCTATGCACATGCGCACGAGCAGGCTGTTGGCATGCCTTGAACACCAGGCATGCTATAGGTGTGCCACAGGGGAATTCTTCCATTGTCAATCTGTCATACCACTGACTCTTCTGCCTCAAGAAAGCAGGGTCATGTTTCTGGGTTTAGGGCTATACCATTCTCAACTTGACAGCGCTAACCTATGCTGTATACTGCCTTCTGTAACAATTTACCCCAATTACGATCATAATTGTTTTACAATGTAGTTCAGTTTACCTTTAAGCTTGTGAAGTTATTGCCAACCTGGTTTTGTTGATTTATGTCATCCTGTATCTGCTCCTAAAATGCTGATTTCTAGCCCCTTCCTATATAAAATAATTACTTCATTATAAAATGGACTACTCCAAGAACATTTGATAACGTGGTTACCAGAATATTAGGAGCATTATAATAACCGGTCGTACGTACTCTGACCTTCTCCTCCACATTCTGACACTTTTACTACACATTGTTAGTATCTGAGGGCCGTTCAGGGGCAATAAAATTGTCAGTGGTTAACATAAACATAGCAGAGCTTTTGTTCAAAGAAGGTAGCGGATATAACTATAACTATAACTCATCTTGTGAACTCAGATACAATGTGGTTGTGTCTAGTCAAAGGTGTGTTGCTTAGCTACCTGTGTAACCTTAGCAGGTCAATTCATTGCTAGTAGTGTTTTTTACTCATTTTCTGTTCATGTAACGTAGTCCAGATACAGTCTGGTAACTTTGTATTTGCTCAATATTGTCACCAACTCTTTTTCTTTCAGTCTATATGAGAAATATTCAGGAAACAGTCCAAATACAGAATGTTTTAGTGGCATCGATGTCCTGTCATGTAGAAGCTCGTAAAAATACCCTCTCACAATGGCAGCTATGACTGTATTCACAAACCCAGACATAGGCAATAAATCAGGCCCAAACTGCTCCTGCAGACAATGTGAGACATTTCCCTAGCCTCTCCTTTACTGCTGCTCAGAACTGTGAGGACATTTTTATGTGTGCTTCACTTTGTAATGTTTGGAAAGAATGTCTATCACAGTGTAGAATGTTTGACCTCCACCAAGGATGCATTCACATCTAATATTTTATGAGTCAGCTTAACTTTTGTGGGTCACCCATTTTTGTTTTCTGAACCTGTGATAGACATCAGCTTGTAGATAAAATCATACCACCCCTACCCATTTGTAGGGTCTGCACTCTGCCAGATGTGGCCCAGTGAGTTTTTGTCACACAATCAGTCAGGCCCAAAGGGCACTGACGTTAAAGACTTCATATGACGCAGTACAGGGTGAACTTTCCGATTGTTCATGAAACCTTACGACAAATTATCTTCCGCTGCCCCGACTGGGGTGGACGATCAAATCTTCAATCATATCGTCACAGAACAGACAACATCAATTAGTTGCCTTATCACGTCACTTTCTTATCTCAAGTGTCCTTCACCTGACATTCTCAACAAAGACAAAGAGCAAAGGTCTTTCGGACCAATGGATGTATTCAATCTGTCATTCTCCTGACGTAAATTGATTGTATCTGTCAAGTCTAAGAACATCACTTTGTAAACAAGTGAACAGAACACAGACCACTCTTGTTGATGGTAGTTTATATTTGTAAGTGTAAATCTGAATGTGATAAACAGTTTAACTTTTCAGCTTGTTTTTGATGAGTAGAAGTAAGTTACCAGCATACTATGTACTTAGTCTATGTTTTTGGTTCTCGGTCAATGAATTAGTAATGGACATGATAACAAAGTTGTCTGAATTCTGTCCCACCACAGGTGAGTCACAGTCAGTTGATCCAGCCAGAAGTCCGCAGACAAGCACAGGAAGAAACACACGGCAGACAAAGAGGGGAAGAATCTCAGGAAGGGAGGGTCGCCACTCCACCCAACTTTCCATACAGGAAGCACCCACGCACATCAAAGGAAAAGTACCTGAACAATTTCTGTCAGATACAAACAATGCGCCCGACGACTGTCTAGAGAGTAGTACGATAGCTGATTCAGAAGAAAACAGTGAAGAGAAGATGTATGCGTACTTCGGAGGCGTGGTGTACCCGGCAGCCTGGAATGCTCACTGGCCGCCGGGCCAGGTGGGTAGGAGGGTCCCTGTGGGACAGGATGTGAGAGTGAAGCAGGAGCCGAGAAGAAGAGACGACTGGAAGTATGGACAGTACACAGCACATATCAGCAGCTACCCCATCCCTGCAGCAAACATGGTGAGAGACATGCCGAGACTCCCGCATAACACGTCCCTGCCAGGAGGGGTGAGCGTCATGGCCTGCCAAGCAGAACCACCGACAACAACAGATCCCCCAAGGCCATGGTCGTTAGCACTAACAGCAACAGCAAACCGGATGGCGCTTCATGACTCTAACCCAAACTCACAACAAACCAACAGAGTTTCCTTGGGTTGGGGTTTCCCCTCGAATCTCCCTCATGCGGCAATGTACATGTACAGAAACAACCTGACACGCACGAGACCTGCCTCTGAGGGACATAAGGAAAGTGCCACACACAGGGTTTCACCGTTGAGAATAGAGGAGGTCACTGATGACAAACAGAACAGTCATGCATCAGATAATGGCCAGAGAAGCTGTTCTAACAGTGCATCCCCAGTGACAAAGTGTAAGGACAGTTCAACAGCTGTAGTGACTATTCCACCCTTTGCTAGAGCTGTTCAATTTCAGCATGTTCCCATAAAAGAAGAGACAGTGCACACATGCCATGAGGATGCAATTGAGGAGACACCTCTAGACTTGAGCCAGTCCTCTTCTCTGAAGGTATCCCAAAACATTGAGATAGGAGATGGAAGCAAGACGACTGGAGCAGAAACAGAACTGGCAAGCCTGATGAGCCAACACGTCTTTTCCCCAAAGATGCACACGAAGTATTCCTACCATGAGACAGGTGACGGCGAAAAGGTCTTCAACTGCCCAGAGTGCAATAAGGTGATCAAAAATCACGTCGCCCGCCACTTAAAGACCCACACAGGAGAGAAGAAGTACCGTTGCCGCCTGTGTCCGTACTCCACGGCCAGAAAAGACAACCTCCAGCAGCACATGGCCACGAGGTACCACCGGGAGGTTTTGGGGGATAGTCCGACATCCTACTCCAACATGTTAAAGAAGTATTCATACCTGATGAACACGGCTGACAGAAGAGACTGGGAAGAGACTGCAGAGGAAGCAGGAGGTAACAGCGACATGAGTAGGACTTACCCAGCAGAACAAGCGGCAATGGAAGTGGAACTGCAATCAGAAGAAACAGGAAAAGAAGAAAGACAATCACGAAATGAACAAGAAACGAAGCCAGAGGACCAGGCAGTTTCAGACAATCTTATGCTTTCCGGCTCAGAAGCAAGCAGTGGAACAACAGACGCAAGGGTCGGCACACTTCAGCAGCTGAGAAAGTTCCTGATGGGTCATTCCAGCACATTCAAGACAGAAGAGGGCAGTGGACATCAGACAGAAGAAGAGAAGACAGGCAATCCTATGCAGACTCATAAAGTTGATGCCAAAGATGCTGCAGAGGGACCAGCCAACGAGGAGCCAAGAACACTGACCGTCAACAACGTCACAAACTTTTCTTCTCTCAACTTCCCAAACTTCACAATGGAGACCTCAGACACGTCCAGCACGGGGAGCCGAGAGGACGGCTCTTCCAGCACTTCTGAGGAGACCACCGAGTTCCTTAAAGCCGCAGAAGTCTTTGCTCTGTGCAAGTCTGAGGAGGGAGGGCTGCCTGTCTTCAGGTGTACCCTGTGCAACAAAAGCTTCCCTCGCAAGCAGAGCTGGAACCGTCACATGAAGCTGCACGTGGGCAACAGGAAGTACAAATGCGAGCTCTGCTCTTACAGTGCAAAGGCCAAGAGGACACTGGAGCAACACATGGCAGTGCACAAGCTCAAACCATCCAACCCTATTGAACTCATGAAGTTCATCTCTCCAAAACAGGGGACTGCAGAGGCTGACCAGCTGCAGACAAGGCCAGCAAATATAGTGGACGTTGTTGAAGAGAACGGAACGAGTGCGAAACACTACCACTTCCAATGCCAGGTGTGCCAGTTTGTGTCCACCAGTAGCCTGAAGTTCAGCGGCCACATGCACCTGTACCACGAGAGAGAGCAGTGGAAGTTCCAGGTGCAATGCAACTTCTGCAAGTCCACATCCAAGACGGAAGATGACATGAAGCAACACCTCTTCAAAAGCCACGGAATCCGGCAGAAGCCACTGGACAGGTGAGTTATGTGTCATGCTGTATTAGAGGTCTATAGTCTGGGAATATCTTTACAACTCTGCAAAAATATTGATACTTCTTTACTCACTGACTCATTGGCTTCAAGTTGGTTATTGTCTGTTGTTCCCCATCTTATGATGATTAGATACCTTTCTGACAATAAAGCCCTTGAACAAAATGAAAGGAAGGATTACCGGCATCTCACGTAACTTGATTGACACTGGATGAAAGAGATGTTGTTGTTGTTTGTACCTCTAATGGGATACACTCATCTAACAAGAGACATTTCTCTCATTCTCACCAGGTTCATGTTGGCACAAGAAGTGATGAGTGATCCCGAGCAGTTCTCCTGCACGCTGTGCAACTTTGTCACAAAGATGAAGGCCAAGTTCGAGGCCCACCTCCTCGTCCACTACACAGCCAAGATGTACCAGTGCAAGAAGTGCCACAAGTACTTCAAGACGCCACAGGAGCTGAGCGAGCACCTGGCCACAATGCACGTGGACACGAGGCACAACTGCGACAAGTGCAGCTACGGCACCAACCTGGTGTCGGCGCTGAAGGCCCACATGCTCACCCACGGGAAGGAGGAGTTCAAGTGCCGCATCTGCCGCCACACCACCGACACCAAGCTGGGGCTGAAGATGCACGTGTCGCAGCAGCATCGCTACGGCAACCTGTACAGGTGCAACACCTGCGGCTACCTGGGCAAGACGGCCAACAAGCTGATCGACCACATCAGGACGCACACCAAGGAGAAGCCCTTCAGCTGCAAGCTGTGCAAGTACGCGTGCTCCAGGCAGGACAACCTGGCCATCCACATGAGGGTTCACAAGAAGGACACCGTGTACGACTGCCCCAAGTGCGACTTCCTCACCCTTTCTGTGGCAGAAATAGAGGCTCACCACAAGACGCACACTTGGAACAGAAGCGCCACAAAACTCGCTTTCAAACATGCAAGCTACGTGCACACTGACAAGAAAGAGCCTAAGGAAATCAAACATGTAAAGTATGTAGACACTGAGAAGAGGCCTAAGATGCATATAAACTATGTGGACACTGACAAGAAAGAGTCTAACATGCAGATAAACTATGTGGACACTCAAAAAAAAGAGCCTGTGGAAGTCAAACAGGTAAAGTATCTGGATGCTGACAAGAACAAGCCTACACAGGAAGACTCTGTGGACACTGTGGAGCTGAATATGCAGATAAACAATGTGGGCTCCGACAAGGAGCCTAATATGCAAATAGCACATGTGAACACTGACAAGAACAAGCCTACCCAGATAGACTATGTGGACACTGACAAGGAAGAGCCTGTGGAAATCAAACAGGTAAACTATTTGGACAATGACAAGAAAGAGCCTAATATGCAGACAAACCAAATGGAAACTGACTACGAAGACACTGACAAGAAAGACCCTATACAGATAGACTACGAATTCGAAGACACTGGCAGGAAAGAGCCTATACAGATAGACTATGAAGACACCGACAAGAAAGAGCCTATACAGATAGACTATGAAGACACCAACAAGAAAGAGCCTATACAGATAGACTACGAAGACACTGGCAGGAAAGAGCCTATACAGATAGACTATGAAGACACTAACGAGAAAGAGCATATACAAGTAGACTATGAAGACATTGACAAGAAAGAGCCTAATATGCAGATGGACCACATGGACACTGACAAAAAAGAGATGCTGATAGACTATGAAGACAGTGACAAGAAAGAGCCTGAGCTGCAGATCAAACATTCAAACCATGTGGACACTAACATGGACAGCACAGACACTGGTAGTGTGCAAACAGAGGAGGTGGAGACAGAAACTTCAGCTGCAACTGCACAACCTGAACAGAAGTTACCTTGCTGATCACATGCATAGTAGACATGTAGGTCTACTGGAGATGACATACAAATGGCCATTCCAAGAAGCTTTTATAGCATAAGGGAGAGACATAACCAAAGTTATTTTTGCCATGAAAAACAAGTGGGGCTATCCAAAGAATAGAAAAATCATTCCCCACAGTAGCATTGTTCTTCAGAAATGTAAGACAGCAGGGAAAAAAGGAATGTTTTGTCCCCTCAGGTTCTCAGATGGAATGGCCTTATAATTAGTAAGGATAACATCCAGGATGGCAATAACAGCTGCACCAAAATATGCAATCAGTATTCAATATACAGGAAGTTTAGGATTTATAGAATATAGATTTTATATGATCATGACTAGGTAGCCAAAATGTTGACCAAAATGTGGAAAGATGTAATTTGGTGGCAAGGTCTATATTGTTGCAAGGCAGCTATTTGTATGCTTGGGTGTTTGTGTGTGTGTGTGTGTGTGTGTGTGTCTGTCTGTCTGCCTGTGTGTTTGTAAATTGGATAAACAGTGGGAATGACAGTCACTTGAATACTTACTATTAAGTAAGTAGTAATTTACAGTATGGCACTTTCCACAAGGTTAGACTCAGAATTCAAGAGCTAAATGTACCAAAGGGTAGAAATACATTAACCACATTGGGGCAATGACCTCAGAACCATTCAACAGCAACGAGCAGCCATCTTAACAGTTACATCCATTGAGTCAAAAATCCTTTAATCAAGTGCAACTGTTATGTAAAATGATTTCATGGGGTGGCTCATCAATGTACTGAATGCTACCAAGTCTGTCAAAAAAACAGACTGTTAAAAAGAAATAACACACACTCAGACAGATTAAGCACTTTTAAGTGCTAAACAGAGCAAACTTCAAAACATCAAATTGAATCAAAAATGTTTGATCATTTTCCCAGTGACTGTTCCCAAAGAACAGAATCAGTTTCACGTGAGTTCACCCGTAATCTCTGCCCCTATGCTTTCTCATTACAATGGGCACTGCTGCTTACACATTGGCCAGCAGACAAGATCAAACGTGTGGGGTCACAGGTTGTCCTTTCAACTTTCTGACAGAACTTGTACAACAGGGAGCTATTGTTGTATCAGACGTCAATGCCCTTGTAAAAGAAAATTGCTCCTGGCCGTCGACCCCAGCGTTTCCACTTTATTACAGATAATAAAATAATTGTCAGCCTTCAAATTAACACCATTTAGGTTTACTGACCTGTCCTCCTAGTTGCATGTCTGTTCCTTGCCTTCATTTGAAAAGAGTCTTTTTTACGATGAACAAATCATGTCCAGTGAACCAAACAATGGTGTGTTTTGTGTGTGAGAGATGTTACAAGTCCATGTTAGGCTTGCTTTTCTTGGGGTCCTAAATAAGACCCGGATGTAATAGGAAAATCTGCTACACTGTGAATTGTGGATGTCAAGTCAAGTTACTGAATCAGATGTATTCTAGCAGAGAAACCAAAGATGTACATAATTGTACCTGAGCAGATTTAAAATTTTTAACAATGTAGATTTATTTAATACAAAAATATAAAATTGGTACTAGTTTTATAGTAAAACATTTACCAGCATTTTTTTTCTCTTTTTGATGCCAGTACTAGTTATCATTAGATTGAGTGTTTTATAACAGTAGGATCATGTCAAATTGTCAGAATTATATTGAATGATTCACAATAACCATAAAATTATGAAAAAAATCAAAATGCTATGTAAAATTTGCAACGTAAAAGTAAAACTTGCAACGTAAAAGTAGAATTGTGGAAGTGTTAAGGTCTCAGGATATAAAATCATTATCACATTGTAGTGTCAGGTTGAAAGTTCATCTTTGATTTTATCTTAAAAAGTTTGCTTTACAAAGTGGTGATGGTTAAACCCAATTAAATTTGATTATTTTCTACTATATATTGTGACTTTCAGAGAAAATTGTTGCATTAGAGCTTCCAGTCTGTAAATTTGGCTTGATCACATTTCAAAGTGTTTATGTTGCCCCTGTATAAATTCCTCACTATACAAGTCAATACTATGTTTTGCTTCTTCCCAAAACTTAACATCAAGTGTATTTTTCTAAAAGTCCGCTTTGGAGCAGAGAGGACAAAATTACACATTGAAAAGTGTAGCCATAGCATTTCCAGTAAATTGTTGCAAATCTCCTAAATTATAAGCCTTTGTTTATATCACTTAAAATGTTGCAGATTGTGGTGGAGGGAGATGTGTAATAATTGTTATTGACAAATGCATAGTTTTTATGATCTGGCAAGATACAATTGAACTAGGGTACTAAAGCCATATATTTTACTGGAATATTTTGTAGCTGCAAGTATGTTTGAAAGTATTGCAAATTTGCAATGTAGTATGCAATATAGTACAATGCAGCACCAAGTTTTTCTACACAGTCAAGTCAAACATCAGATTACTAGAATGTTCCCAACCAAAGACAAGTCAGATCTGTAGGAGAATTCTGTTCTGTTTTGTTCTAAGTTATATCATGTTGTGGTTCAGACTCTCAGAGTATTTATATCATGACCATTTTTTCACACAACCAAGACCACCACAGGTCAAAATGCGATGATATACATGTATAATGTACATATATGTACATGGGACAATGTCGTGAAAAGTTAGCAGAAGAGACCTTGGTGGCTTAAGTTGCTGTTTTGCTGTTCGGTTCTGTTCTACTAGAAAAGTGGTTAAAGGTAAACAGAGATACATTCCCCAGTTTAATTAGTGAGCCTACACAGTCTATCTGTGTATTCTCTAGTAGATTTGTTCACCAGATTTGTAAAGCACAAAATAACAGACAATCACCATGAATAAAGCAGTCTCTGTATCACTCTAAGTGTTTGTATTGGTGCAATTTGTGATCATCATGGTTGGACTTTGTTGTACCATTTAAATCAATACTGTGCTTTTAAAATGACACAATGTTAACATTCCAATATGGTGTTCAGTGCTTTTATTTTCTAAATAATAAAGCAGCAAAGTCTTGTAGAAGAACAATGACTACTGAGTCTCTCTCTGCCTCCATTGTTAACGTTTCGGTGACATTTAACATCTGATGCAGTTTATCATGAACAAAGTTCATCACTTTCATTAAGGGTCAGCTCGCATTGTCACGCTACGAATCTGAGCTAGAAAATCCCACGGGAACGTTGTGATATTATCAGGAACAGTTGTTAAAATTTTATGCACGTCAAAAGGTACAATCTTCTGCCACCTCTGACACCCTTTTCCCTTTGTTCCCTTAATGCAAATATTTGGGCACCTTGACATATGGATTATGCACTGACCCATACACAGAGTTAAGAAGAGCTCTTACCTGCTAGTCTGAATCATGTAAACATTTGTGGGTGGGGTGGGGGGCATTTTGAAAACTTTCCACAATATGGACGGGGGTGGGTGAGGGTATGAGTTTGGCTACCCAAAGGAAAACCAAAGACACTGAAACCCTCCTTAAATGTTATGGCCACTACATAATATCACTGAACCTTCGTAATGTCTCTATTCAAGTTTTTGAGGTTATACTTATAGGTGAGAAGAAAGTTTTGTACATTTTATACGCTCTGAATTTTTCCTGCTTGTTGTTATTCCATCGATGTTGTTACTTCTGTTCTGCCAACATCTGCAGGGCTTTGGCTACCTGGTCAGAAGTCATGTTGGACAGGGGAAGGTTCCGCTCTCTTCCAAACTCTACAGTTCAAATACAAAATCATTCATGTTAACATAACATGAAACAGTGTCAAAATATTCTATCAATGACAAAGGGAGTTTGGGACTCAGACTGCCTTTATATTATTATAATCAACTGCCTACTTTGGTATCTTTCTTTGAAACCAAAGTCTGAATTTACCTTTCTGCTGTAATATGAAGGGAAGTACAAAAGATGTACGGTACTTAGGTACATGCTATGTAAAACAAATTCTATAGGACATGTAGGGAGACATCACAGAAAGAAGAGAAAAAGGTCTGTTATCACTTATCATGCGGCTTTAGTACTAACAAAATGAAAAAAGTAACATCATTCAGAAGCAAAGAAGACTTTTAACACCTCAGCAGATCAAACAATAAAACTCAAGCTGTCTTATCAGTTATCTTTTTAGATATTGAATTATGGATTTTTAATTTCATAGAACAGTATTTTGAACAGACACTCACACTCACAGCTTAGCCTGGTTACCAAATCTATTATAGCTACCGAGTCCTACATCCTCTCCTATTTGTGGAAAGAATGTAGGACTCAGAAGCTATAATAGGTTTGGTAACCAGACTATAGAGTCCAACTACTAGTACTGTGACAGTAGGGGTATAAAACAGAAGTGTAGAATCTTACCGTATCTAGCCCAGACTTTTGGTTCCACCCCACTGCATTCTCTGATGAGGATGGGGAACTGTGGGTTCTGCTTCTTCAGGTCAACATAGTGGTTCTCAACAAAGTCCCTGGGTGGGAGGGGAGGGAAAAACAGACCAACAGCAGGATATTAGTAAATGGATATCAATTAAATCAATTCCTGAAAAATGAAGCAATGTCAGAAAAACAAGCTTGTACTAAGTTGTATGAATAATGTTCATTCAGTACAATGATTTTAAAAGTAGTATTAATAGTATTATAAGTAAAAAAAAATGTTCACTTTTCTACAAGCTCAAAAATTTCTCACTCCAAATAGCAAGATGCTGTTGCTATATCACTTCATTGGTTAGATCATCATCAATAATGTCTGGATAATATGTTGCGTGTGAAGATTTTGGGTGTTCCGCCATGTTGCCAGCCGTTTACCCCCCAGCTGCGGTAATAACTCTGAACTAATTAATAATAGGCACATGGTCCTGGAGGTGTGCATCAGATGACTCATGGCTAACGTGATTAACTCCAGTGTTTAAGTACGGCTGGGAGTTCAAATGAGCTGAAATGTTACTGTTAGTCATCCAATTACCGATTTAGCCAGTTAAAGCTCCTATGCTGTCTATTTTGCAGATAGGAGAAAATTTGTGCTGAAAAACTCTAGACTACCAGTTATATGTTGAGTACATCATATTTGATTTACATGTAGTCATTCGTGGTGTTTCCAAGTATTTGGGACCTTGAAACCAAGGTCCCAAGTTTATGGTAAGAGTCTGCTCATATAACTGCTTAGGTTATGGCCCGAGAAAATGATCATGTAATGACCAGGGAAATTGGTGGTTAAAGTAGTTTTCAAACCTAATTACAGAAAAGGGTACGTTAGGTACTTTCAATGCCATCTTCTAACATTAGCTACTATCAGTTTTCACCTGGGTAGCAACTATTGGAAAGAGAGCCAAAGATGATATTAGGCTATTTCTAACGGCACTCTAGGCTAAATTAAGAACATGCCTTTGGATTATCTGTTACGAAATCCAAGTGCATGCACGCAAGTCAATATATACCCATGCAAAATGCATATTTGGGGTCGATACTTAGCAGGCAACAAGTAGTAACAATAAAGCTGAAAATAATCAAGGAAAAATTATAAAATTCACATTATACATGAGGCCTGCTATGGAGATTGTTCTAGTACATTAACACTACATACTATTGTTCTCTATACCCTGCAAACCTTGACCTCATCTGGGACAAATTCCTCCCAAATATTGTTTTTTAAGTAGTAACTAGAGTAAGGTTATAGTTATAGTTATACTTACTAGTTCTTTACTATTTATTAAGTTATACAATTACAAAAAAATGAAAAATCGTATTCATGTACATGTACATGTACTAGCTTGATTATAACTGTTAATTAACAGAAATGAGCCTGAAAAAAGCAAAGACCAGAGAGGAGCATGCACAAACTATTTTTCTGTCATTTGGAGTAATATAATACAACTTATATGAAATATGCCTATTCTTACATAACAATAAAAAGTCAGTAATATATGTTTTTGCAAATCTACAATAGTACATTAAAGACTGCAAAAAAATTAAGACGCCATTTTTTTTACCATAACTTTCCCCACCATTGTCTGCATGGTGTAAAATTTACGGGTGGTCATGCTGAGATGGCGCCGATTAAGTTTAACGGCCCCTCGTTAATTGATTTGGAATTTTCCCCCCAGGTTAACTGCCTCCATTGACCTTAGGTCTGATATGCCTTGTGGCAACACCTAAAAAAGGAACTGTCCCAACATCTAGGACACTGCACGTGGGTTCATGTACTACAGGTTCTTTTCAAATGACAATGGCCCACTTATGCCCCACTATAAGTAAATCATAATGACTCGGAGCTTGAAATACCCACCTGCCATTCTGGGTGTCTGTGGGTAAATATAAACAGCTTGCAATCATGTGTGGGGGGGCCAAGTATCATGAATTAAAGTTTGACCAACCTGTATACACATATTTTACACATACAAAAAAAAACAACAATACATATATATGACATGAGTGACAGCTTGTATATGCCAGATGGGTTGTGTTCGTTTGTTTTGGTCATTTGTTGGGGCCATGCATGTGTCTGGTGCGACAATGGGTCCATGGCAGCCTTAACATTTCCCCTGCACGGCCGGTCAACCACTTTTGGGAGCCAATCTCCCTGGCAAATAATTATCCCTATAGCCAGACTAGTCAGTTCGGTTGGTGGAAAGTTTCACGACTTCCAGTAATCACAACTGTACTACCCAACTAACTTGGTAGGGGTCGCTGTTGCCAAGGGGCTGAGGGACCAACTACACTGAGTATTTATAAATTTCTAGCCTAAGTGAATCATTTGGACAGCGATATCAAATTTCACAACCCGCAATTAAACACGATATTTGCAATCACTCAAATAGCGACTTGATATAAGCCATATTTTGGCAGTGACCTTGTTGTGAACAAAAATACTGAAGGGGGAGGGAGGGAAATGACCAACTTTGCATCGTCTTTTCTTCCACATATTAAGAGCCTTAGACAGGAACGATAAGTTTGCCAGCTGCGTAGGTTCCTTACCTCACCCCCTGACTAGCGGCTGATCTCTGGCAAAGATGAAGACGGAGTTCTTTGAGATGTCTTGGAAAAGGAGACATCGCTCGGACAAGGTTAGCAGCCATCTTGAAAGTTGATAAGATCGCAAACGTTTACACAAATAATTACCTATTTATACTAAACAAAAATTATCGTCGTAATTGTGTAAATTTTCCACTCTTATGTTCTATTCTTATGTAGTTATTTACTATATATTTAATATTTTGCATTCTTAAGGAACCATAATCGATTTCGTACTAAATAGACCATCATATTTGGTAAAGAAATGGGAAACGTAGTTGGTCTTGCATTCAAAAGTCTCCGCGGTAACCAGCATGCTTTGCGTAGGCGGCATTTTTCAAGATGGCGGCCAATATCGTTTATTTTTGAGTTAATTGCTCTAAAATTTAGAGATTTTAGCCCCCTCTTGTCAATTTAACCAGCATCCTGGCCATCGAGAAACGTGACAAAGCTTCCTGGAGAAGTATAAGAGAATTTGTAGGTTGTGGGATCGCTGTTTTAATGCTGTCGCGACGTTGAAAGGAGTGGGTTCATTTGCAGAGAAAAATTTGTGATTTTTTCAAACGTAAGGTTGACTTGGCTAAAACAACATCGTGAAAAATCAGAATGGAGAAGTACCAAAAAGTCAAGCGAATCGGGGAAGGTTCCTTCGGGAAGGCGCTGTTGGTCAGAAACAAGAAGGATGGCAAGCAGTATGTGATCAAAGAAATTAGTATAACAAAGGTAAGTGACAAAACACGTCTTGGTACTAGTGGTATTTACTACTTAAATATTCATGTGTATCCTTGGTATTGTCCTCAATCTTCATGTGGTAAATTGGCCACAAAGAGAATGTTAAGACCTTGTTTATTGCAAGTTCTGTCTAATTTACGAGCTGAATACGTGATGCACAGTTTCGTTAATTGGTTTAATTTGAATCTGAATGACGTTACAGGTGGTTTTATACAGGTGTTTCCACTAGGATAAGATTATGTAGGTGTGCTTTCTTAAGCCTCAATCAGGGTGTAATCTTGGGTAGGATTTTATTCATTGGAAAATCTAATATCGTTTTAATATATATCTGATGTGGCTTTTGAAGAGACCAAAGTCTGGCAAAGTCTACTAGTCTGCATGATCTCATTTGCATACAAGATGGCTGCTGGTAGTAAATTAGTTTCCATGGAAACTGTAATCAAATTCTGATCTGTGGCAGTGCAACTTTGTACAGGGTGCAACATTTGCCTTACTCTGCAGGTTTCTTTGATCATTATGACCCTTTGTGAATTTTTCTTGGGTCATTCATTGAATTATTTATTACACATTTCATTGGCACTATTCATTAAATCAATAATATTTCTTTTAGGTTCATGCCTTTTTGGTACAAAAGTATAATTGCATATTTAAGCTAGAAAAAGTGGCCATGAATCTGATTATCAATGATAATCATTTTAAAAAATAATCTGATTATCAATGATAATCATTTTCATATTTTATGGTACATGTTACATGTATTGTTGTGAAAACATATGCATGATGTTATCATTCATTTATCACATATATATAGTAGACTAGATTACATTTGAAAAGGTTGACAGCTCAAATTTTGCAGTAACTACATAAGCAAATATTTTTGATCTTTTAGATGTCACCAAAGGAAAGACAAGAGGCAAGGAGAGAGGTAAAGTATTTAGTTTAACTTTGGTTTATATCACATGACATGATGCATGTATTTTCGTCTTTGGTACATATACAAGTAAATCAAAGTTTCAAAATAGCTCTTTCCTCATTTATGCATGTTGCTATAACAATTTGACATTTTGTTTTTTGTAGGTGACAGTGCTGTCCAAGATGAAGCATACAAACATTGTTTCATATCAGGAGTCATTTGAAGGTGTGTAATAACATGTAGTAATACTCATGAGTCATAGTCATAAGCAAATTTTGCCACTTTTGCAATCTTTTCAAAGATGCTAGTCTAATACACAAATGACATTTTCATTCCCAAAAATTGCTAATCATGACTACAGATCTAAGAGGTCTGAAAAGTCTGTCAAACTTCTGTTGTTGTTTTTTTTCTTGTCTCCTGCAGAGGTTGGAAACCTGTACATAGTGATGGACTTCTGTGATGGAGGAGACCTTTATCAGAGGATCAATGCACAGAGGGGGATTCTCTTCCCAGAAGATCAGGTACTCCATTCTCCTGTCTTTAGGAGCAGCTTCACTAAGTCAAGATCCTTGTAATTGTCACCAGGGTTTTCCCCAGTGTTTATCAATCAAAGTCTTGTTCGGTTGTTCCTCATAACCATGCCATGAGTCTTTTTTTTCTTAGGTGATGAACTGGTTCGTACAGCTGTGCTTGGCCCTGAAACATGTGCACGACAGAAAGATCTTACACAGAGACATCAAGTCACAGGTGAACAGACAGTCTTGTATTGTGACATGATAGGGTTTTCTGTTTGAAAAATGATCCTTAATCGTGTACATGTACTGTCATGCAGTTTTTAAGAAAATGAATGGGTTACTTTATAGTATAGCACATGTGTGTTGAAATTAATTTGAATGACTTATTGAATGGCTTAAATTTTTTGCTTGAAGACTCCTGTGCTTTCTATGGTGGTAGTTGCTGAATAATACATATACTCTTTGTTTTCAGAACATCTTCCTCATGAGAGATGGGACTATCAAGCTGGGAGACTTTGGGATTGCAAGAGTTCTCAACAAGTGAGCCTACACTCAACTTGTGCAGGAGATCTTCATTTTGATACATTAATTGTCACATAGCATCAGTAAATCTGAATGTTTCAATCAGGGGTAAACACTTTTGAGTTGCTTCATGTTCACCTTGTTCTATCTGTATTTTTCCAGCACCATGGAGCTTGCTAGAACATGTATAGGAACTCCCTATTACCTGTCTCCAGAGATGTGTGAGAACAGACCCTACAACAATAAAAGGTACAACAAAAGATTTTCTGGCAGAATTAATACAAGTCTTAATGACCATATTATTTCCTGTCTAAATTGTCAAACTGTCTTCACGTTCAACTTGGCTTCTAAGAGATTTTTAAAGTGGTGAAACTTTTGTATGACATACATTCCCACACTGTACATGTGTATTGTTTGTGTTTACAGTGATATATGGGCATTAGGCTGTGTACTGTATGAGATGTGCACTCTCAAACATGCCGTAAGTTGAAATTTCTCCTCACTGCGTCTGTTTTAAAACTGGCATATTATTTCCTTGTGTATGATGTAATTCCTAAGGTAACATGATTTTTTAATCAAGAGAAAGTCAATGGTATCATTTTTTTAAATATCAATGATATCTAAAATGACTTGTTTCTTCCAGTTTGAAGCTGGAAACATGAAGAATCTGGTCTTGAAGATAATCAGGTACTGAAACCACTCCATGATCCTTCCTTGTATATTCTTCACACAATGCTTACATACAGAGAGGTAATGCATGATACATGTATGTTATGTATGTTTAACACTATCACGGGTAATGTTGTTAGACCTGAAGCTAAGGTGATAAGCTTTCAGGCTGTTTTATCAAGTATAATGGGTAAAATGTACCATTTTTCACATTAATAATTATTGCTCTATCCCCAGGGGTTCCTACCCTCCTGTCAGCCCACGGTACACATACGAGCTGCGGAACCTGGTCGCACAACTCTTCAAGAGGAATCCAAGGTACAACTACAGTCTGTTTATGAGTTATGGAAAAGGTTTTCTGTTTGAAGGTCTGAAATTTTTAAAGTTTAGACTTTGTCTATTGAAGGTTACGCTGAATTATAATAATAACTGCAAGAAATGTTGACATGTTTGTTGTCTTTTCTCGTCTGTTTTTTTGCTGCCGTCTGTGACATCCTCAGGGATCGTCCGTCCATCAACAGTATCCTGAGGAAGAACTTCATCTCCAAGAGAATAGAAAAATTCCTGTCTCAAGCGGTGAGGACTTCCTTTGAGAAATTTTAAAGAAAAATCAGAATCAAAGGATCGAAATTGCTTCAAAATGATGCAGACAAAAACATGTTCCCTTACTCAGAGTAAAGTTTGTCATAGTCTGACTCTTACCCGAGTTGTTAAGATACTACTGTGAAATATTACTAAACTGAATGCCACATCTGTTCACAGGAATTTCAAGAGGAATTCAGCCACACAGTTCTGCACAAGCAGCATCCTCTAGCAGCTAAACCTCCTGTCAGACCAGGTAGGCTTGCTTAAATCCTTTACAACTTTTCTAACACTTGAGAAAATGATTTTACATGCACAATTTATGATGAGACAGCGTTAGAAAAGATATATGTATCATGATTACTGCTTTGAGTGTTGTATTTAATTGAACATATCATTTCAAATTTATGGTATCCTTCGGACTTTGGTGGATGTGTGGTACAAAACTCAGTTCTCTTATGATAGAAAAGGTTATCTTAGAGACTTGTCAACAGTTGGATCTGTACCTGTCCAGGGTGCTGAAAATTTGATAATTGTATGACCCCAAAGACTTACATAATGATTGTTGTTATATTACCTTCAATCAATGTGTCCAAGAGTATCTGTTGTGGCTTGCACCTTTAAATCTATTGATCTTCATCAAAGATAAAATCCTTTTATTTTGTGACAGCTGTAAAGCCTGTAGTGGCTGGCCCACGTATCAGCGACCCTGCTGCGAAGTACGGAGTCCCCCTGGGTGGCAAAAAGCAACAGGCAGGAGCCAGGTACAGTGGGAAAATTTGTTATTCTACAGTATAGCTAATCTAGAAACTGTTATACAACACATAATTGTATCTATCTTTGTATACTGTATGTCGTTTATAAATATGGTATACATTGAGACATTTTTTTTTACTAAGAAAGCAATTTATTATGTGAAAAGGATTTAAAAGATGTTCGAAATTTTTCAGAAAATCTGGAGACAATGTAAGAAGGCTGAGTGCTGCTGAGGAACGACAAAGGGTAAGGAGAAAATACAGCAAATTCTATCACTGTAGGTTATACATTTACCGTGGAGCTATAAAAGAGATGATTATACTGTTTTGAGAAAGGTCATTATCTTACATTGTTATCAAAAGTTTTCTCAGTGCAAGGCTACAAAAGTGCTTATTTTTATTTGCCTTCCTAACTTTTCCATTTAGGAGCTGGAGAGGAAACGTAAGGAGTTGGTAGAGAGGGAGGCGCGACGACGCCAAAAGGTCAAAGAGCAAGAGGAGAGGGTACGCCAACACCAGCAGAAACTCTCCGAAAAACGAAGGGTAAGGTTCTAAGGAAGAAAAAAATGCACCTTGGCTGTCAGTCCAATTTATTTATGTATCTTTACCGGGGTAGTTTGGAATTGGACTAATTAGGATTGTCATGGGGTTATCATGCATAATTTTGTGTGCTGTCTTCAAGTATGAGGTCTACACTTACCATTGGGATCAGTGCCAGACTTACATGATGTTGTAACTGTCTTTAGGGAAAGACATGTACATGTAAGTTCAGACATTTAAACACAAACATTATGACATTGTTAGATATTATTTACTGGTTTATTTCTCTCTGCATAGTCTTGATGAATGCTTTTACTTTTAAGTTTTAGCAGAAACTTTCAATTCATGTCTTTTCCATGTCTCCAACTGTATGACATCTCCTCTGAAGCATTGCCAAAAATCCATCCTGTTTCCCCTTCTGCCCTGTGTCTGCTCGTCACCAATTTGCACGACCCTTCCCATGCTCCTTTGCAGATGGAACAGATCAACCAGGCGAGAGAACAGGGGTGGCGTTTCACCCTGCTAGGCTCTAATGAGGTTAGAACTTTCCTCCCAGTCTCTTCCTTTGTCATTTGTTTTTTGCCTCCTTCCACTTCTCTCATTGTCTTTGTGTTTTTCACAAGGGACCTGAAGAGAGGTTTTCTGTCCATGTAACTTTGTATGCAGTGAGTTTTAATGATGTTGATTGTTGTTGTTTTTTGCCTTGTTTTGCTGTGTTACTAATATGTGCACTCTTGAAATCCCCTTGTTTTGTACACAAATGGTCACATGCCTTTTGTCACATCCAGGGGCGTTCACAGAAATGTTGTGACTTATTGATTTATATGCCATGACAATCATGACCTTTTCAGAACAAACCGTCTGAGGAGAACAAGGACAATCAGGACGATAAGAAGAAGAAACCCTCTGCCGCTGCTGCAGGGGGTCCAGTCTTAAAGGTGGGCACATTTCACCGTAGCCATAAACCCAATGTATAGCAATTGGTCCTAACTTGCAACAGTCTCCATTATACCACAGTCTGTCAACCCTAAAAGTGATTTCCTTACCTCATTCTCTGATGCACATTCCCACAGAAACCACTAGGCCCTAAGCCCCTCAGGGATCGGGGTAACTATGAGGAGTACCACGCCTACCTGGACAAGTTGGAGAAGCAGCAGAAGGAATCACAATTTGTAAGTTGTATTTTCAGTGTCCACTTTTTTAGCCCTGTAGTCCCCTTGAGGTTGAGTCAAGTTCTGATTGTGCAGTTCTCCTTGAAGTTACTAGGAGGTGCTTGTATTCCAGTACACAACAATGCTGTTTTATATTTCTAGGAACCTAAGGTAGCCCCTGCCGTGAAACCGTATGAAGGTTGGCCAGACAAGAACGCTGTGCGGCGAGAGCTTGAGCGTGGCGCGGCTCTGGCACAGGACCGTGCACGTCAGGGAGAGGTGGACAAGTACGGACACGTCTACTGTCACTGTTACATGTACAACGTCTGTATCAGTTTTAAAGAAAAGGACTTTAAAAAGTACCATCCACAACTTTAACCAATGCCTACTTTCACTGTTACATCTTCTATCTATATCAGTTTTAAAAGAAATTTTACTTAGAAGAAAAGAAATTAATAGAATAAAACAAAGCACCCTTGACAGCTCTGACCATTGTGCACCGAATGTAGTCTCTGTACCTGTCAATCATGTGCAGGTTGCTCGGCGCCCAGGCGGCAGACAGAGGCAGGGTTGTGGAGGAGTTCCTACAGCGGAAGCGACAAGCTGCCATGAACAAGGCTCGTGGGCAGTCTGAGTGGGCCAGACCAGTGTCTGCAGGGGTGGGCAGGGCAGACCAACCAGGTAAGGATGGGCAGATATAAGCAAGAGAGTGAAAGATTGTGAGAGAGGTGGAGTGAGAGTTTATGAGACGGAGAGAGAGAGATTGATAGGTTGAGAAAGAGAGATTGTGAGGGAGAGAAAGGGAGAGATAAGGAAGAGGGAGGGACACTGGTAGTAAAGGTTACTTTGTGATGTTTCCTTTTTTGTTTCCCTGTAATTTTTAGCTGCACCTCAGGTTGAGTCAATACTTTTAGGTATTTCATTTTGCTGGGAAAAAACGTTTTAAACTTGATTCACAGGTACACATGACTGATAATGCCCCATTCAAAGATATATTTTGTTGATTGGCTTGCAATAATAATGTGTGACTGTCATTTAAATCAGGAGAGGGCCAGAAGCGCCCGTGGTCTGCAGTAGAGGGGCGTAACCAGCAGGAGCAGGAGTACCTGGCCAGACTCAGGCAGATCAGGCTGCAGAACTTCAACGAGCGCAGAGCCCTGGCCGGGGGCGCACCCGCAGCCACACCTGTGTCGGTAAGGACAAGCTGGTAGATTGTAGTGGCTGCGTTGGGTTCTGAAATTCTTCTTTCCTTAGAACCAGAATTCTTATGTTGTAAACTTTAGACCTGTATACTATGCACTGTATGTTTTCTAATGTTTGATGTCATGATTTGTTCTAGGCTGTACCCGACCCTCGATTTGATGTTGACGCAAGAAGAAAAAAGATAGAGGCATTAAGGGTAAGGAAAAATGCTCTCTCATAATTTTATGAATTACAAACCACAAAGAATACATCCACATAGAATAATATTCTTAGTTGCAACTTTCACCACATAGATTTTATCTGTGGAGTTAGTGCATTTTCATAGTCTTTCTTGATTAATTTTGGTTTTGCCTTGAAATTCACTTTTGCAGGCCCAGGCAGACCAGAGAGCTCAGCAGCTGAAAGAACAGCTAGAGAAGAAGAGAAGAGATGCAGCAGAGAAGGAAAGAAGGTCCAGAGCCCAACCAAAGGACAGGCCAGAAAACAGGTCAGTATATGAAATATAAAGATCACTCAGTTTTGCCATTTTCACAGTCACACACCACCTCTAAACATTGTGGTTTGCAACAAAGAAACAGGGTTTGTTCCTTGTTATGTTTCAGGGCTGTACCCTACAATGTACCACCAAAGATTCCTGAAGCATTCAAGGGACCAGGTGAAGATTTTATTTGCTTGATTAGCTCTTCTCTCCTGTCCTCTGATTTTCGTGTATGTAGAACTGCAAATTTTGGAATTTTTCAATTGTGATTTGATTCAGAAGTAAACACATTGTTTTTTGACAGTGGTTGGGCTCACTGCTGCATTGGAGAATGTTGGAGCGGTGAGTACATATATGTGACTTTATGTTGTTTGTAGATACAGGATTACGATATTATGAAGCCCTGATTTTCATGATACTAATTTCCTAATGAGTCATGTGTCTTACATGTGTAGTACATGTATCTAGGAAAATTCGTCTTTGTGGGATTTCATTGTTTTACGTATGGCATTATAGAAATCCAGCTATTTGGTATACAAGCTAACCTAAATGTGTAAAAACCAGGGAGATGTGAAGGAGTCTCCAGCCGAGGAGAACGTCTCCCCCCTGAAGAAGGAGAAAGAGAAGATTCTGAAGCGACTGAACCTGAACCCCCCTGACGGTTCTGACGAGAACGGGGGGGACAGGAGGAAGTGGGGGGCGGGGCCAGCCAAGCCTGTCAGCCCGCTGGTGGGCATGACTCTGGAGCAGACAGCCTCACACATGGAGGGTAAGGGAAGCCAAACTTAAACCTTGTCAAGGAACAAAGTGGCGATGAACACTTTAATTTTTTTGTGAAAGAAAACCATTAGTATCTATAAATTTTTATGATTGCACTATACAGGAAGTTCATGCATATTGAAATGGAGGATCCTAAAAACAAATAGAAAAGTGCTAGTCTTCATTCTCAGGTTAAAAAATTTCTCACATGTACATGTGTTAAGATGTAGTGCACAGTAAAGTGAATTTTGCTTGACTTAATGTTTCTATAAACTGTTTCTGTTAACTGCATGTATGCAATTTTTCGTATCCAATGGTTTTTGACCATGTAGAAATGAATGATTTTTTACCTTATCTAGCCACCAGTGCAGAAGACAAGGTGCTGGTGTTTAACAAAGCCGGTGGAGCAGAGAGGAAGAAGTGGGGACAGCCTGACCCCGCCGCGGTCGCGAAGGATGACAACCGTAAGCGCTGGGGAGGGCCGGCGAACACGGCACTGCGTGTGCTACAGGAGGCTGAGCTGAACGAGGACACCATGGCACTGTTAGAGGGGTACCAGGGGGAGCTGGAGGAACAGGAGAGTAAGGAGGAGAAGAAGGGCATCAAGTTTACCATCCCATTGGGGAAGGGTGAGGGTGAGTATGGCAACTACATGTATCCTACCATGTAAGGGCAGGGCTCAAGATATTTTTTCTGCATACCTGCACTGGTGCATGTAACGTTGAAAATTACCTGCACCAGACACCAGCGAGCCTGTTGTGTTGTCTCTCTTGCAGACAAGCCGGACGGCTCAGCTCCCTCCAAGTCTCCTCTTGTGGGCACCCACGTGGTGAAGCCCAAGACGCCTGCTGGCAAGGCTACCATCACAATACAGGAGCCCGAGAAGGCTGCCAGCCCCATTGGCAAGACTATCACCATCAAGCAGGCAGGAACTACAGATGATGACGGGGTAGAGGTGGTCTCCACAGAGGAAGGTACAAAAACTGAGGGACCTAAACCTGAGGACAGCCCTCCTAAGACCAAGGGGGCATGGGCTGGCGGGGATGAAACTGACAGTAAAGGTATTATAATTCTTTATCATTTCATCATTATTGCAATGTATTTAAAATATAATGTTAATGTTGTCTAAATGACATTTACTACTACATGTACATGTACTTGAGTGAGGGAAATCCATACCTTAACTTATAATCTCAAAGGGTCCTGTTCCATTTCAGACAAGTCTGAGGCTCTCCCCACCCCTGCTGACGATGGTAAGACCCGACACTCCCCGCGGCCAAAGTCGGCCAGCCCCAGGCCAACCTCCCCAATGGTCAAGCCCGACACCTCCCCACGCCCCAAATCTGCCAGCCCCAAGTCTGCGGTCAGCAGCCCCACACAGGAGGACAAACCCACCCCCACCCCTGGGGAAGAGGAGGTGAAAACCCCCACCAAGGATGACAAGGAAGGGACTGCTCCAAGGGCAAAGTCTGTCAGTCCTAGGGTCGTCACTCCCACTCAAGGTTTGTGTGTACATGTATAGTTGAACCTACAAATCATTGATATGAAAGAAAAAGTAAACTTGGATAATTTAAGTGTGTCTACTTACAGTTCTTGTGACACTTTAATCAAATTATGTCACTTTTTTTTACTTTGATTTATAAGAAAAATGTGATTTTGTTTGTGTTTTGCACTCTATGTCTTGTAATGCACGGTGTTGCATGGCTCACGTATGAAACTTTTCCTTTTTCCAACTATCTAACCCCAGATACAAAACCTCTGTTCACCAAAGTGCAACCCAAGGAGCAGCAAGAACAAAAACCCCAAGAAGAGGATGACTTGCAACTTGAGGAAGTGTCCTTGTAAGTCAGAGTTAAAAATAGTTTTCTTATTGTCCGTAGTGTTTAACCATGTTGTGTTGTTCCTAGCCATTTCAGACACTGGTAACAAAAATCTACTGTAGTTATTTGAGTGAAACAATTTTACACAATGACATTGTAATGTTTGTGATTATTGTACCATGAACTCTTTCAACACAGTTATGCCACAGCAAAAGGAGCAGGGATTCTGGAAGGGCTGTCCACTGGATGTTTTGATTCCCCAAATGTCAAGGTAAGAGGCATAACATTCCTTTGGATAGGGTACCGATACATTGCAAGGTGGCAAGTGTGTGTGAAAGTGAAACATACCTGACTGTACACATATTGTGTTTGGCTGCAATATCTTCAGTCCTGCTAGGTGGCTTTGAAATATTGTCTAGCTAAACTGAATGTTGGAAACATCTTTAAACTTTCTGACATTCTGCAGATGTTGAGGACCTGCTCCATGCCTGACCTGAGCAGCCTGTTTAAGACAGACCTCGCTCTCAACCCGTTCTTCGACGAGATGCACGCCCACGCGTCTGTCCGTGCGTCGCTGGGACTCGGTGATGTCGGCACGCCGCTCGGAGAGGACCATCGTCTGTCCATGGACGACGCAGACGACGAGGCAGAGGGAGAGGAGAAACCAGAAGGGTGGGGAGAAGTTTACTGTATGAAGATCTGCTGCTTACTATTTTCATGGACAAGTTTTAGGTTGTCGGTATTGTTTGGGGTGTTGGACTGACTTTTGTTGTTTCCTACCCTTGCAGTGAAGAGAAGGAGCTGAGTGATGAAGGGGAGGACCTAACGGACTACTACAAGATGAAGGAGTCCATGGAAAACCTACTGGAGGACAGCACAAGCGGTACGTATGTGCCTCAAGACAGGGCTTTCACTCCCATGTGAACATCTGTTGCAATCAAAGCCCACTTTCAGGTTCCAACCTACATCAGCTAACATCAAGATGTGACCTGTAAAGAAGATCTACAGTTTGGGAAAAAATTGAGAGATTTTGAAAGCAAGATTTTTCCCTGGTATTTGACAGACAGTGGAGACAATACTCAAGCACACAATACTGTATGTACAAAGTTTTATGTACTGGGCCCTATTTTTTATGTACTGGGCCCTATTGAAAATCAATTTGTCAAAATTGAACTAGGCCACCCAGGTGTCTTCAATAAATAAAAATAAAAAACTGTCTTTATGAATCTGTAATGCCTATAGTTATGTAGATCTAAACAGAAACGTTTCGTGTGTGGTTTCCAGGAGAGGAGGGTGGTGACGAGGCGGAGGACACGGCTGACAACATGGATGAGAAGGACGTGGACACGACAGAGACCGACGCGGCGGTGGGAGCAGAGGGAGGGGAGGAGGACGATGACTCAGCAGAACCACTGAATGAAGACTGGCAATCTGGTACTGTGGATATTACCCTGCTTTTGTCTTCATTTCACAGCTTTTGCTGTGCACATCTTGTGTATGGTAGAATGGATTCATTCTTCAAGCTAACCGCAGTCATCCCTCAGTAAGACATCCGGAGGTTCATAGTTTAAAACTTTAAAACTTTTATTCAGCCTGACTGGTTTCACTCTGTTGACTTTTTCAAGTGTACAGAAGCTAAATCACAGGCTGAAGAAAAGTTCTAAACAGGAACTGTGCGGCTCCAGATGTCTTACTGAAGGACGACTGCTGTGTGCTAGATTTTGGCTAGCTTGAGGAATGAATCCTCCCTACTTTATACTGCTATTTTGTATTACTGGAGAAAACTGTAAAATTCTTTTTAAGTCTCTAATGTATATCTCCATCTTCCATTCCTTGCAATGTCTATTCTGACTTTCAATTGCTGTTCTCTCTTGATGTTCTGTAGTTTTTTTTTTTTTCGATTTCTAGAAAATCCTCTCCCTGTCCTTCACCAACCAGGGTTACCTATCTTGCCTGTTGTTCACCTGTCAGCAGCTAGGGGGAGCCCCGGGGACACCTGGTGCACAGCCGATGAGGAAGATATAGAAGAAGACGAGGAGAAAACATTCCTAACTTTACTTAGACAGGCTCTAGAGGAGTCCAAAGGTTACTTGAGTTCAGATACTGTAGGCACAGAATATAGCCACAATGTCTGTCTTTGCCAAGCTGTTGTCATCATTATCAGTTTCATTGAATTCTAATGATGTAAATCATTTACATATACTTATCATGTGCTAACCCATCTTTTTAGGAAAGATAGTAGTAGCATTCTAAAATCAGCAATGTTCTGTGCTTCTTTCTTTCCCCATTTAATGTATGTTTTTATCCTGTATTGATATAACTTCCAGCATGTTCTTGTTGATAACTACATGTTAACTTGCATCCAAAATGTTATACATTGTAGTTTGTACTAATTCCCCAGCCTTGTTCACCACAGCATGTTGCAGTAACACAGCTAAAGTTCCTGCTAGCTGTACATGACAGTTCAGACAGCAGCTCATCATGCTGCTCATATAATTGCTTTGCAGGTCATACATTCCAACTGAACAGTAGTCGGTAGTCATTAAAAATTTGATCCTTGTGTGTGTACCCTTGTGTTGGAATAAAGTTCAGCATCATACTATATAAGGGTAAACAGTGTATATCCCTATCAGCTGTGTAAGTCTGTGTACTGATGATGTGTTTGTGTTTATGTCTGCAGACAGTGAGAGTGATGAGCGAGACAGTCTGAGTGATGATGATGATGACAGCGTCTTTTCTCGTCTGGAGGAGACCAGAATGCGCCTCGAGGATGAACTTGGACCAGACGTGTTCATTAAGGCCTACAAGGCCATCCAGGTACAACAAGATCATTGGTCTAGTCTGCAGCAGATCATTGTGATCATCAATTTAAATACATAGAACATAGATAGTTCTGGTTTGCCACAAATAAAACTCCAACTTTGTACTGTAGGTAATATAGCTGCACTTGACTTTTTTTTAGCTGTTGGTTTTTGTGAAGGATAAATTTCAGTACTTTTCGACTTTCAAACTGTACATGGCTGCCATCCAAAAATATGAGGGTAAATACGGCATTTCTTCTGATCTAGATTTTTTTGAGCTGTTGGTTTTTGTGAAGGATAAATTTCAGTGCTTTTAGACTTTCATTGCTGCCATACAAAAATATGAGGCTAAAAGACGGTGTTTCTTCTGATGATAAAAAGATCAAATAGAAAATTCTTCATTTTCAAACATTGTACTACTCACTAGCCGACTACTGCACACCCCTGTGTTAGGGACCCACGCAGCAGTTTAATCAAAGACTACTAATCACGTCTCTATTAGCAAATCAGAACTTCTCTTTTGTAATTCCTTATTGATTCTTACTCATTGATTACTTGACAAAATCCCCTCCAGGCCTTCCATGAAGACGAGGATGAGAACATGGATGATGGGCCGAAGGTCGTAGGTCAAATCCTGGGCAAGGAGAAGGAGTACCTGTATCCCAAGATCCTTCAGCTGGTGATGGCTGATGGGGCTTATTGTGAAGGTATGGTGAAGTCTGCATTCTAGGAGTTGTCTCTAACAGTTATCCCCACTTTGCTTGTTGTATTTCTTTGTTTAATCACAAGTAGATTAGGTTTGTGTCACCAATAATAAGTACAGATCATTTCAATCTTCATTCAAATGAATCAACATTATATAGTACTCCTGAATTGGGTCAACTTTGAAACATCTTATGAAAAAAAACATGGTGTTATTTCAATACATACGAGTATACAATTTAACATAAAACACAAAAATGCTAAGCCTGATTTAAAGGTAAAACTGACATTTCAGCATTGATTTAATGGTATTTCTAACATCTTTGAATTTACTCTGACCTCAATTGTCAACCTTAACAAAATGCCCACCAACAAACTGTAAGGTTTGGTGCAGTTCTGTGTTACCATTTCACTTGTGGTGTAACATGTTTTTCTTTGATTGTTTGTACCTCATCTTGTGCTTGTTTACTAATTCATGTTTGACTCATGTGTGGCTACTTCTCTTTGGTTTTTTGACAGACGAATGATGTGACTTGGGAAAGTTTTAACCGTTTAATGGTTAGTAAAAACACATTACAATAGGTGGCTTAAGGTAGTCGAGTAACGCTGCACTGGAAAACTGCATGCTGTAGTACGGTAGTACCGGTAGTTAAAAACTCACTGAAGCTTCATGCTTATTTCTAGTACCCTCATCTGTAATAGTTAAGTCTCCTGTCTAATCAAGGCCGCATTGAAAATGATTATTATGTTGATAGATTTTATTCTTTCCCCAATGAAAAGAAATTGTTAGTACATTTTCTCAGTGCCATGAATTTACTTTGATTCTAAATACATTCTGTTTTATTTTTTCAGATAACGACTGACACCAAAGGGACCACTTCTTCACATTCTAATGTTACATGCTGCACTCTAGAAAAACAGATACTAGTAAATGAATATAGATCTGGCTACATATATATACATTATATAATAGAACTGTATTCAAAGGTTAGTAACATTGACAGAAGTGAATATGATTTGATGTGGAATTGTATATTTTTGTGCTGTAATGATAAAAGATGGTAGATAAGATGTGGTATTTTTCAATTTGACCAATCGTAGATAATATAGCTTTGCACTGCTGCTGCCTAGTGTTGTCTGTATTTTCTCTACAAAAACATTTGAGACAATTCAAGAAAGCCATCCTTTATGTAGGACAGCAAAAGGTGCTGAATAGAAAACTGTTATAACGGTAAAAATTCACCACAAGGCACAAATATGCATGTATGAAGAATTTGTACCCAAAGTAATGTTACGTACAAAGTCTCTGATTGGCCTTTAATCTCTTTTATACCTATTGCTGGTCAAAAAATAATCACTTGGACTCTATCACTGGATAAACAAGGTTAGTAAGTACATGCAGAACCACAGTAAAATACAGGATTGAACACTTTGGAAATTTAGCTTGCTACTGGTAGTTAATTTTGGCAAAGTGGAAAATTTGAACTTTGAGCAATTGTGACCGAAGTTCATCTAAATTTCTAATGAGGTAGTCTTGCTTCTCAGTGAGTCTTACTTCTCAACAGATAGTTTTTCAGTAAATACTGGTGTGTGGTAAAGTCAAGACTTCAATAGATATAAAAGGTGTATGTGTATGTACATACTATTGACCATGTATATGTTTACTATGCTTGCTGACCACCATGCACAAATAGCTAATTGATCACAGCAGAGTACCGGTATTCTGCAATTCATTCAACTTTCAATAGTAATGTAGCAGATAGCCTAATGATGTAAGTTTACAAAGTCCTGTGTGTATTTACACATGTGTGTAGCGCTGCTGCTTAAACAGTAACCTTTTGCCAAGTCGTGCCTGAATCTGATAGCTACATTGTACATGTGTGTATTGGACCAATCAAGTTCCATGAACCTGCTGCTTATTACAAGATGAAATGCTACATGTAGTATTCCTGATCTAAGGCAAAAAGATTCTTCTCCAATTCTTAGTCACTGGTAGTAAGGTTTTGCATAATGTTTGAGGCATTGATTTTGTATCTACTTGTGTTATCTATACCTTGCCATTTGCTTCTCTTGTGAATGATTTTTGATCTCGCTTGTGTCTATATTTCAATATGTGCATATGTTGATATGTGCAAATACCCTTGTACGTACTTGTACAATATCATGTGTGTTTAAACTAAGGTGCATAGCTTGCAAACTGTGTTTGTATCTTAAACATTGCTGTGATTGAATGGTGACTAGATAATAGGTCTTCAGAGAACACAAACGTCTATATGTATGTATAATCTAAGATACAGTAAATAAGGTGCTTTTTATACACCAAGGCCACCATGCTACTAGGTTGAGCCTGGCAGAGTTAGATCTATCAACTTGCATGTGTTTTAATGTATTTGTACCAACTGTGGACATTACTTATGTATGTGTGACTGCAATGACTTACTAGTATTAAAAGGTTGCAAATTCAAAATTAGACACCTTCCAGGTTTAACCAAGCATGCTTATGCCTCACTTAGGAGATAGTTGCACAACCTTTTTTGTCAATTTGCATAGATATGTCCAAGATGTACGTCCAAGTTTGTGTTCTTGAAGACTGCTGAGAGAATTCCAATATATGAGAACTCACTAAGATGCACTGACATCATTTGTGTCTTGTGTGATTTTGTGTCGTGGTCTTACTGCTGGTATCCATGATTTTAGTAGTGTTTAGAGGTGATTGGAATAAAGAAGCTCTACATAGTACATAGGTAGTTCAACCTTGCATGATGTTGTACCAAAATTATGCTGGAGAAGTAAATTTTGTCTTCCCAATCTCGGAAAGTTGAAACCTTTTCAATATACCTGTTACAAACCCTTTTCTCTGAATTTTGTGGAAAATAAACAGCGTAACGTTGATACAAAGGAGAGGCATTTAAAAACTCCCGCCAATGACGTCACATCGCGTGACCGCGCCCCCTTCGTGCCCCTATCCTTCCGTGACCTTTCACCTCCATGCGATTCGCGCGAAAATCTTGCCGATCTTTGCAGGGCCGTGGTGCTCACTGTTTACCAGCTTCTAGATTTGGTTCAAGATAGCTGTACTCGTCTATCAACATTCGTCGTTTATTCTAGAGGTATGTGGAGCGTTTTAGTATTGAAATGGCAAAGAAAACCTCGCCGTTTGCACGTGGGAGCTCGCATGGGCCGACCGGCGATTTTGCAGTGGAGTTTTCCATGTGCTCATGTTATGCAATTTGCATAAGCATGGAAAAAAACACATTTTGACCGACGATTTTTGTTTTAAATGCCGTCGATTTCTACCCCTAACGGTACGTATGCACCCAGTGACTATGATTCTGTGTGTGGTTATTGACATTAAGGTGACTTAAGTGCAAGGTCATACATGGGCCAACGTTGCAGGGCAACTGTGTCCTGAAATATAAAACTCGTGCGTCATTTCAGCTGCAGCTGTCGCATCTATATCCCTGTCTGATACAATAACATGTTTACACGTGGAAGGGGAGGGGGGTGGCTGGCTGGCGACCAGAGAGAACTAGTATTTATTGTTGTACACGCCCTTGTATGATATGTAATGTCACTGTCTGCATTGCTTTATATAACTGTAACAGAAAATTTTATGACTATTTGTCATGACAATTGCAAACACTTGGATATTCGAATTGATTTGATTTGATTTGTTATTTTTACCTTCACAGAAGAATGACATTGTTTTTGTTCAGTTTCTTCTTTAAATTTCTTCCAAACAAACAAGGTCAATGACCTGGAACAGACGTCTGTCACCATGGTAACTGGTACAATGGCAGATGGGTTATATTTTACCAGTATGTAGCAATGTCAGGATAGAGATAGCAGGGGCACGCACTTTTATCCATATAACCGTTACATGTGTATAAATGTGAGCAAGAATAAACAAAGCAGTCACCCTTACCTTAGGCTAGACCATGTGATGGCGAATATTATGAATTAGTTTTACAAATGTTACCTTTCTAGTTTTTTGGTATATGACTGTTTTTTTAGTAGTAGTATATACTAGTAAAGAGTCGTATGGAAAATTTACTAATAGCCAAAAGATGTTGGATAAATTCAGCCAAATGTTTTTTTCACCTTTTCTCCCAGCTGACAGACATGAGGTCACTTCCTGTTCTGTGTGTCCTGCTGCTGCCCTGGTGCATTGTGGGCCTGGAGCCAGCGACAGATGGAAAGACAGAGGAGCAACTGTTGAACAGCTGTCTGGATGGAATGCACCACAAGCAGGTGCCGGGGCCGGAGGGTAGCCTGTATCAGAATGTAAGACCTTTGACACCCCTACAGCTCATTGGAATGGTCCAATAAGACAATCATTATAGTAATAGCTGACTTTCTTAAATGTTAAATGTATGCACCTCATAACACCTCTGACTTTCAAGTGGTGAATCTTTTATTACACAAGATTGAAATATTCTTTAATGGAGTTAGAATATGCCCCTCCCTCTTTCAATTTTGAAAATTCCTCGGGCCTCCAACATAGGTTTTAAATTACTGTCTTGTCCCCTGATACGTGTAGCATGGCCCTGATCAAACCATTGTTCTTTTTTGTGTTCCTGTTTGCTACAGTGTGCCCCGTGGAAGGACCGTGCGTGTTGCCGCGCCAACGTGACGGAGAAGATGCACCAGGAGGAGCTGTTCCCGTACAACTTCCAGTGGCACCACTGCGGCCAGCTGTCCCCACAGTGTGAGCGGCACTTCATGCAGGACATGTGCTTCTACGAGTGTTCGCCCAACCTCGGGCCATGGCTTGTCAAGGTTGGTTTTGTGTTACGGTCGGGTTTTTACTAAATTGGTAAATTGCACCGCAAAGCACCTTTACCTAAACCAGTGACAGTGTGCTGTGACATTAAGCTGTGACATTAACTATACCTATACTGTACACAGACCTACTTCAATTCACCAAGTTGAACTTGATTTCCAGATCTATTCAGAAAAAGCTAGGATAATATGGACAGATCAGATTGAAGGGTGACAATCAAGCCCCTCCTCTTTTACTCTTAGATGAAGTACCCCTTATGTACTGACCAGTGACCTTTGTTGTACCATAATTGCAGATCCATATGAAGATCCGTAATGAGCGGTTCGTGAACGTGCCGCTATGTGTCTCTGACTGTAACCAGTGGTGGGAGGCCTGCAAGGATGACATGACCTGCTCTGGGAACTGGGGGAAGGGATGGAACTGGACATCTGGTAAGGAAGCACACAATTTGGCATTGGTGCCATCCTTGTTGCAAGTTAAAAAGTGTCCTGCTTATAGACAAATATTGGTCAGGGCCTAACCAATCAGAAGCATCACTTGCTCAACTATGGCTAGGGTAACCAATCATGAGCCATAGATTTATTTCTGTAGTTTGCTACATTGCTACATTTAAATAACACTGTGTAAAGTCATTATGATATTAATGGAAAGACTGAGTGGAGACAAAATTGTGTTGATTATTTCAGGAGTGAACGAGTGTCCACGTGGGAACCAGTGCAAGACTTTTAAGAAATATTTTGGTGATGCGACAAACTTCTGCCAGAAAATCTGGGACGGATCCTTCACGGTGGTCCCCGACACGGAGCCATGTATGACGCAGTGGTTCAACGGACTGAACCCAAACAACGCTGTCGCTCGTAAGAGAGCGAAGGAAATCGTTCAAGCGAGTGCCGGCGAGTTGTCTGCAACTGTGAGCTATGTGCTGCTTGGTGTTGGAGTCTTTCTAGGAAGGCTCTTGTAAAGTGTATTAATTCTGTGTTGAGAGGTCTTCATTTTGGGGCGATGTTACATAATGAGGTGTTTGGTACATTCTGCTATGCAAGCTATTACAAGACATTGTGTGACACTTTTGTGTAATACTTTTATTGGCCCCAGGTGGTCATTGGTGCTTGGATGTTGTTTTTGTTGTATCAGGGTTTGGAGAAGGTTGGTGATTTTTATGATCAGAAAGTCAGTCCCGACTTGGAAAGGATACTTTTTTGTTGATGGTAGCCCTGCTTTTTTAATACAGGATTTCTGGTCTATACATACTTTTCAGTTGTGTATAATTGTATGTGTTAAAAACAGTGCATATTCATTCCGTGTTTTCATCCTTCTGAAAAAAAAACCTGGTCTAAAAATTCTTTGGTGTTAATATATATAAGAGTGAAAACAGGAGACTTAGAGTGATACAAAGTACCTGGCTATATGTGATTCAGGTAATAGGTAGTGTTGTTGTGATAGAGAGGTGCTGACAAGGGCTGCCTCAAGCTTAGCTTTTATCCTATCATCCCAGAAAACCCATGCTCAACTCCTGGCAGGGTGATTGAATTATTGAACATAATTGCTTCTACACACTGTGGGTATGGATGTATTGTTTTGGGTGGCTGAGCTGTGGGCTCATGTGTCTGTTTGTCCACAGAGTAGGTTGACAGCACATGGTGGGGAAGATTGACAGAATGACAGGAGATCAAAATGTCAGACACAGGAAATAGCTCTGGCTGTGGGCCAGCAAGAGTGGACGAATTCAGGAAGCCGACAATTGCATGAGGGACTCTCCAATCTTTTTCACATTAGACACCAGTTTTGTCAGGATGACCCTAATTTTTGTCCTATCATTAGTGACAGGATTCTACAACATGATGGATTTGGAAAATTCTGACACTATAAAAATGTCAGTAATGGTTATACAAACACTGATAAGTTAGATGACTACAGATGCTTCACAGTTTAGGTGCCATACATGATACAGTGGCAGTGCCATATTGTACTAGAATCTAAAGATGCTGTATTTTGTGATAGATCGAATGTAGCAATGGTAGACGAAAATCTAACTAGCAACATGTAAAATATCAAACTTGTATACTAGATCATGCACACATGTATGAAGTCAGAACAGAAAATTTGAAGCCAATATATCTTGAAAAGGTAGAATCTGTAACATTTGAATCTTCAAAAGAAAATTTTTTTCAGTAATCATTTCATTGATTAATATTTAATATTGAGACTGCATTAATTGACAGTATTATGCAGTCAAGCTGAACGGTCTGCAGTTAATGTACATTGTAATGACGTCAACTGAATGTTACTCAAGGTTAGAAGGCTTATTCTGTATTCCCCTGGTGTAGCCAGTTTGCTGAAATCAATTTGGAGGGGGATTACTGTGGCAAGTAAGTCATTTAAAAGGTAATTAACATTATAATGAATAATAGCTGATTGATTAGAATGAATAGAGTGTTTGTAAGTAAAGTCATAGCTGCTATACTGCTTAGTTGAGCTTTGTAGACTGATATTTTATGTGTATGTGTATAATATACTACATGTAGTATTGTTTATGTGATATCAAAGACAATTCAGGTGTGACCATCTTGCATGGTGGACCTCAGTGTTATAGTCACATGTGTGCAAACACTATTACAAATCACGTGTACGTAATTGATAAAAGGGATCCTCATTTGAATGGATTTATGGATTTGTACATTATTTTTTTTTATTATGGACAACACGTACACTTGTCATGATGGTAACATAACACAGAATGTATGTTAACCCATTATACAATGTAACTTTGTTATAATTAACAATTTAGCTGTGACGAATTGTATTTTATTTTCAATACTTTTCCACACATCAACTGTTGATGAACTGTTCATGTATGGTCTGGATTTTGCTTGGAGCTGATTAGATATCTAACTTTCACAATATGTACAGTACAGTGGATCTCATAGTCATATATGGCCAAAGGAAGGTCGGTTAGCATTTAAACTTACAGGGGAACCAAGTTTGATTTAGGTGCTGATGTATCTATGCAGTGCAAAAAAGTATTTAGCATTAATTGTTGTCACCAGTATTATACAATTCTGGACTACCTACAGTGTGTTAATTAAGGATAGTGTTTGCCTTTGTACAATATAAAATATTGTCATTGAGTGATTTAGTTGGGTGATGAGTCAAATGTGTTACTTAAAAAGATAGCTCACCAGGCATTGATAAGAGATATGTTACTCAGGATTTTGGTGAGTGTGTGGATGAATGATTGAATGATTATTGAGTGCTTGTAGCTCAGTGGTGTTCAATACTTTGCCATATTGTGAACAGTCGTATAGCAAAGATGAAGAAGGGTGTTAGTAAGTGCATATGCTGCAGACCACCCCCACTACAGACAGGCCCTCCCACAGATCCCATTAAAAGAAAACGTTGACCCGTTTCTGAGATTCACGTCGCTACATAGTCTTACACTTGTCGAAAAGCAACTCTGTGCTTGCAAGGTAAGAATATACTTGACTGTGGCTTCTTTGATCATCATTCACGATGTGGAAAACACATGAGTCATTGTTATTTTTCCCAGCTGGTAAAGGTGACGAAATCTCTGTTTATCCTGTGGTCATGGTGAAGTTAGGTGACGACCAATCGCAGGTCAGTACAAGGGGAATCCCAACCGGGGGAATCCCTCCATGCGCCAGTCACACACTCGTCTTATACATTCGCCAACTTAGCGGCAAACCGAGCGCACAATTGTGGAAAACAGAACATTTTGTAGGTGACCTACAAGAAGTGTGCAGATTCGCAGCTTTCTGCGTAGGACGAGAACGCCCGATCCAGAGTTGGTGTACAATTTGTGGCATCCAAAACGTTACGTGTGCCGAGAACTTTGGCCTTTCGCCGCCATCATTTTTTGGCCTGACGTCAGCGGTCCCGTTCACCTGCTTTCCGGCCTTAATTTGTCTTTTCGCGCTACGTACGACTTGACACACATCAGTTAAGTTGGTCTATCCTCACTAGCTGGGTCAGACGTGGTTGGAGAAGCGGAATTCTAGAGCGGATCGAATGAAAGTTAACAGAAAGGTAGGCTGTGGTCACTTCCTACTTCGGTACGCGGTGTACAAAGTCCATTTAATTTCGTAGACGACTATCTAAGATCTAAGGCTTTAAATTTGGTATTGCATGTGAAGCGTACTATGCGTTAGTTTTCCCATGATTTGTCCATCCTAATATGACTATATTTTAATATCCGACTTCACTGTCTACAGAGATAGGGGACGTGTTTGAACGTGCACCTGATCATGAGTCATGGGGAATTCCCTGACGGCCAAAAATCCCATGTTTCAAAGTTACATGTACGGACATGTTAACTGATTTAGGGGCTTTTTGTGACCACTGGGGAAATGTCAGTGGCATTTTTCGCTCTCTTGAAATGCACACAGGCAGGAAATTGAGACTAAAAAGCAAGAGAGAACCTAGACATAGTTGTAAACATTGTAAATGTCCCCATACCAAAATTTCGGTTATTTGTCAAATTCCCAGATAGATTTTAAATTAGGATCATCATTTTTAACGTTATAGCTTCTTCGTATTTGCAGGATTTTACACACAGCACTGTTCAAACAAGGAAAGAGTTGGACTATGTGGGCAGCCTGGGGACCCCTTACTGTTGCTATACTGCTGGTAAGTCTTAGAATTACATTTTGTTTTTCTTTCTTTAATTATATTTTTTCTTATCCAGGATTCAAGCTACACACTGTAGTTCAAATGATGAGAATAATTAGTAAGGAATTTCTTTTTTCCCAGCTGATTATATAATGAAACAATAGACTGCAAATAGTTTTATGATGATACTGATGACTAATTGGTTAAAAAGGGCATCCAAGTGAAAAGAACATGAATGCAATTTGTGTAATATTGTTTATATTTCCTTTTTTTCACCTAAACCCCCTTTGGTAGGAACACTGGGCCTTTCAACAGAGCTCCTTTTCATGGTACAACCAAATGAACATTTTTTGTAACAACTATGACATTTGACAGTGTTATCCTAAATATTTGACAGTGTTATCCTAAATATTTGACAGTATCCTAAATAACCCCCACTTACCGGTAGGTGATGTCAGGGTCTGCAGTTGTAGGGGCTCCGACTTGTGGACAACATGAGTACCTGGAAAACCGCCAGTGTCTTCCCTGCCCTACCTGTTCACCTGGTTATGGAGTCTCAGGAGTAAGTATGAACTCATGTCAAACTAGTTCTCTCATCTAGAGCTTTCGACCAGTCACTCTGGCCTTCCTCAGTAGACAGCTGACCCAGTGAAGCTTGTCACATGGCTTCTTTGAAGTGTGACATCAACACTAGGACCTTCTTGTGATGTAATGTCTGTGAGCTACAACCAAATACAGAGACTATGGAAATGTTTGCAGCTCCAATGTATATATTGCTAACTTGTAGTAGGCACAAAGAAGTACACAACAAAAGACCAAATGTTGTCAAAAATGAAGGACAGTTTAAGAGATAGAGATGCAAAGAAACACATGAAGAAATAGGGAGTCTAGATTTGAGATTGCCTTCATTTGGAAATCCACACAAAGAATGTGCTTTTCAGCACCAAGGACAGTGCTTAAATTTCTATTGTTATAATAACAGTTCATGTAGAGAACATGCTGTTCAGTACCAAAGACAGGGCAAATCTGCTGGATTTTGTAAGACTTGGTACATTTTGTGAATAATTAGAAATTGTGGAAAGAGAACAATGAGGGCTGTTGTTGCCTTTGTAAGTCCAAAATTATTATCTTATTAAAGGGACAGGTTGTTAGACATGGGGAGAGCCATTTTGACACCATTGTTCCATCTCAATTCTACAGCCGTGTGGTTTTGACCGAGGAGCCCTGACAACCTGTATCCCATGCGACCCTAACCCACATGTCACCCAGCCAACTTTCTCAGACTCCACCAGCCAGGAGATGTGTCAACCATGCAAACTGTGTGACAACTCTCACTACAGTGTCAACTGTAGCACCACAACTAACAGCCAGTGTGGGCTTTGCCACTTTGGGTTAGTGTATATATTATGGTATACTGTGTGACATAGGAGCATTGAATAAGTAGAGACTCCTTTTCCTTCAAATTCTTGGTCCACCTTTTTCTTGCCTTTACAAATATGTGTATTTAAAAGTGCTCTAAATATATTTCAAGTAGTCTTTGTTTTATTTCTATTGTCACACAGTGTGACTTGACATATTAAAGGTTAGATTTACAAAGAGTTCTTTTTTTATGATTACAGGTTCTACCGCACCCATCCAGATGAGGAAAACTGCCTTCCTTGCAAACATGTTATTCCCTCTTACACCTATCTTTGTCAAGAATGGCTGGATACACAGAAAACAACCATTCCAACCAACACTGGGCCTCCTATGGATGTTTCTACTGAACCGGTTACAACAACAAAAAACACATTAGTAGCAACACCAGACAGAGATGCCCTTGCACTCTCATCAAGTAAGCAAACATGTAGCACAAATACACAACATTTTGAAATCTAAGTTCTGGAGAAAAAACAATGACTACAGTTTTTATGTCAGTTTGCTACAAATCACTGTGGAAGTATAGACTGATCTACATTCTAATATGCTCTCGTATTGTGGAGCATTTTTCTTTTTAGGTTGGTTTGCATCATAAATCATCAGCCTTGTGAATTCAATAAAGATAAGTGGCATATGCCTGTTCAAGTATCACAATTGTAAATCACTTTTCAACTCGTCCCGTTTGTCCCTGTTTGTCTAACCATTATTATATTATATTTGTGCTTTTCAGAAACCGATTCCAGTGGCTATGATCCAATAGTTATAATTATGACAACTATCGCAGTCTTAATTGGGCTTGGAGTTTTTACCTTCATCGCAGTGCAATGTCACAAACGTGGATCTCTCCCATGTCATAAGGGCACAAATTCTATTCCAGGTAGGAGTTCGTTTACATCTAGTCATGTCATGTGCTTAATTAAGTTGTGTCACTAAAACAATCAAATCAGTTCATTTGCAGGAGGTAATACAGGGAAATGGTGGCCGTTTATGTTGTTGATTTATGAATTCATACAAATGTCATGAAATCACTTGAAATGTCGGTTGCCAAGAGTTGCAGCTGAAACTGACAGCAGTGCTCTCAAGTACTCATAATCTGTACCAAACATCATTATTATCTTTTTTCCATGCAGAGTGAAAGGCAACCAAGTTCTTCCAAAAACTAATTGCAGTGAGGGTCGCTTCAATGAGACTTTGTTATGCAAACCAGTATTACACAACTGTTGCTTAAGCTGGCCAATGAACAATGGTGAAATCTCATAAAAATCTAGGTATGTTTGCTCAAACACAGAATTTTTTTTCAGCATCATATGCAAATCTACATATAATAGATTACCAATGACATGTTAACATTGAATGCAGCTGAAGACAAGGATCGACATGATACAGATGACCCTGAAGCTGAGCAGCGGGACAATAAGCTCATCAACTTAGAAGAAATACAGACTGAGGAAGGAGAAGAAGAAGACACAGATGCCCTTCTGTCAAGAACAGAGAGACCAAATGGGTACGAAGCTTTAGCCACAATTTTATATAATATGGAGTTCTATTGTAATGGTGCAATCGATAAAAATGTAGAAATTTTAGATAACAAGATAAAATTTTGATAAAATGACTTTGATGTTTCAGTGTTTGAAAATCTATTAATAATAGAGTTTTTCTTGTTTTCCAGCATCACACCGGGTGCTTCAGGCACAAACAAAGATGAGGACAGGGATGGCCCAGAGGATGACCCCCAAAAGAGCGGCAGCTCCTCCACTGCTTCATCCACCAGTTCTCTTGACACCGAGAATGGAGACGAAGCAGCCACGGCTCCTAAGGGTCAGGGGGACGCAAATGACTGCTCAGATCCTTCCAGTGGCACCGAACTCTTAAAGGGCGAAAGACGACCCAAAAGCCCTAAAAAGAGAGCCAGCTATGGTAGTTACGGTAGCCAGAAGAGCAGGCTGTCATCCCAGCTTTCCCCATCCTCAAGCAGTTCAGAAGGCTCAATTAATGGAACTGTGGAAGCTTTACCTTGTAAACAGAACAATGCCACACCCTACAGGGCAGCTAGTCCAGCTGTGGCCGGTCATCCAACATTTGTCAAGTGGTCAGCTCCAGGGGGAACTGCTGAAGGTAAGAATATTTGAAGCTTATTCATTGATTCATTGCTGATGTTTTTTATGATTGTAAAGCTCAGGCCACACCAATTTAATTTGTTGGTTCTCGGATTCGCCTCTTCGTTTTTTTCTGGTTTGCAAAAAAAAAATTTGATTCTGGTCCTGAATCAACTGAAAAATGCTCATGTTTTGCCCCCCAACAGTTGAGGAAAGTCCTTTTCTTCCTAGTAGTTACAGTTTTCCCATCTATCATTGCAGTGGTTTGATTAAAAGTTCAAAATTCAATGTTTAAATTTTAACCCAGCCTTTTGTGTTGACTTCATGGCTCATTTTGTAGCATTTAAGCCTATAATAGGATGCCTAGACCTGTTTTTATTTTTTTTTTCCCTGTCGCTTCATATTTTTTCTGAAAAAATCCAAGAACCAACAAATTAAATTGGTGTGGCCTCAATACAATTTATCTGATCCATCATCTTCAAGAGAAGAGAAAATATTGCTTGACATATATTATACAATGTTCTGCATTTTGCAGAGCGATTTACAATATTGCAGTAGAAAAATCCTACATTCTGCAATTTTGCTTTATTACGTTGAGAAGGTTGTCTTATGGAGGCATGTGTATTTGCAGGAAGTGTTTTTAAGAGAACAAAATTTTAACCTGCAATATTGCAGAACATTGAAAAAAATATTTCTACTGTATATCTCTCAGGGGTCATCCTTTGTGTCAATTAAACATTTGTTGTTGTTTTTCTAATCCTTTCTTCTAGTTCTCCTAGGGGAGACATTGCTGTCCAACAGTCACCATCAAAATGCAGTTGGTTGGATGGATGTGCACAAAGGATCCAGACCAGTGGTGGAGATGCCTGATGGACGTTTGGTGAATCAAACTGCTCGACTACCCAGTGATCATGAGTCATCAACAGAAGCAAAAATGGTTAGTCCAACAGCTCTGATTGTCAGTTGCAAATTCCTTTCCAGTTTCACATTATGTAATGTTCCTTGATATGAATTTACATCTATGTATACTGGATTGGCAGGTACATTGATGTCTCCCCTATCCTTTTAACTGCAGGAGATGACTGACGAAATTCGAAACCTGTTTAACAGGGCATGTAACAAGTGTGGGGGTAAGCTCAATTTCTGTACTCCTACTAAACAGATAAAGTGTTCTATAGTTCTATGTAGCAATGAAAGTCATTGCCGCATGATAGAAAAATTTGCTGTGCAATCTTCATTTCCTATTTTTCATGGAGCAATTTTCAAAACTTTTTATTTGTAGAAGTAAGGATTCTTAAAAGGACATTTCATGATTTCAACTTTTCATATTCACTAATGTAACATCTCTGTTCTCCTAAAATATCTTGATAATCAACAATCCTCTAACATGACAAATATGTGAAGAACAATTTACATGCAAGAATAAATTGATACATGTATATACTCTGTTTTCTTCTACCTAGATCAAGGCATAAAGGAGCTCTCACAAGACGCAAGGGATGAACTGGCAAATCACTTGAACCCGGAACCAAACAGAGAAGGAGTGCACTCCAACTGGGTACATCTCGCAGACAGATTCAAGGTTGAGGGAGCTAAGAGAGATAATCTTCAAGAAATGAAGAACCTCCTTCAGCTTCTGCAGACAAGAAATAACTGTACCATCAGGGAACTCCTTCAGAATGTAGCTTCTATAGAAAGATTTGATGCACTTGAAGCAGTTTGCCGGGTTCTCCTACAAGATAGCGAAAATTCCCTTCAAGATACATCTGTATAGTATGGAGTATTGGAGAAGATAGTGTTGGTCTCTTCATTTCAGAATTGTTGGGTTATGTTTTGTTGGTAAATGACCATGCAAACCAATAAATAAGAAAAAAAAGTCTTTTCACTATTTCTGAGTCAATGTTTTAGAGCAGTGTCTGCACCTTACATGCATTTATTGTAAGCAAAATTAAGAATGCATGAAGTCTCCGTATATGAATGTTTTGTGTATAAATGTTGATAAAAGTATTGTACTGGTGCTGTATTGGAATAAAGCGTATTTCCTACTCCACTGCTCTTTCTGTACAATGTTTACATATTCTATCTTTACCGGCAAGTCTTTTCTATTTCTGACATATGTGCACTCACTCTAAGCTTACATACGGCTGATCTTACATCTTACTAGTATCTAAACCTCTTTTGACCCCTTCGCTATCTTAACCCAAGGAGGTTGAAGAGCAGCTTCAACACACTGTTTAGAACAAACTTCACGAAATATTGGGCCAGCGAGTGCAAGGAGTCTCATAGCATATCGGATGGCACAAAGAGAGCAAGAAATACGAGTCTTTTACATTATCTGACGCTACAGACACCTGTTCCGGCTCGGGGGCCAGGTAAACAGGATGTAGCATCCGTCAATGCACGCAGGTTACCTCTTTTGACACGTATGGTGCCGTGTTTATTCTCACTGTGTTATATATATATATATACCTGTTGATACCTACCGCCATTGTTTCCAGATATAGCGTTCTTATAAACAGTATACTAGTAGCATCCTAAGTTCGGTCGTTCTGTAGGTGTTCTGCTTCGCAAGAGCGATGCCTGTTCGTGTAATACTTTTTATCTGGTTCCCTGCGGTGTTGTGTGGCGTTACAGACGCAGGATTTTTCTCGGCGGTTGTACGGCTGGAAAAACTGGTGCAGAAGGAAAGAGAGGTCGTGGCTAGGGTGAAGCGGTACATACAGGAAGGCGGACAAGTGTCTGCAGATATGCAACGGTAAGTTCAGTCAATTATTTTAATAGACCCATTCTTACAAAAAGGGAATGCGACAATAGAATCATTAAAATATACCAACGGGGTAACTCACCTGGTACTAGTATTTATTCTAGCCCCGTTTCGCTGACATGCTAAAATATAGTTTGGCCCTCGTCTTCATGTCTGGTCCTTACATGTCTTTAATCTTTTGGGGTATAGAATATTTCTCTGAAGGAATATAATAGAATCAAACTTGGAGATGCCGGTTCGAAAGATCAATCTCTGTTTTTGTACAATAAGATAACTGGTGTACATTTAGCAAGGAAGCGAGGAGCGAACAGGAGCTAGAATACGTACCAGACAAGCAAGACAACTAAGGATGGCTGAATTTCAATAGCTGCAGGAGATAGGAGTGCAGTCATCAATGACCTTCTGTTGTTGCTGATCAGATACGTCAACAGTTTTGATGACGGCTCTCCCCGGCATGACAACATCGCACACCACCCCGTCAGGGCTTACCTCCTGATCAAGCGACTGAGTCAGGCCCCCAACAACCTGTCTGAGGCACAAGTACTCACCGGTGAGTGCAGCAAACAGTCGACTTTTAGAGAAAGTGTCGACCACATGGTTTACGTACCATAGAAGCATGTTTGGTATTGTTTGTAGCAAAGATAGCTGTTCCGGGGTGTATTCAATTAAATGAATTAGGTATTCCATGATTTTATATACTATATATTAGATACATGCTATATGTGAAGTGCTATGATAACGTTTTGATCCATGACTCGTCCCTTTAGTGTAACTGCTCATATTCAAAATGTGGAATAAACAATATTTAATGAATAAACGCTAGAAACGTGCCAAATTAAACGGATCTAACGTTGAATGGATACATGCACAAACCTCAATTTTCCTTGTATCAAAGTGTTGTTTAATTCCCAGTGCAACGTATATAGCTATCTCAAATTGCAACACTATGGAGACAACTGACAATTGTTAGCTACGCATTCATTGCCAATATGTCACATATTAACGACGATATTTTCTTCATACGTGGGAACATTTTGGGAAAGGAGAAGAAGTCGAGCTGCCGACCGCTGAAGACCTGTACATGTCCGCCCTCGCTCTGGTCAGACTGCAACACGTGTACAACCTGGACATGCGCAGTCTCGTCCAGGGGCAGATTGTGATGGTGCAGCAACCAGCCAATGACAGACAGCCTGAAATGGTGAACGTCATCAGCACAAAAGACCCGACTCTCTCATTGGACACTTCAGACACGTTCTATATCGGGGATGTGGCATATAAGGAAAATAGCTTCTACCAGGCCATGCTGTGGTTCAACATGACCTTGGAGATGTTGAAGGTCAAGGACGAACCGACTGAGCAGGGTTTGAAGATCCTAGATGTTCTACTGAAGTTAGCGGATACAGTACAGAGGGTAAGGTCGTTAAGCTTATTCTGGAACAATCGCTCGAATATATACATGATTGCAAATCCAAAGTTTTAAGGTTTTGTTGGTGCCAGTTGTTTATTGAAAATATATCACATGAAATAAAGATAATGGGTAAAATCATTTGAGTAAACTAACTAAAATCACTGTCTCATTGTAACGTTATCCATACTTTGTCTGTTATTGCTAAAAATTTCATTGTTCTTTCCGTTTAGATCAAGTGGGACAAGGCTGTGTCCAAGGCGATGATAAAGTTAGGTAAGTTTGAGGCACTAGAGACTTCGACCAGTGTGAGCATGTTTTAATGTGTTGTTTTTTATTTGAGGCTGAATTTTGTTTATTGATGAAATTCAGCTACACACAATGTTTTGATTATGCATGATTCTATGTGAATTTCCAGGAAACGTTTGTGCGGATGAGAGTGAATTCTGCCCTCAGTGGGCCAGTATGGGGGAGTGTGACATCAACACGAAATTCATGATGTACACTTGTCGCTTGAGTTGCGGCGTCTGTGAAGTTGGACAAAGTATGGAACATAACTTGTTTTCCCCCTTTGTAGCTTTATCGGATTTGATTTCTTTATTCACGGAATTGCAGAAAACCAGTTGAGCTAGCAGCAAAGAAATAAAAATATATTGTGAGGTGTTTTGCAATTAGTTGACAGGGTCCAAATGAACAAAAGAATGATAAATGCCTAATAATCACACAGTAGCGCATTTTGCCTCTCGGACATTGTTTTTTTTTTCTCACAACATACAAAGTACAGGTCAACTCTAGCCAATTTTGCTAATGTGCTCTTGTTGGTTTCAGACGTGAAGGCACACAAGGATGACGCCAATGCAGACGATCTAAGACTTCTCTCAAACTTATTAAGAAACGTCACGTCATCCATAAGAAAGCCTTTCTATGTTCACGAAAACCTCTGCCGCCTGGGAGTTCTCAAGGTGTGCTACACAGTTATTTTTTGCTTTTATCAGATAAAGTTTGGTGCAAATAGTCACGTGTTGGGGGGAAGGGATGAAATGCATCATTCGAAGAAATATCATGGCCTGTACAACGCTTTAGCTGCCGGAGACCAGACATTGGTGAAAAAAGAGAACCACAGGTGTACTTTTTCTGTTACCGGTGCAAGGAGAAAGCTTTGTTGATGACCAACGTATCTTGTCAACCTAGAACCAAGCTCCCCCACACCCGACGCTTACCTGTAGATACGTCCGCCCCAGCCCGTACTTCTACCTCAGTCCGGTCAAGATGGAGGTTCTGCACGACAGGAGCCCACTGGTCACCCTGTATCATGACGTCATCACCGACAAGGAGGCCGACTTTATGACGGATATGGCGCTCCAGAAGGTACTTCGTCTAGTAACTAGTGGCGTCAATATTGTAAGATGTAGAGCAGGAGTACATTGCAACAAAGCGATTTTTCTGATTCTCGATCATGTGCATATATTTCTGTGCATATATTTCTGTACATACTAGTAACAAGTTATTTATTAAACGAATGATTTAGATTTAAGGGTAAATGTTTTCTTCAGTGGCATTAATGCATTTTTGCAGTTGGCGAGGTCTCCAATACAGGCCGCAGATGGACGCGGGCCGGATGTCTTGAGTTCGACCAGGATCAGTGAAACGTAAGGAACTGTTTCTTTTGTGGGCGATGAATGCACTGGGTGAAAAATTGCTTTAGTTAGAATCCCACTTTGATGTACCCCAATTTTTTTACCTTTGAATAGTAAAAAATACCCCAATAAGATTTAAGTATAGGCCATTCTTTGAATATAGATACGCGCATGTCTGATTATTATAACCCGGTTCCAGTGGGTGGCTATTCGACGCTGAAGATCCGATGATCGCGAAGTTGAGTCGCCGGGTTGGGCACATCACTGGTCTGGAAATCAACTGTCCTGCTGCCGAGGCGTTTCAGGTAAGGTCAACCGTTGTTTCAGTTTAGGAAGGATATCAGATCAACACACATACAGTAACGGTTAGTGTTGTACAGAACATAGTCACCCCTGGAAGATTCTTCAATCCGTATATGGGGAAACCAATTTTTCCACCAGCTTTAGTTTTACTTCTAAATCAAAGCATGTGTCTTCATTTTGCTTTATCTACATCAAAAAAGTATCTAATGATTATCAATTACTGTAAGCATTAAAGCACGGAATGTTTTTGACTGATTTCTGCCCTTGCTTCAAATGTTTTTACCATAAACAGATGCACATCTACAGAATTGCCTTCTGATATGCTTCAGGTGGTGAACTACGGATTGGGAGGACTTTACGAGCAACATGTGGACGTTTTGAGGGTTCCTGAACCAACCCTGCTTTGCTTGTCACAGGTATAACATCGCATCTCATCAATGAATGGGAAGTTGATAATGAGTAAAGAATTCATGAGTCAAGCAGATATTTCTTCTTTGTTGTACCAATTAATGTTGCTTCCTTTCTGACTATTTTGCACATCTGCAGGATAAGCAACCGGAGATGATGCCAACTGGTGAGAGGATTGTAACTTTCCTCTTCTATGTAAGTTTGATATCATATTGCTGAGACATATAGTTGTATACCCATGCTATTACTACAAAGTTATTGTTTGTTATAAGTATATGCAAGTTAGTGGGACACTGTATCTTTAACAGTTGGTATCATAAAACCGAGACATTGTTGTAGAAAGATATTGCTATTCAACTCCCTCAGAGTGCACAGTGTGTGTGCGTTAGGTAGAAATAGTTGTTAGCATTCTGTTCTTCATGTGCTGAATGCATTGCATGTACACGATTTTACATCACATGACGTTCGTGCTTAAATAGAAAGGATACAACAAATTTACTCGATACTGCATGTATAGTTACATTTATTACATCACTATAATTTATTTTGATTCCAGCTTAGTGATGTTGAAGCCGGTGGGGCAACAGTATTCCCTAATCTTAACCTGGCTGTCCATGCTGCTAAAGTAAGGAACATTAACCAATTGTATTAAATTTAGTTCTGTTCATCACATATTGGTACAATGTATAACAGACTTTCTGTGTAGCACATTAGCTTTCCTTCACACACCTGGCTGCTGGTTATATTACATGTACATTAAATTCGCCACCCCTGATACTTGAATATTATGATGATCTAAGTCACTTGAAACACATCAGTGTGAATGATGTTGGTTTTCATTAATGGTTAGTACATTGCAGAAGGTATAGTATTTCAGCACTAATACGATCATCACATATTAGTAAGTACTGTCTGCCATGCTGGACTGACTTGAAACTGTGTCCTGTTTCAGAATAGTGCAGTGTTGTTTCAAGATTTGAAGAAATCTCTAGCCTTTGAGGAGAATTCACTACATGCTGGTTGTCCTGTTCTATTGGGGTCCAAATGGAGTAAGCCTAAAACTTCCTACAATCCACAGATTTCTTGAGACCTGTTCGATTTTATTGTATGATATGTACAATTAAAACTGATTCTGAAATCCCTAAATATGCATATTATTATTAGCTTGTCAGAGATGATGGTTACTGTTTTGTATCAAACATCTGTATGCATTGCATTATTGACACCATTTCTGATTCATTTTCGTTTCATTTCAGTTGCAAACAAGTGGATACGTGCACATGGTAATGAGTTCAGGTGGCCATGTGGTCTCACACCGGAAGAGTGATGGTCTCACACCAACGTAACACATTGGAGGAGTGGGTAGAATACACCTGTGAAACGACCCCGAAGAGAATGGAGCAACTGTCTTGGAAAACAATGATCCTCAATATTGTCCCATGTAGAATTTGTAAAGAAAATAATGTCACATATCAATACAAAGACAATGCATAAAAGGTTTTTATTAGATAAATTATTATGGTGCAATAAACTAATGTTACAGTTAACCAATAAATTTCTTGCCTAAATGGTGATGTTGACTCAATAGCTATTTCACTACTTTTCCTTCTGGTGACCATGACTATACACAAAATAATCAATATCTGAGGTATACAGACACCTGACCTAAAATTAGCCAGTGGCAGAGCACAAGTAGTTAGTAGATATTTTCTTTACACCATTGTCAAGGTTGTACTCATTATCTGCTGCATTTATTTTGCCACTGTAAATACATCAACACATCTGTAAATATACATGTATGTTAAAATTTCTCTTCTTGTTAGCATTCAGGGCAGGATATTCACATAAAACACTATACATAATTTCTGCTAATAATAGATACACCTATATTAGGTACTGTGCATTGCTTCCCTTTGCTGTTAAGCGCTGAAGATTTTCTTCAATGGCTGTGATGTTTGGGTGATTGCTGTCCCCATGATGTATAACCTTCATCATGGCTAAGGCCTGTCTGTAGTAGCTGACTGACTTCTCCCTATCTAGTCCCTCCCAGACCCAGCCAAGGTTGTTTAATGAGATGGCAAGGACAGGATGTACAGAATTCTCACCAAGGATCTTCCGCCAGGTCTGCAGTGCCTGCTCCCTGTAGCTAATGGACTTTTCCAACTCGCCAAGATCTTCCCAGGCTGATCCCAGGAAGCTAAGGTTGGAGGCAATGTCGGGGCGTGCAGCATTCTGGCCATAGATATTTCTAGTCATCTGCAATGCTTGTTCCTGATAGCCAATGGCCTTTCTCTTATCACCAAGTGCACCCCAAGCACTACCCAGGTTGTTTAGTGAGGCTGCAATGCTTGGATGTTCGGATCCTTTACCAAAGATTTTTTGCTTCATCTGAAGTGACTTTTCATAGTAGGTAATGGCCTCTTTAACATCACCAAGGTCTTGCCATAATGAAGCCAGGTTATTTAGACATGTTGCTATGTCAGGATGTGGATTCTCACCATGGATATTCTGGTTTACCTCTAATGCCTGTTCATAGTACCTGATGGCATTCAACTTCCTCACACCATCAAAACGACTCCATGCAGCCCCTAAGTTATTGAGTGAGGTGGCAATGTCATGATGTGGAGTACTTTCTCCATAGATATCACGTCTCATTTGAAGCGCCTGTTCATGATAGCTGACAGCCTTCTCATGATCACCTAGATGACCCCAGACCAGCCCCAAGTTGTTCAGTGAGGCAGAAATGTCAGGATGTATGGCACTCTTGCCGTACATGATTTGCCACACCTCCAGTGCCTGTTGATAGTAGTCAATGGACTTCCTATGATCACCTATGTCATCCCAAGCCGATCCCAGATTGTTCAGTGAGGCAGCAATGTCAGGATGTGTAGAACTCTTTCCATAGATCTTTTTCCTCATCTGTAGTGCCTGTTCATGGTAGCTGATGGCCTTTCTCTTGTCACCAAGGTTATCCCATGCTGTTCCAAGGTTGTTGAGTGAGGCAGCGATGTCAGGATGAGCAGCAGTTTCACCATATATGGTACGTCTCATCTGCAGAGCCTGCTCATAGTACACAATGGCCTTCTTGTAGTCACCAAGACCATCCCAGGCAGATCCCAGGTTGTGAAGTGAGGTGGCTATGTCAGGATGTGTGTCATTAAAGATCTCCTGTCTCATCTGTAGTGCTTGCTCATGGAAGTTGATGGCCTTTCTTTTATCTCCAAGACCATGCCAGGCAGATCCAAGGTTGTTGAGGGAGACAGCAATGTGAGGATGAGAGGCACTCTCACCATGGATCTCTCTAAGCATGTTAAGTGCCTGTTTGTGGTAACTGATAGCTTTTCTTTATCTCCAAGACTGCTCCAGGTTGACCCCAAGTTGTTAAGCGTGGTGGCAATATCAGGGTGTGTGGCATTTTGCCCATAGATGATGTGCAGCATGGCCAGTGTGTGTTCATGGTACCTAACAACCTTCCTGTCATCACCGAGATCATGCCAGGCTGATGCCAAGTTGCTCAGTGTAGTTGCTATAGCAGGATGTGCAGCACTCTTGCCATAGATACTTTGCCTCATTTGTAATGCCTCTTCATAGTAGCCAATGGCCTCTTGATAACTGCACAGGGTTTGGTATATGGCTGCTTGCACTTGAGGAGAAGTGTCATATAAACAGGATGGGACATTCTCCGTGTGGTCTTTAGAAAGGTTCAAAATTAACCTCTTTAGGGGCATGGCTGAGTGATAGTACCTCAAAAGCTGTTTCTTGTTGGAGTAGTAAAGCACCTTCCTCAACTCCTCACTGCTTGCTCCACCCACCTGCATTGATGACAACACTGACATGTTTTCCTTCTGTCCACCGTTGCTGAGGTACGTCCGTAGCCTGACTTCTGCTGAGATGCTCACTAGCACACTCAAATGGTGTGCATTTTCATGCCCTATCACTCTTTCCAGACTTGTGATGGTTGACCATATTGTTGGGGGTGTGATACCGTGGAAAAGTGCCAAGTAGGTCGCTGATAATGTAGGCAGCCTGTAGATTTCCTTTTTAACGTCTAATAGGCGGGCAGTCACCTCTTGCTTCTCAAAGTGTGCCAGGTTGTCACTCACTATAACCTGTGCCAGCTGGGAAGAGCTAACTCTGCCATCAAGTGATGTCTTCAGTAGGGTATTGTATTCATCAACCAACTCCTTATCTCCATGAATCAAAGAGACATTTCCAAGGATAAGAGCAAGATGGTAGCCTTCTTTCAGATACTGGTTGGCATCTCTCTCCAACAACTTGATCATATTTTGTGGTGTGTGAATAAGTTCACTGGCTGGTGTTGTCAGAGTCTTGCCTCTCCCAAGTGGAGTTTTACTGGCCTTTGGCATGGCTCCATCAAACGCAAATCCACGGGGTGTAACAGAATCATAGAACCAGTTATCAGCAGGGTCACCTGAGTAAAAGTCGTTGAGTGACTTGATACCCATGGCCGGGAGTATGGTTTCTCCCAAGCTGATCACTTTGAGATGTAGATAATGAGTGAGGTTGCGGAAATAGATGACATTGCTCTCACTATCATCCTCTATCAGGATCGAAAACTCCAGATCAGAGTAAGGAGTTACCAAACCTATTGCCTGAGAACCCAAACCTATCAGGCTATACTTGCAGGGAGGGGGACCCATCTCTTTCATACATTCATCAAGTAACTCTGCTATGAAAAACCTACGACTTTCTGTGATTCTGTCAAACAATGTCCTTATCAAGCCCACCCTGTTTTCTTCCTTCTCTGTTCTCTTGGGGTCACCCTCTTCAAGTAAATATGGATCTTCCTGTTGATCTACTGCCTTGATTCCTTTCTCAGCATCTGCCCTCATCTCTTTTAGCTGCTTCTTGTGCTCCTTCTCTTCACAAGGATCTGCTGCGATGTTGATCTCTAAAACATGCTTGCAAAATGATGTTGTTATGGTCTCTACTGTAAACTGGTCATGCTCTAGATCTGTTGCTGCTCTAACAGATGCTGCATTACAAAGTGCTGCAGCTTTGGTGAAGTTACCTGCCTCTTTTGTTGCCTTCCCTCTTTGTAGATAGACATTGGCCAATCTGCACAGAGGTTCTGCCTCTTTTTGGTACTGGACCGCACTGGAATCTGAATGAGAGAACAATTCAATGTAATTCTACACTGTCAACATCTGATGACTCGTATGATCTCATCATGACATAGCTGATTCTGTAACCCTAAACTTACCTCTCACATGTACAGCCTTAAGTGCAGCAGCAAAGTGCTGTTCAGCCACATCTAAGTCTCCTCTCTTTAATGCCTCATCACCCTCCTGTAGATGTTCTTTGCATAGCCTATAACAAAATTAAAGTACTAAGGATTAAGAAAATTTAAAAAATGTTTAATTCTTGACTTCTACATTGTCTTGTCAGCAGGACTAGTTTTTTGTAAGAGCCACAGACTAGTTGAGTAGCCCTGGCTGTCTTTCACAGTAAAACCAATAAATAAATAAATAGATAAACATAAGCAACAAATGGTTTAGAAAAGGTGTAGCCAAGAAGATTTAAAAAAAGACAAAAGGACAAAATGCTTTGACACAGAGTAATTATAAGTCTCTAACCTGTCTGCATCCTTTATGTTGTGTGCTTCCATGCTGCTGCTTGCAGACAGAGCCACACTGGAGCTGTAAACAAAATTAAATGTCAATCATTATAATGATGATGACATATGCTCTGCTTGAATATATGGTAACAGTCACTGGGATTCAAGAGCTTGTTTTTTTTTTAAAGTGAAAATGGAACATTCTGTACTGGATTAAAGCTGACATACATGTACGTTTCTCCCTTCTTGTGACTGCTGGATTGCTGATGGACTTCTTCACCAGTGGCCAGGCTCACATTCTCTTCAGCAGGACTCTGCTCCTGCTTCTGAGGTTCAACACGAAAACAAGAGCATTACAGGAAATACTCTAACAAAATAATGAAGGGCCACAGTAATCACTGACAAGTACTATAACCCTATATTACATTGATTTCTTAGTTTTGAAATGCTGCAGTTTCCACAAGTTGGAAAACTGTGAATCTTAGAGAGATGGAAAAGATAGAGTCATATAACAATGATGCCTGAACAAAAAATGGAAAACACCTTATAGATGCAAAATTAATATTGATATTGGTGGAAGCTAAACTTTGGGAATGCTTTAACTCTATAGTAGATAATGACATACTAATGCATACCTTCCGTCCCTCTTGCATGACTCTCTCTATATTCTGGATGCGGTCCTTCAGGATGCTTTGAGCTGAGTGGGTGGACATTTTCAGTGCAGCCTTGTATAGCCCTTTGGCTTTGACAAAGTCAGTGTCGTCCTCATTGCTTCTTCCTCTCTCCGCATACAGATCTCCAAGGCTTTTCAACGCCTCTGTTTTGAACCATTGGTTTCTTTCCAAGATTGCCCTAAGGTATGCGTGTGTATAACCTTCTATCAATGGTTGAACACCCTCCCCTCTAAGCTTATACTTTTCTCTCACTTCTTGAAGTGCCATCATGACATCCAATATAGTTGACACTGAGGTTTTAGTCTCCAACTTTTCCACTTCAGGGCAGTACACTAGCTTCATGCACTTTTCTGCATATTTGATGCGGTGTTCCATGACCAGTTGCTCATTCTTGTCAACACTCTGTTGTAAGACTTCACTGTACAGGGCACAAGCTTTGTTGAAGTGTTCTTCCTTGTCCTTGCTAACTTTAGCTTTCTGTAGGTACAGATCTCCAAGACTTTTCAATGCCTCAAACTCCAAAACTCCATTCCCACTGCTTAATGCCTGGATAAGCTTACTTTCATAACCACGCTCTGCAACTTCAAGACGGAAGCCACTTTCAAGACTCAGGTCTAACTCAAGCAGCTCCTCTGCAGCTGTCGCTAGTTTGGGTTCTGACTTCTGACTGCCCCTTTCTTGTATACGTTGTGAATTCATGCTCTTGATAGCTGAAGCCTTTGTCTTTTCGGCAAACCTTATCCTGTGTACCAAAGACACTTGCCCATCACTATCATCACAATGCTCTAGTGCAGCTTTATACAGCTTTATAGCATCTTCTAGCATGTTTACATTTCTATCACAAGAATTTTGCCCTACTTCAAGATTTACATCAGCAATACCTTTCAAGGCCTCAACTTCAAGCAATGTATTGTTGCTTACTATGGCAGATACTAAGGCATCTTCATAGCCAATTTTGACAGGATCCAAGTCAGCTGCATTCTCTAGTGCATTGTCTAAGGAACCTAGTATTTCAGAAACCTGTGATATGGTCATCTCTTGTGTATGGGATTGGGTTTTGCTGTGTTCTTCGCCTTTGTCAGGGGGTAGTGTGGCGACTTGTTTGTCTGCATACTTGATCTGTCGTTCAAGTGCCTCTCTAGTAACAACATCTTTACATCGTCTTAGAGCAGCCCTGTACAGAGCAGAGGAGTTCTTTAAGTTTGCCACAGCCTTATTTGCACAGCCTTCTTGAAGACTTATATCCCCAAGACGCCTCAAAGCTGCAACTTCCCGTGACTTGTCTTGCCTTGCTATGGCTTGTACCAGTTCTGCCGTATGGCTCCTCTTCAGAGAGTCCATATCAGCACCATGGACAGCCCCTTCATCAGATGTCACACCCATGTCAAATGGTGCTTCAGCTTCCTGCAAGGTTTAGGGCCAAGTCCTGGTTGACCAAATCCCTATAAAACGCCCAAACATTCGAACGTCAACTTCACAACTCAGTAAAAACACAGCTTAACTGAAGTTTTAACCAATTTCTCCTTCATCACGGTATGTTGATACAATAGACCAAAAGCTACAGTAACTACCTTTTTTGAGTCACGCTTAAGAACTTCTTACCTTCGAGGAAAGCACTCTTGGACTTAGAGACGACAATAAGTGCAACGTTACCTGAAGTTGCGAACGCGGAAGTGTTTTCCAGTTTCAGGTGCAAAGTAGGGACGTCTCAGATATCAACAGGGGGCGCTCCGTTACCGCTAAACATGAAAATGGTGGAAAGTTTATGAAAGAATGTAGTGTTCCTAAGTTCACCATTATTTGCTGATATTATTTCGGTGATTTGTGCTACTTGTACTAATCAAGATGACATGTAAAATCCATGGTATGCAAGCCTCCCCCGAAAATTAAATGTACGGTCCCTCATCTGGGGTCAGGTCACACGTAAAGCGTCAACAACATGGCGACCGTACTCGCCACAAAAGTATTTTTCCCGCTTTCGAGGCTCCATTTCAGATGTCTAGCGGCTTGCCAAAGAAACTGCAGCAATGCAAACGGAAGTTCCTCGCCTCTGTCGGGGAAAACGGTCAGGATCGGCTGTGCTTCTGGGTTCTGGGGCGACACAGCGACCGCAGGTGGGTTGAAAACTTTTGAGGGGGAGGGGGGCGTTTAGAGTAGATTAGATTTTCTACCCGCCAAGATTTTATATAAAGAAGGACTTCAATATAACGGCCTTGACGTAGTAGCACATTTTGCAATGAACCCAGGGATGTCTTAGTAATTTAATGTATTATGAACATGCCGTCAAATTTGATACTGATATATCGTGATAGCCTAGCCAGTATTGTACATCTGAGGTTTGTAACATGATAATGATATTCTACTGCAGCCCCCCAGTTGATCCACCAGGGGAATATCGAGTTCCTGGTGTTTGACTACCTGGCAGAGATCACCATGTCTCTTCTGGCTGCAGCCAAGCAGAAAGACCAGGTAAGTTTAATATGTCAGGTTCTTCTACAGGAAGAAAACTGAGAAGGAATGCAAGATACCCTTAACCACATATGCATGCTTTCTTTCAAGGGAGTAAAGTATTGCTTTTGGCTTGTGTGTGTGAGCATGTGTGTGTGCGTACATGCATGTATGTACACATGTTTTTCATAACGTTAAATGCATTCCCAGCATAACTATTGATTGTACCTGTACTAATGATGAATAATGATAAATGTATCTGAACAATACAATGTCCTTGATCTGAACATAAACAGAAGGTAATTTGTGTCTCAGCAGTGGCCAGAAACTGTTACATTGAATTTAATTTAAGGCATTCTTGTCCTTCCTTTACAGAATTTCGGCTATGCTCCTGATTTTGTCCGAACAGCTATTGGACCCTTCATAAAGGATATCAAGAAGAAAGGTATGCTTCTCCTTTTATATAACGTAATGTAGTCCTATCAACATTCTCTTACAATCACTACTCTCTCTATATATATATCTCCTCTCTATCTGTGTGGTGTGTAATGCCATAGGAGTTACAGCTGTGTTTTATAATGCCCACCAGGTATCCGTGTTGTCAGTAATGCAGGAGGAGTTACACATGTGTTCTGAAATGCCCACCAGGTATCTGTGTGGTCAGTAATGCAGGAGAGGTTACACATGTGTTCTGAAATGCCCACCAGGTATCCGTGTGGTCAGTAATGCAGGAGGAGTGAACCCTCAGGCCTGTGCTGTAGCACTGCAGGAGGTGGCCAAGAAATCTGGAGTGGACCTGAAGATTGCAACCATATTTGGAGATGATCTCATGCCACAGGTGATCTTTTATCTGCTTGTTTAGGTCAAGCAATGACTTGGTATTTTTTTTAATGGTAAGGCTACTGTGTTGTAGATGTCAAAGATAAAAGTAGTACAGAAAAGTACTATGCTACAGTTGCAGGTCTTGCCTTTAGTTTGGGCTTTTTCCTTGAACTGTAACAAACATTATCAGAAAAAGATTTTTAGATTTACTTTTTTGTAGTTCACATGCCTTCCTAATGTAATGTCTGAAAATTTTCACAGTGTAACTCTATGGATCATAATGTTGCATAGTGAATGGCTATCTGATACATGTTTTGATTTGTATTGATTTCAGCTTGCAGGTGTTGCAGCCTCTGGTGTGAAAGATTTGGACTCTGGTGACCATCTACCCAAAACTATACACAGTATGAATGCCTACCTAGGGTAAGATAACATCTTCCAATTCAACACTCAAATTTGAATCATCTTGTTCAAAATACTTAGGAGAAGTGCCTTTGATATGGCCTTTTATGGCTCATAAGATGAGAGTTATAATAAATGTTTGATGGCCCTAGACCATAAAGATGCTGTCTTCCCTCACTCTATTTCCATAAGAGCCTTGGCCAATCAACAGAGCCCTACACCTTGAAGATACTGTCTTTCCTTACTTCATTTTTATAACAGCCTTATTTGGTAATTTCTGTAGGGCTCGGCCAATCAGCAGAGCCCTAGACCATGGAGCTGATGTAGTTATCACCGGGAGGTGTGTTGACAGTGCTGTGGTGCTGGGACCATTATTACACACTGTAAGTATTCATTTGTTATACTGTTGGTAGTGTAGGACAGTTTTCAGAACAAACAAACCACAATACTGTTGGTAGTCACACAGGACTGGTTTTGAAATAAAACACTCAACTTTGTTTCTCTGGCATTTTGTGAAAATAATGAATAATTGCTAGAAAGTTATGATTTCATACTGTGTTATCATATTTTGTAATATGGTATGTCATATTGCTCCATAGTTTGGATGGAAGACAACAGACTATGATCTTCTTGCAGCAGGAAGGTAAAAAATGTTTTAAGGAATCCATTTTATAACAGTATATTGTACCACTTTACCCTTGTTAAACTGCCTTATTTGCCTTGTTCAGATAGTGTACAAAGGTCGCTTATATTAGCCACACTATTTTGTCTTGATAAAAGTCCTGTCAGTTATGGTCTAAGACTAAGCTCAAAGTCTACCAAATACATGAAAAAGAGCACTCAATTATTTTATCTGTAAGAAGCCCTTTTCTTGTTGAAAGCTACAAACATTCATTACAGATCCTTTTCAGACATGTCAGCATATTCATGTTTTTGCAGCCTTGCAGGCCATATTGTAGAGTGTGGTGCTCAGGGAACTGGTGGAATATTCACTGACTGGCACACAATACCAGATTGGTAAGTTTGGGTTTGTTCTTTTTTCTTACTTGTGAACTATAAGCATTGAATTAAGCACAGACCAACCAAACACAAGCAAATGATACCACTAGGAAGCAACATAAACTGTGCCATTCACCTTTAAGAAATGGAGTTTGATAGCTCTTGGAAAACAATACAAAATTGTATACATGTACACATAAAAGGTGACAGAAAAATGCAAATGACAGAAAGAATTTGTGATGTCTTTATGTGAAATGTTGATAATGAGGTATATTTATATTGTTCCAGGGACAAGATGGGTTTCCCTATAGTCGAGGTAGCCTCTGATGGACAGTTTATTGTCAGCAAGCCCCCGGGAACTGGTGGTTTGGTATCTGTACCGACCGTCTCCGAGCAGATTGTATACGAGATTGGCGATCCACGTGCCTACCTTCTCCCGGATGTGTCGTGTAACTTTGCAGACGTGACGCTGAAGGAAATTGATGGTTTGTAAAATTTTAACATTGTATAGTATATGGAACAAAGGGTAGAATTCAATTTTAATTTTAATGGGAATGGTGTTCAGCACAAGATTAAGGGATAGTTCTGTTCTGTATGTATGGATAGTGTTCAGCACCAAGGACAGGTCTGTTCTGTATGTATGTATGTATAGATAGTGTTTAGCACCAAGGACAGGTCTGTTCTGTATGTATGTATGTATGGATAGTGTTCAGCACCAAGGACAGATCTGTTCTGTATGTATGGATAGTGTTCAGCACCAAGGACAGGTCTGTTCCATATCTATGGATAATGTTCAGCACCAAGGACAGGTCTGTTCTGTATGTATGGATAGTGTTCAGTATCAAGGGTAGTTCTGTCTTGTATGTATGGATAATGTTCAGCACCAAGGACAGGTCTGTTCTGTATGTATGCATGTACGACTAATGTTCAGCACTAAGGACAGACCAGCATGATGTTTTTAGCTAATGTTTCAATCTTGAATACGTTTTTCCTTTCACAGGTCATGATGGGGGTGCTGTGTTTGTAACTGGTGCAAAAGGAAAACCTCCTTCAAAACAAGTCAAAGTAATTCTTCCTCACATGTTTCCTTTCTCTTCTATATTTTGTCTTGTTGTGTTTGGTACATTAAATTTAGTGAATGGTGGGTGATTTAGAAGGAAGATGAAAAAAAAAATACTCAAGGCAACAAACTTGATGGAATAAGCAACTGATGTTAAAGAAAGCAGAAAGTAGTGACATGATAAGGAAATGTACAAAATGTAGCACCCCACCTTCCTACACTATTTCTAAATAACCATAAAATGATTGTTACACTTAATACAAAAATGCCCAAGCAACTAGATGCTAGTAAGTTCCTTGTTTTGTAGGTGAGTGCGACATATTTTGATGGTTACCGAGCGTTGGCAGTGTGCGCTGTAGGAGGACCCAGGTCTGTAGACAAGGCCAGGAGAACGGCAGAGAGTATCCTGAAAAGGTGTACTGTTTTTTTCTTGTTACTCTGTGAAGGAGGTCTCCCTCCTGCAGGAGTATTGTGGTATATATGATGTAAATATATGATTTTTGGTTTGAGAATGTTGTAGTATGGAGTGTATTGGCAGTTAGTATTTCCAAATTGCAGAACAAAATTTTCACTCTTCTGCAATATTGCAGAGCACTGAAAAAAAGTATTTGTACCACTGGTATTGATTATTATGTCTTCCTTGGTCTTTATATTTTCAGAGTTAGAAGGATATACAAGCAACTTGGAATGGAAGATTTCAAGAAAGTACAGATACAGGTAGTATTGTAGAGCTATTATATCAATTTATGATTCCTTAAGTTGCAAAACCCAATTTTGGATTGATATAAATATGATATTAATACTTGTAGATTGTATAATTTTCTGTAGTACTGAGCTTAACAACACACCATGTGCTGAATGAACACATTCACTGCTTTATGCACTTTTTTCTTCCTTCTTTCCTGTTCTATAGGTTATCGGAGCAGAAGAAACATATGGACCTCATGCCAACCCAACACTTGCCAAGGTTGGTGTTGCTTACTTCTACTTAATCACAGTACAAGATGTTGCTTAAATCCTATACAGTGAGGTCTCCTATATTACATTTTAAGATCACCCAAAGAAGAGGTTGCATTGTTTATCAATATATATATTCAGTCTTAAGAATTTGGTTTATTTGCTGTACCAAATAAAGTGAAGAAGGTCCAGATAGAAACAAAATTTAGATTTTCAAGTTTTCGTCTTGTTCTCTACTGTATTTACTGTGAAATGGCTTTTACAAATGGTATCCTCCCCCCTCCCTGTTCCAATCTGCAGGCCCAGCGTGAAGTTGCCCTGTGGTTTGGGGTGCAGCACAATGATAGAAGAGCCCTGCAGCTGTTTGCAGGGGAGATCGCACCTGCTGGCACCGGCATGGGTTTGTTTCTCAAGTTATCTTTAAAAATAAGTCTTGTCTTTCTTTTTTTCATAGCAGTGTCCATTGGTTGTAGAAGTCAGATAGTTGTTCCTTTAGTTTTAAATCTGTGGACAAGCATGAGGATTGATGAAGACCTACCGGTAAGACATGCAAGCCCTGTTTTTAGTAAATTTGTTCCTTTTCACAGCACCCGGGCTGACTGGTATTGTTGGGGGAAGACCAAGAGTGTAAGTACATGTACCCCATGCCTAACTTCTTTTTGGTACATGTCATTGGTCAACAGTTTATTTGTTCCCCTACCTTGCTATTATAAAGATAAGCACCTGTCTTACATTTTTACCATTAAAAATGTTCTTGTGATGCAACTGTTGTACAGTGTTTGCTTGATTATTGATTTATTCATGGAATGAACTTTTTTCAGGTCCCCGGTGTTGAAACTGTTTTCATTCCTGTATAACAAGGAAAATCTGAAGGTCAGTTTGCCACATCTTAAGTTTTATAAGAACACTCAAAGAATCCCTAACTTTCAAATGCAGTTAGAAAAATGATTTAGGATAATTCTTTATGTAGAATGCACTTTCTTTGTCCAGATTAACATCCATGTGGACGGACAGGAAGTAGAGACCATGGTAGATGACCATGGGGTGGAGGTTCAGCAACAAGAACCCCTGCCTGCAGGGGAGACAGGTAGGAGTGAGGATGTTTTTTTTAGAATCATATATTATGGCAATTTCCAGTTACCAAGACCTCACTGTTTTGACTATGAACTTACTGAACTTCTAGAAAAATAGTTTGAGGCAATGATTCTTCAAATGGACAGACCTCAAATTTACAACTACTAAGTTGTATTTCTGGTTATTTCTGGTTGGTTTGACAGAAGCTGTGGAGAGTGGATCCTGCACATACAGGTTAGAGGACCTTGCTTATACCAGGAGTGGAGACAAGGGAAATTCCTGTAACATTGGTGAGTGCAGTTTACTATACATTATCACTTGTATTTTACAAACACATGTGTTTTTGTCACAGAGCTTGAATAAGCTGTGATTTGGAGCAAAAGTGACAACTCAAAACACTGACTTTTTACTTGAAAAACTGTTTCAAAAATACAATATTGTTTAACATAAAGGAATATTACTTATATTCTCTGTATTCTGCCACCTATCTTTGATCATGCTGAGCAGTTCCATTACAAGTTGCATGGTGGCACTTGTGACATTGTCTCCACATTGTACAAATGTAACTGTACTTCCACAGGTGTGGTTGCCAGGTGTTCATCTTACCTGCCGTACCTGCGAGCTGCCCTCACACCTGAAGCTGTTGAGCAGTATTTCCAGCACCTGCTTGAACCCGCCAATGATGCAGCTCCTCAAGTCATCAGGTAAGAAAGTCATTGCCAGGAAATACATAAACATCTACATGTAACCTAAGGTTTGAAGAAATTTTGTTCCATTGTGAGACATCTTCTACCACTTGAATCTAGAGATCTTTGACATCTGTTTTAGACAATGCCAGGGTATCCCCATTTTTAGAAAGAAATTATTTTTTTCCACTTTATCAGTAACTGATAAAGTGGAAAAGCTGACTATTGCCTGAAACCTGACTGAGCTGTACACATTGTTTGGTATTTCTGAGAACCATTCACAATGACTGGTAATATTATAAGCCAGTTGACGTCTCAATAATTGTCTTTCTTTTGCTGTTGCTGTAGATATGATGTTCCAGGGCTCCATGCACTGAACTTTGTGCTGAAGAACTCTCTGGGAGGGGGAGGAGTTGCCTCACTCAGGAGTGACCCACAGGTAGGACTGTACACTGTTTTTCACATTTAGGGAAATGCATTACTGCTATTATCACATTATGTTTTCTTGTATGATGCATGATGATACTGGTGTCTCTGTATTCAGACCTTACAGTCCCTCTCCAATATTTGTATTTCAGAAAATACCTTGTATAGAAAGACACTCAGGTATTTTGGAAAATATCAATAGAATATGATTTGTGTGCTCTTTTTTTTCTTTTTCCAGGGTAAAGCATATGGACAGATGCTGCTGGATTTCAAAATCACAAATGTTCCAAAACTGGTGCAGTAAAGTGTTTTGAGGAGTGGTGTGTGCTACAGATAGGTGTCACTATTTTTTTTATTTCTGTTGTTTGTCTACAAAAGGAAGATTTAGTTGATGTATGAACTTCAATGTGTGCAGTGAATCTGTGACACAATGTTGATCTAATTGAAGACAATGAAGAGGTCACTACAAAAATCGGATGGTCTTCGATGTTTCAAAAGACATCTTAGTACAACTTATCAAAGAAAGAAAGGGATATTCTATAGCATGTAACAGACTTGTTTTAGCTGTGAATCAATGCACCTGCAAATTATCCTTTTTGGATTTACTTTGTGAGGTAAAATTATGTTATCAATAAATACTGACATGATATATTATGAGATCTGTCTGCAGATGTGTTTGATATTTGTTAATACACACAAAAAAAGAAGCCTCACAACGCATGTGTAAGAAATCACACATTTATGGCTTCTCAAAGCAAGTAGCATTGCACGCATGTTTTTGTCTTGCCTGAACAGGTCTACCTCATGTGTTGGTTCTGCTTTTGTTTCAGTTCTAGAAGCAAATCTAGAAGCAAACATTCTTCGAACACTACAAAAGTATACATGTGCCTGTCAATAAATGACAAAATTGCTTTACCAGGTACTGAATAACTTTTGCACAAAAGAAACGCCTTTACATTCAATATATCAAAAAAAAAGATATCTATGTTACTGAGCTGTTTATTGTCTTATGTACATGTTATATTTGACCTTCAGTACTCCATCTTTGTACTGGTTTAGAGCACCGATGGTCCAACAAACTTATGTGATCGTGAATAACAATCAAAACAAAATCAACATTACAATGCAGTTTTTGCAGAAAATATTTCAAGCAAAGAGTCTTAAGACTTATCAACAAGGAATGTCTACATTTTTCTCACCATAGAATCCTCAAACATTTCTCTAACTGAGTATCCTAAAAGTATCTAAATACATGTAGCAGCCATGGGACAAGAGTTAGTGTGCAAGTGTAACATACATGTTTGCGCTCTTAGAAGCATTTTGCAGCAACAACCACTCAGGTCGATTATGAACCTTAGCTAAATTTTGCCTCACCTACCGTAACACATCCTGCATGTCTATAAGTTGTGAACAATTAGAACATGTAAATTGTGAACAACTACTACAAAAGATAGGCCACATCATGTTGACAACTTGTTACTCAAGCTACTACGCTATCTATATATCAGTGTACGTATTTGTGTGTATCTCTCCTGCATCATGTTGGTGTGCATAGTCAAACCAAACCAAGCCACTGGCTATCTCCAGTGTCCATCCTTCTGTCCCTGGATGTTATGTTGCTGATCCCCCTTTTGGTATTCAACACAGAGCTTTGTTCCATCAGAGAGGATAGAGTAATTAGAGCAGGAGAGAGCTCTGCATCTAGTTCTCATTGATTTTGCAGTTTGGATAAAGACAAATATGTAACTAAGGTGTACCGTGTGAATCAGACATTAAATCAGACTGCGAATCACCCAAGAATTACCTATGATAACTATTTAAAGGCACAAGACTGGTTGCTATTCTGTTACTGGTTTTGTTTTCCTCACAACATCTGTTTCATTACTGGATCTATGAAATCTTGGTGAAGGGTTGTGAGTTCTTTATTGGAAGAGTTGCTGATGAAATTAACCTATCAATCTAGTATCATTTTGTTAATCAAATGCACAAAGCATGTGATTTTCAGGAAACTGAATGACGTTATGATACACAGAACAGAACATGGTGAATACAATTAAGGAACATGGATAGAAATGTCTGAATGTTAGATTTTACTTTAACCATTATGTAAAATCGACAGCACTAACTAGTTTTAGGTTTTCTATGTTCTTGTGGCAGACTGTTGCCTACAGTTACCTGAAAATGCTGCATTATGTGTCCTATGCTTGGTTGATTATGACTGTGGCATGTATTGGATAAGATGTAATCTGAGTCATGAAGTGAATGCATGTATTAGTCACATGTAGGCAGCACATTACACAGACATGCTAAAGGCTTACACAATACAAGCTGGTCAATAGAAATCAAAATGATTGGAGCAAATAGCATAACTAATAAGCATAAATATCAACCTGCATACTTCCGAATACATGACAACACTCTTGAAACCTATTCCCCCTCCCTATAATTTAGTATAAATGATACATTCTAAATGACTCACTATGATTTATTATGAAAGAGAGAATCTTAACCAACTCAACATACCATGTTGTACATTGAGATGTAATGGTCAGATTTTGTTACTTACAATAACTTATATGTTACAGTAATGACTATAAAGCAGGATAACATTAAAAAAATAAAGGTCAATGTCCAGTTTTGTAGTTAGGGCCAACTTTAGGAGCCTTTCTCACAAAATTCCTTTCAGTTTCATTGCACAACATTTGACAACTTCAGACAACTTGCATTTACATTTTGTACCATAATGGTTTTTGCAGCATTCAGTACAGTACATGGACTCCATGCATTTTACTAAGCCTGGTGGGCACAACTTTCACAGCAATGTTTCAGCTCTCTTACTCAGCTTGTTTCTAAACTCAGCCTTGCACATTTATAATTTTGCATATTTAATGCAGTTAACGCAGCAAACAGTGTTGAGTCACAAACCCACACTGCTTGCAAATTTGCAATTTGTACATTTTTGGGTTTAATATGTTCAAGTAGTACTATCATTTGGCAGGGTCCCCATTTTGGAATAATGCTGTCACTTTGTCTGCTAAAGCTAAGGATGCTGTCTCTTAGGCAGCTTAACACGTTACATTCGATGTTAAGCAAATGTTGTTACTCTGGAGGGGTTGAGTGAACTTTGATTTTGTGACTACCGTCATGTTCTAGTCTGGAGATGGCCACAAGAGCATCATGTCGCCAAGTCAATTTCACAATCCTGTAGCTTTTATGTCATTGGTAAGCACGAGAAGATGTGATGATAACATGGAGAAAATTTGTTATACAGTCCATGAAATCTGCTTTCCATTATGCTAAGCCTTGTACGGTTGATTCTTTCTGATGCATACATGTATATGACATTGTACTACATGTGTAGCATGTTTACTGTAGGTACTTGTATATCTTGAAGCAGTGGTTTCCTGAGTCGGCCACTGCCACGTAGCCGTCGGCGGTGAGGCACAGCCCCTGTGGTCCGTACAGTGGATCTGCCATGGTGTTCACATAGGACAGGAACGATCCGGTACAGTCAAATACCTGGAGAGGGTGACAGACCACAGGTGTAACATGAAAATATAATGATGTGCACCAAAACTGCTGCAAACAAAGAAAATCAAGTTAGAGTTAATGGCCTTTTTGCCCTCTTAAGCTTGCATTTAATTTTATTGTTTCCAGTTCTTTTTTAACTACTATCATGCCTATTATTTTGCCTTCAAATCCAAACATATCCAATCCTTTTATTCTGTTCTCCACATGCATGTTCCTTTTTCCTTGACCTTTGAAAAAGCTATGCCCTCACCTGTATCCTGCTGTTTCCCCAGTCTGCAACGATGATGTTACCTGATGAGTCGACTGCAACACCTGTCGGAGCATTGAACTGTCCATTGCCCTCTCCGTTTGATCCGAAACGGTACAGGAAAGTCCCGTTTGGATCAAACACCTTGACGCAATGGTTATGGAAGTCCGACACCACAATGTTGTTTGCTGGACTCACAGCGACGAAGTGCGGCCCAGCGAACTGCTTGTCGTCGTTTCCTCGTGAACCGAACTTCTGCAGAAACTTTCCATTGGACTGGAAGATGAAGACGCAGCTGGCCTTGTTGTCTACGACGATGATGTGCCCGTTCTTGTCCACCGTCCACCCCCTTGGGGCCGTAGGAGTTTTCCTGAGCCGAACTTGTTGATGAACTTCCCGTCGGGTCCGAACACGCTGACCCACTTGTTGTCGTAGTCGGCCACGATGTAATTCCCGTTGTGCGATACTGTGACCCCTGTCGGCCTTTGGAGCTGCCCAGGGTTGCGGCCTCGAGCACCAAACTTCAGCTTGAAGTCTCCCATGTTGCTGAACACTTGGATGACCTGGTTGTTGCTGTCCGCGACTATGATCTTTCCTGGACACGTGGCCACCCCTTGTGGATTGGTGAACTCGCCCTTGTTCCGACCTTTAACCCCAACTCGCATTACCAGATCGTCCTCGATTGGGTTGCTTCTTGGACGCGATCCTTTAGACCTACTGCTAGCTGGGCGCTTGTAGGCTTTCTGTCGCACTGTACCAGTCTTGATGATTTTGTTTTGACAGACTGGTCGGGAAGTTGAGACTCAGGTATGACTTTGAGATCAAAAGGGCTGCCTCTAACGTGTTCACCGAATAGTCTAAGGGCCATGCTGTACTTGCCTTCCTTCTGAGGTAGGTACGTCAGTTCGTACGTCCCGTTCTTGTTGTCAGCTACCTCGCCGTCTATCACGCTGCCCTCTGGACTGGCTATCTCCACTGAAATGTCCGCATGTCCAGTCTTGATCAAGCTGCCGAGACGATCCTTGGTCGTAATCGTAACCGACATTTGTCGACCGATCACCCCTTGCCTGAGCCCTTCCCCGCTTGCCACGGTCTCGTGTCCGACTGAATGGTTGGTCAGTATACAGCCCAGATTTGCAATGGACCGTTTGATATTGTCCAACTCTGCTTGGAACAGTACGAAATCATTCTGTTCTGGTTTCAAAGGGTACTTAATGGACGCGAGTTCTGTGAGCCTGTCGCTCATCTGTTTCTTGATCAACAGGACTTCTGTCTCGTTCCCGTGACTGAGGGCCTGTTCTGTAAACTCACAGCTGCTACTGATGTTCGCTAGCGCCGAGTTCAGAGCCTCTTTCTGGTCATGCAGAACCTGGTTCTTAGCACTGTATATCGCCTCTAACTCAGAGAACAGGGCAGTTTTCCTTTGGCCAACGGCCTTCTCCAGCTCCGCAAATGCGCTGGTGATTTCGATCTCTGCATCACTTTTCTTTGCGGCAAGATGTTGGCTGATCTCTGTGATATTCTTGATGGCCTCTGCTATGCTGGGGAGCTGGGACTTGGCTATCTCTAGGCGCTGTTGCAGGGCCGCCTTGTGGTCCTGCACCACGTCCTTCAGCTGCACGGTGGTGTGTTCGTTGTGCTCGACGGCCGTGCAGTTCTGGCACACAGCCGTTTCGCAGGACTGGCAGTAGTACTCCAGGTCCTGCCCCTCGTGACTGGGGCACGACAGCGGCTGAGGTTTCATGGCTTCCGGCGGATCTTCCGAGTCCTCCTCTGGCCGCTCCAACACCTCCATTAAACCGGTGATGAAGAAGTTATTCTGAAGAGCCGTCACTCCCTCTTCCGGGAGGATTGACGTCTGGCGACAGACTGGGCAGGACAGGGAAAGGCTCTCTTGCGGAATGTAAGTTTGTAAGCAGCATTCACAGAAGGTGTGAAGGCAGGGGAGGACCTTGGGAGTTTTATAACGCTCCAGACAAATTCCGCAGATCAGAAACTGCTTGTCGATCTGCTTGACTACAGGGATGTTGCTGGCCATTGTAAAACTCGATGTCGGTGTGGAAGTCTTGGTCAGGGTGGTCCACACCTCTGCTCCAGAATGCACAAGAATGCTTACAAGCACTTAGTTTCTAATTTGTCACTCCAGGTCAGTCTGCACTGGGAGGCACATCAGATGTATAGTCGAACTTCCATCCTGTAAAAAATAACAATATTCCATTTATTGTCAAAATCACGTACAGTGCATGTCATGTTTGATGGGTACACATTTCCATAAATTACAATTTGACAACAATCAGCTTGGAATCACACTATTGCCTTATCCTAACAAGGTACTCCCCTATTTTTCATTGATTAGCAAATTGTTTTTCAAGGCTTTGGGTCATCACTCAAGTTTCATTACAAACATTTTAAGGCACAGTGTAATATATGTGATGTATTTTAAGGGTTGAAACCAACAGTGTATTGACAGAAATGATTGGAATTTGTCAGTTATGTCATACATTACAGCAGCCTTACAGTCAATCCTGTTTGTTAACAGTGTGTAAGACCAAGAACACTCACTGAGAGTATGAAAAGTACCTGCAAAACTTTCTTTCTCCATGTCCAGTATTCAAGAAACATTTAAGCAGGAATGTGTCAAAGGGGTTTATGTTGGTCAAATGTACTTGTACCAGGTTCTCTTAGCCATCATGCCATTGGATTGCCAGAAATGTGCAAAACATTCTGCAGACAGCCCTTCGGGATACACATGCAGATGCCATTCAGGTCAATATAATGTTATATTATAGTTAATTGTATCCTGTTACACCATGTTATGCAATATAATATGTACTGTAAAATTGTTTTTGATTAAGGAACTTATGTATGAGGACTTAAATCAGACTTATGTCTTATTCTGAAAGAAATCACGATGACCTGCTAAAATCACAATTCTTCTATTCCTCATGATTCCATTCTAAAGCTTTCATGAGCATGATGTTCACATGTCATGTAAAATCACAAGATAGTGATTGCATCCGATTGGCTGCAGAGATCACATGACTTATCACTGTATTCTAGTAAATTTCAGGACCAACTTCAGATTACTGTAGGTCTACAGCTTGTACTGTATTCTATTGATTCCAGCTGCAATGCAGCTAGGTCTGGCCAATAAGCCAATAATTAGGCTTAACGTACATATAGTATATGGGCTGAGCATGTGATTTGGGAACTGAATCGGGTCTTGTCCATCATACACCAGAGCAACCACAGCATACTCCTACTGTTATCAAAGAGTGTGGTGGGTACTTTGACATGCCAGTACTTAAAGTGTGGATCTCATCAAATATGGGAGTAACTTGTTCACATACCCAAGACTGTACTCAGGACCAAACGAATCATGAGATCAGTTTAATTGTCAGCATATTCTTCATCAATGAAATAATTTGCATGAGACTATAATCATCATGCTACATTTGATTGTCTGGCTGCACAAATCTCTGGTGAAATCTTTTATCTGTAATTTGTCCTATATCAAAAGTAATGTTGCAGCTTTGATTTAAATTCTCAATACAGTTGACTCTGATTTGATAATGATCTCTTTTGGGATTAATCTATCATACTGAATTATTCAATTCTGGCTAAGAAAGATGTACCAAAGGAAGCACAGTATTAATTATTTGTGTTATAAGATATAGTGCTCAAAATACCACATGCCTATTATGCACGACAGGTACTTTTGTGCCTGCACTCACGCCAGGTACTAGTATTTTATGTCTATCTGTAACTAACCTACTAGTACACTGGTCCAATTGTACAAGGGGCTTACACAAATTGCAGTAATAAACAGGTACATTGTAAATCCTCTTGTACAATAGACTTTAGATCAAAAATGTTCCCAGGAAAACATTGTTTTTGATTGCCTCAAAAGGAAAGAAAATGAGTGGCACAGCCAAACAGGTAATTTTGAATGTTACCTGCACTGTGTAGGTACGATGAAATTTTGAGCCAAGAGATATATTGCACCCAATGTGCACTATCATAGACATCGTCATAGCTTACATCTGTTCTTGCACATAAAACGCCTGACCAATCACTGCTGACGATTGATTGACCTCGTTTGTTCCGTCAAACAGATCAGGAACTGATGATCTACACCCAGATCGCAATTCAGGGGACTGTCCATCACGATTGATTGACGTCATGCAAATAAGAATCTAATTTAGAATTTGGGTGATGAAGGAAAACAGAGGCATCCATCAGCCAGGTGTAAAATTTGTTCAGTCCCAGGAGGCTGATGACAGACAGGCATGGATCACGAGACTGCCTGTCATGAATGGGATGGGAGGGGGGGGCATTTGATCTGCCAACAGGGTGGGACGTAATTGCAGGGGATATAAAATTATAAAGAAGGCTGGCAGAGATTTAGTACCCAAGTGGCTTTTTTCTAAGCTTTGTGAAGAATATTTAGATCATTTTTGACAAAATTCAGCTGAAAAAGATCTTAGCTCTGTACAATGCGTCTGCCCTATATGTATGCATGCATGTAGTTACAAATGGTTGACCCCTAATTCCCCCTTTTCAAAGGAAACAAGTGATTGGCCCCTCTGCAAAGGTGAAGAATGATTGACCCCTAATTCCTTCCCGGTTTCTAAGGAGAATCAAAGAAACAGCTGGCAAAGCCTTGAGGAGAAGACCTGACTTGAAAGGGAAGGAAGGAAAACTACTTGGTGGATTCTTGCCAGGCTAGGTCTCTCAGGAACCTAGGTCTGTATGGGGTCAGGATCAAGAAACGCCTAACTTAAATGTTTAATTCCTTACTATATTGACCAAATCTGCATAAAATATCTCTCATCTTTTGTTGCAATCCCTTACTTGCACAGAATGAAAATGGCAAAATGCAGACTTTGCCTATTATTGTCCACCAGGTCCTGCACTATTTGTATTTGCAACTACAGTATTTGTGCGTCATTTCAAAAGAATGTAATTGTAGAAAATTACTCAATATTACTGTAATCATACAAAAGTACACTACACAGTCATAGCAGGTGGTCAAAAGAGCTACTAGTACTACTACAGGAGGACAGTAATTGTGTCTGAGAAATTTAGATACAGTTGTAGTTGCATATTCTATAGTACCTACCTTCCTCAAACCAGACATCTGGCTGTAAGTAACTGTCAGTTTATAGCTGCAGTGAACCTGAGTCACCTTTGAACATGTAATGTCACACAGCGGACTCATGTGGTCTGACTTGTGTGGGGTTTACTGTTCAGGGTTATGGGATTTGTCACCACCTGGCTGAATCATTGAATGACACACTTGTTGTAACAAAAGGTAATTTGTGGTTATGACGTATTTGAGTGAGCAGGGAGGGAGGGAGGGCATTTCTGATAAATGTTGTTGGATATATGGTGCAGAATTCAATGACTAACCATAGGAAAATAATTTTTATGTATACAACCTATAGAGAAAATTTACTGTTTTTACCTGTGTCAGGGACTGAAAGTATGTGTGGCTGATGAGTTACTACTTACTAGATAAATTTTCTCTAGATTGTGTCACAAGAAAATTGTTTTTCCATACCTTCTAATGTGATGAAACTGATGTCAAACCAAACAGATATACAGGTTTCAGGAGAGACTTGAAAAGTGTCAAAACAAGTTTATTTTTAGCTTAGCTACAGTCTCTTTGTATTTTGTAAACTCAACAAACCAGTTGAAACCACCATGAAATTCATGTTCACCCAACCCGAACCCCTGGGAGGTCTATGCAGGGTTCACTACAAACAGTCTTGGAGGGTATTGTGAAGTTAAACATTGATATGAAAATATTATTGACATGGAGTTAGAGTGGCTTTTCTTTGGGTTTCCTGGTGGAGAACAGATAACAATGCTAATGCACTATGTATAGGCTGCTCTGAATTGTGCCAGACATGCATAGCTACTCTAAGCACACATACAGTTGAAGGGTAGGTTAGTACAGATGGTAGGGTCAAGACTCATGGGGCCAAGCATAACACATTGTGGACTGAGCTATAATTCAAACGTTGGAATGTTTTGTTCTTCAACAAGCAGGGAGACACAAAAGACTTGGACTCTGACCTGAATGGTATTATAGAACCATCTGTCTCCAAATGTTTCAACTGTTTACTGGACGCTGCAATTTTTAAAGAACACTAGAAATTAGATTTGGATCAATATAGATTTTGAATAATTTGCCACCATTGTAAATTCTGTATGCAAAAACTACAATTCGTTTTGTTTATTCTAGGTTCAAGAATTGAATTAAGGTAGACTTGTACATGTAGCATAGTAATGTAATATGAGATATTTTGCACCTGAAATTGATGCTATTACAAGGTAATGTGTAGGGTATTGGGAAGGCAAACAATTCTGTACAATGGGACAAAATCAAACACCTGTTAAGATACACTTTTAGACAATTGAGGTATAGCAATCAACTATGGCAATAGGAAACAAAGTTATTAACCCTTGGCCTGCTGCCATTTTTTGCACAATATTTTTCAAGAAGTTCATGTCTTAATCAGGTCATAGACCCTTGACTTTGCCCATGACTTTTTTTGCTCATCATTTGAAATTCGCTGTGGTGTGATGTGTTGCACGAGAAATAACCGCCAAATTGTACCTATATAGGGTGCTGTATGGATGGTACTGTATGTGCAACCCAACAATTGTTAGGCACCGCAGGACTAGGGTTTTAATACAGTGACCCTTCATATCCTTTGAGAGAGACATACAATATGTATATGCAAAATTAGTGACTACTGTAATTATGTCCTCGTGCCGTTATAAGTTGCAATTTTTTGGGGGTGATGAATATGAATAATTCATAACACAAAAGAATGACCTCATGTTTAATATTCTTGATCAATGGGGGCCTGACTGGATTAGCAGAGACATACTGCTGACCCTAATGGCCTATACTGAAAGGGTAAAATTGGGCAGCAACACCACGCTGGATATAGACACCGTAGTGACTGTAATATAACCATTTTATATGCTACATACATGGACAAACGTATGCAGTAATGATAATCTTTAGAGTGTTTATCCTGCAAATTGTAAAGATCTAAAATTCTATATAGACAGACTAGCTCGTGGCAGACAGCAATTTGCTTAGCTTGCATTTTGCATATTTCACTTCCACTAATTGACCTTTCTGCAAAATTAATGCGATGCAGACACAATGTATTATATATTGTCTGGCATAATGTGCCCCCCTCCCCACTGTGCCGTAAAGATGTGTTTGTTTGCATACAGCCTGTAATGAACAACATGTTGTTTCTCAAATTCCACATTGAAGGCTGCTGCATATAAGGGCCCATGTATCATGTTGCAAAACAGACAAGTGATATCTCTCCCCTCCCCCTTCCCATCCTATTTCCCTTTAAACCTAAGGCTTTTCCTGTTTCAAAGGAAGGACATTATTACACCGATTCATGTCATTCAACTGTATGAGAAAATGTATCAAAGATGCAGCTGCAAATTAGACATGCTGCTGAATATATTCATCTCACAGATATCATATATATATAGCTTGATTGATTATTTCACAGAAGTTATGTTATCATAATGTTATACTCAGATAATGATGAATAAAGAGGGGGAAAAAATTGTGAATTAAGATTCAAGGCTGCAACATGTATCAGTCCACAGCAGTAGATAACGTGGGTACGGGGGCTGCCATCATCCCCGCACTATCATTTACATTTAAAGCTGCTGTGCCATACATCCCAACGTGTGATACGTGTAGTGTAGAATTACACGGCAGCCATATATCCCTTAGCAAAGATTAGGTAGGAGAGGGTTAAATGGTGTGATTTACCTTATGAGAACGTCGGTCATCTTCCTGAGATGTTGAGCATGTACCTCCCCCAGTATGTGTGACAGCCCTCCGCCAACGCCTACCCTAGATCTCTGTTGAGGTCAGACCTGGTCACCTGACCATGCAAATTAATCAGGCTCTACCCCATGACTGGCAAGGCTCTGGAAGCCATCCAAAATGCTGCTCTTATCTCCAGACTTCCCCTCCTGGGGGGAATCACTAATGCTGTGGTGTCTCTGTTGGGGTGGGGAGAAGATGGCATCTCCACCATAAAATTACCATTGACTCACATAGAGCAGTTTTATTTGATTTCGTAGATCCTTAAATCCAGAGAAAATTTGAATTGATGGAAAATTCTGTCACTCAAATTATTCGAATCACCACTTTGACCCATTTTATTTTCTTGCTGAATGATAAGAAAAGTGATAATTCTCACACGTACTTGTCAATTTTGTTAAAATATCTTTATTAAAAATTGGGACCATGATTGGCAACCGCATGAATATGAAAACGGGGGCTCAGTGATTTTCTGGACCTCCGGACTCAGCTGTATTGTATTCTGGTGGGGCTCCAGCCAGGCGGAACAGATGTTGTAATAGTCTACACGTTCTCATTACATATGCATATATTCCAGTCCCCAGTGGTGGGACATTTGATCTGGTAAACCCTACAGGCAAGCATCCAGGCTCAAGCTCAAATATTTCAGTCCAGGCACACATTCTGGACTTGCTGATAGAATCGCACCTGCCATGTCTAAATATGGTGCTTCTTAGCAAGATATGCTGTGGTGAGGATATATAGTCACTGTGGTTTGTTTGTGGTATTAGTACCTCCTCTTAATGCTAAACACAAGGAAATACTAAATACACTCTCACCTGTACACAGAGAATCACTCCACTTTCATTCATGGATCATTTTGAACTTTAACCGTAAAAAAGGAATAATGTATACTTGATTGATTTTAATACAAGGCAACTCTCTGATAGATATTGGTATGACCATGATATTCTTAAATGTTAGTTGCTTGCACTGATCCTGTTAGTTTAAGACACTGACAGCCAACTGTAATTCTGTCCATTTTTTTCTGGTTTTGCATGAAAAATGTATTATTTTGTAGAAAACTAGACTACTGCCTGATCCCATTTGAATGCAGTGGTTGATCCCCTACTTGTTATTTTCTTACCGATACTCCTTACTCCATCAGTGTACTCATAGATGAAAATAGATGGGCAATCCTGCTCTACCCCATGACTTCATGCGCTATAATTACATTTGGAGAGAAATGAATGTAGACAGGGCTATACCATGTATAACATGGGAGGGGTGGTCTTTAACAAGAACACACTTAACCAGAGGAGTAGGGTGATCTGTCTTATTTTTTAGACTCCTATGTGCAAACACATGCAATCACGTGGTTTTTAATATTACATCAATATGCCATCTACAGGCGTTTTGTGGCTGTTATTTATTTTAATATCTGTTGTTCTATATGGTTAAATCTGGAAGTTGCAATGTATATATGGATCTGTATATTATATGTAATAACAGTCACATAATCATGACATTGTACATGGCCATATGCAAATTTTTATGTGTCTGACTCTTCCAGGTTCAATCAAGCAGCAAGGCAGCTGTGAGGTCACATATAAACCTCATAGTTTATCTTCTTTGTCTTGTAAAGCAAGTTGATGTATGCTGTCCTTGGTGCTGAATTGTTTTCGCATCAACCATCCGCCAAAGAAAAAGGTCCAAAGCAATGTTTTTATCTGCTCTGTCTGCTGGGTTTGATTTAAAATGATTGCTTTGAAAAGGACAGACCTGTCAACAGTGGTTATGATAACTTATATTCTTAGCAAAGACAAAAAAATGGCCAATGTTAGTGTCTGTGATAACATAGCAAATTGCAAAACTGTGACATTACTTTTTAATTACTATTTTATTTTTACATAACAGCTCACAATTCCATTGTAGGTTGCTCCTGGTACAAATTTACACAAAAACAAAACAAAATATTTCACATCCATCGTTCAATCTCGTTGAGCTCTTTAAAAATTGTCGTGGTATTGCTTCATTTTCTTTCATTCATGAAGTTTATTAATGTCACTACAGTGAGCAGACAAGATTAATTAAGCAATAGAAGTACACTGTAGACTACAGTGTACTTCTATTGCTTAATTAATCTTGTCTGCTCTTTGATAAAGTGATTTTAGTTTTAAGGCACATTATATATAAGCAAGCACTGAACTTACATATTGCACATTGTTAAAGCAACATGCCTGCTTCTATTCACCATTATGTTAAACATGTAGTAGTGTGAAAAGAATTTGCCATGGCATTTTACAGAAAACACTTAACAGCTTAAAATACCACCAGGGTTTTTTAAGACACTATTAGGGTACTGTCTTCCGGAAAAATATTTCTCTACAAATGTAGCTTTAAAAAGTCTAAAATCTATCACTAAATTCACATACTTTTATACAGTATACCAGTTATGCTTTAGCCAGTGCTTCTGCGTACAATATGCAATGCAACACTGATTCTTATTCTTTCACAACAGAATTATCCTGATAGTCTCTTCTAATAATACATATTGCATAGCTGGTTATTACAAGGTGCTATTGATTATATTTTGGTAACCCGATTACTATTGTCATAGCCTTGTCAAACTTTCACTCAAAGGGTCAGTTATGTATGTCCCTGATAGCTAGCCTTGATCAGCTTAAATCTGCAGTCACATGTTTTCTTTGGTAGCATTCCTAGCCAAGCTATGACAGAACTGACCGTCGTCAAGGATATATGACAACCGTTCCTGTGGCAGACAGCTGAATTTTGTATATCACCTCCCCTACTGTAACAAGAATGCCATTTATTTGCTGCCACCAGCCTATCATATGACAGTTGTGACAGGGCCTTTAGTCTACTGTATCACCAGCAGTCTCTAGCAACATGTAAGGATGGTGTTTACATGATTTATCCATGGTGTTGACATTATTGTTCTGCTCCTGATCTTGTGCTGATGAAGGAGGCATACCTGGACAGCCTTGCTCCAACATCTCTCTTCAGATCAAACCTACACAACAACAGAACCATAATGTTTATACTCTCTCCCTCCTGTTTGTTAACTTTTATTCTAGACTAACATCAGATTAAGAGAAGATTAAGTTAGATATTAATCATGTGAAAAGACTTTCATGGAAATTCTCTTACTGTGTAAAGTGTGCATGAACCATGATGAGCTTGAAATACTAGTAGATGATATAAAACCTACATGAATACATTGTATCGTAAAGTTGGAGTAAAGAAATGTGTAAAATGCACACGTGAATGACATTACCATTGAGGCTGGCCTTTAACTTCCAGTTGTTCCACATTGGACAGGTCCACCTCCACCTAGAATAGCAAAACAAGAAAAATAGATAATCATGATGTTTTTGACAGGTGCTTGTCTACATCTTGTCAAATTCGTCAGATGTCATAACAACAGATAATGGTATCTACATGTATGCAAGTAATTTGCTCTTACGTTGTTCAAGGTAAGTATTGTTAGTACATGTAATATACAAGAAGTCCATTTCAATTGGCTTTCATTTGTTGTTGCAAACGGTTTTGATTGCCCATATAACAGTGATGTACTACATGTATGTTGTGCCTCCCTTGATACATGTGTCACCTTCAGTAATGCTAATCATAAGCACAACAAGTGCTTCCTATCCAATGCTCAAAAATCCATGTGAATAAATAAATAAATAATGCTAATCTACTGTCAAAATTGCCTCACGTCGCCAAGATACCAGCTGTCGACTCCACGGAAACTCTTCAGCAGGGACCTCTTGTGCTTCACGGCCACTTCAAGACGACCCTGCTTGGCCTCAGCGAGACTTGCAGGAAAGCCTAGCCTGTGTAATACATGATGACATTACAGTGCATCAATGTTGGAGAAATAGTCAAGTTAACTGATGATGTCTATGATTTGAACATGAACTTAGTCAAAAATTTTCTAAAGGTGCAGTCATGTTCATCGCACAGTTCTACAATGCTTTTGTGATAGGATTTCTTCTCAGCAGAGCTATATGACAGAACCAACCATCAACAAGGCTACGTGACATTGTTGAGTGTTGTTCAGCACTATAATTGTCCCCAAAATGCTCTCAATATGCTGCTGAATGTGACAAGGCCCTTAAGGGAGAGGTAAGTGATGTACAATAAGTATCATACACTGTCACAGGAACACGATGCTCACGTTTCATCCCAGGCAGGATTGAGGTTCTCCTTGACGGCGCTTGTTTTCTTTATCTCTGACTTCTTGTCACCAACACAGAGACGCATGCGCACATATGCATCACAGACCTTTGAACCTCTGGGTGGAAGGAGATTCCTAGAACAAACAGTTTGGAATGAAAGTAGTCAAATATCATACCATGCTTCAAAATGCAAGATTAAGAAATCAACAGGCACTTTAAAACATTCAAGGAAGGATGCACCCAAAGAATTGTCATATGACTATGACACATTTTACTACCAATGCCTGAAACAATGCAACAGATCCCATTAGGTTAATGCTTTTGTGAGGTTATTGCTCCTTAGGCCACACCAAGTAAATTTTATGGATGACGTCCTTTGGAGACCCTATATCTAATGCGAGAGGGCGAAAAAAAAACAAGAAGGGTCCTAAAAAACAAGATGCCTAGATTAGAAATATACTAAGAGACGACAAATGTTAGGACACAGATTGAATGAGGTGACACAGATTAACAAGCAAGAAGTCTTTTATTCATCATCAAAACAGCAATAAATCAGGTGGAACAGCAGTTGTCCTCCTGTCCTGTTTCTTTCATCACATTTTTGCAGGCCTGCAGAAACAAAGCGTGCTCTTTACCCATTTCGCGTTACGGGTTTCACATCAATCTAATGACTTGCGGCACTGTCGTGACTCTTTTGTCATAGTTACAGGAAGTGGAATTTCTTGTTTTTTTTTTCTAGGAACAGGCCAAAATCAATGCGCGCGCGGATGTCATCCATAAAATTTACTTGGTGTGGCCTTATCATAAAAGAGGTTGACGGGTATTTTTCTTATAAGAACAGGATCAGCAGTTGAGATGCTATGCTTGTGTAATGAGTCCACACAACAATATCACAACCAAATGTCAATGGCATAAGATGACCACATTAGCAGCCATCTGTATCCTGTAAAGTTCTCACCTGGCCTTGTGTACAGTGACCAGCACCTTGCTGCTGTTCAGACTGTGGTAGATGGTCATCAGCAGTTGTCCAGCTTCTCCTTTGGGCACTGGTGTGACCGGTGAGCTAACAGGACAATGGGAAGGTGACTTTGATCATCTATACTGCACATACTGTTTAGCATACACTTACACTGACTCAACAATAGAGTTAAAGGCCATTGCATCATGAAAAGCTGAACCGTCAGCCGAAAAATTTGCAAGTAATATTCCATTTTGTGTTGGAATTGAAGTGACAAGTAACAATACAATTAAGGTCCGAAATCATTAATCCCGTATATAGCATTAAGAATCACAAAATCTGTGTTCTTGTCGCAAAAGTGCTACATACATCGGCTACATATAGCGGCGAGAAGCAGTACTCCAGTCAGAAGCTCTGAGGAAGGTGTCTGATAAACATCGAAACGTAAGCAAGGTGGTTGTGTACATCCTATGATGAAATTGTTTTTGGATCTAAGAACCCCAGTCTGTAGGGCTTACTCGGGAGTAGAGGACAGTTCCGTCTCGGAGATACTGGCCAGCCGTATCTCGGGGAGCATGAGGGGGCTGGACGGTCCGGCGTCAGGGGTGGAGGGAAGGGTCGTCATGGTCGGCGTCAGGGGGATCTCCTCCTCTTCCAGCGACTCCTCGCTAACATCGGAGGACAGAATCTGAAACGTACGGAGCTTTTTCTGTAAAGATGCATGCAAAGTCTCATCCCGAATCATATCCATGTGCTAGGAAATTACTGATGTCTATATCCCACTACTTATTGTCACCAAGATTCGTCCTGCAGGTAAAACATAAAGGAAGGTGTCAAATGTTTCAAAATGTAATGGAAATGTACGACAAAGTCTGTAGCAAATAGATAAATAAAAAAGGTGTGTACCCTGAGAATCAGCTCCATTTTCATCTCGATCTTGACTCCTTTAGGACCCTCGAGGAAGACAGGATCGCTGGACTTCATCTTCTCCAACACTGTCGCAACCGGAACGATTTTCTTCCCTATTGTCTTCTTGGACCTCTCCTCTTTGATCTGACGAACGATTGTTGCAGGTGAGGGATACTTATAACTCTAACTACGTGAGAGTATATTATACGGTACGATATCACAGAAAAAGATGGGACACTGCAAAACGTCTATTAGAAGGCCAAATAACTACCATATTTACACCCGTTGTCAATTGATCATACGTTTAATCTTGAAATGTATCAAGATATTATCAAATATATTCCAACTTCAACGTGATGATGATACCCTCGGTCGTCATCGGAAATAATGGACGAGCAATTCCTTAGTAACAACATAACTTATGAACGTATAACGTATGAACAGAAGAAATAATAAGTTACAGTGAATTCCTCGTACCTCAATCAGTAGTTCTTCGGAGTGCGGATCCTTTAAAAGGAAAGTAAACCCTTGTCCCCACACTGGCTTGTCCGTGCCCCATTGGATCTAAGAAATAAGAGAGAGAAAAAAAGAATTTTAAAAGTCGATAGGATATATATATATTTGTGCGTTATCGTCCTAATAAGCATTTCTGTATTCAATAAAAACGTTCTTGGCCATTTGTTGCTGCTGGAACATAACCATACTCACCCATGACTTTTCGTGCTGCTTCCCCATCGTCAGTTCTACGTAGGTATTCACGTCTTCAACCTTCTTCTTAGGCTGTAAGACGACACAGATTTAATCAAGCCTTCATTATTTATCCCACAGTCAAAGGAATGTAGGAAATAAAAGAACATGCTTGCAATGGATTAGCAGTGGGGGCTAGCTCCTTGTAACACCACTGCATACTGCTGATCATGTTAACTGCAGAATTTAACTTAACGGTGCACACCCCAGTTCTTCCACGATAGTCCGTTGTAAAAAAGGGACGAAAGGGTTTTGAGGGTCCAAGTTTGAGGTGACATTTCTTATAAACTGCCACGAAGTATCATTAAACATTAACATGGCTGAAGAGTGTAAGAAATGGTGATTTTGGGGTGAAAATTTCTTTTGGCTCCGAACCTTACTTCCGGGTATCCTTGCGCGCCAAGTGTAATCCGCCCGTTTGACCTAGTTTTCGCTCTGCGGCTTCGTAGGGGTGGATTTGCAACCCCTCGCGCCGTGGACTGTTTAGAAAATTACAGTACTAGAATTTTCTTTATAATTTACTCGGGTATAGTCAAGGCTTGGGTCTTTCTGCCAGCATCAGTCATTTCTGCCGGAAAATTTTTTTTTGTGGGATTATCCTACGCGAAAATTCGCAATTTTGGGCATTAATTTTGGAGTGAAAATAATGTTTTTTCCGTTGATTTTACCAAAGTTAAAAAGGTTGAAGAAACCAAACTCAGCTTGTCTTGTAGCTGAAGAGATACCCTTTCGTCCCATATACAGTTATTCTCCTTCCGAATTATTCCACGCCAGAGACGGTCGCTAGATTTGAGGGTGTGCAGCTTCGAATAGAGAGCCCAAATAAACTGGGGTGTGCCCCCTTAAGACAACGTAACTATCAGTTTTTCCATGTCTAATATGTTTACCACTCGTTATTCGTATCACAAAGCCAAATTTTACTAGAGGGGAAGAGGAGTAATATGTATTAAAGAATTCGCCAAACATGTTAAGAATGATGGCAATGAACAAATGTGAGTGACTTACCGGTAGCCCAGTTGCAGAGTCCACGCGCACAAAGAGAAGAGCAGACGACATGTCATCCATGTCAGTCACTCTCTTCATTCGCTCCATCTGTGTGTACATCTGCAGACACATACAGAAACATTCCTTAATACTTCCAAGATAATCTTTTTCGAGGTAAACAGAGGTGGAGGAAATGTGGCGAATGTCACTATAAATCATATTCTTTCAACTGATTTCTATAATGAAGTATATGATTGTTTTCTACAAATGTGACAGAAAACTCACCAAGATGTCATGATGGGGACAGGTGGGGTCGGCATGCCATCATCAACACAAGTATATGTAGGGGAAAGGTGCAGGAATACAATACATTAGCTCACGTGCTAATACAGTCAAACATGCCGGTTCTATTATACACACCTAAGAAGAACACAAAGGCATACGGAATATAACTGAAAGACCTCTTTCCTGATAGGACAGATTAAACTTAATATCTATCACCACTTCCCCTGAGACGGTGGAAGTTTCCCTACCTTTTCTAAAGCCTCCCGTTGAGAGCTTAGTCCAAGCCATGTCATCCGCAAACGCACTTGTCCACTCTTAGCGTCCTCCAGAGGTAGCCACTGAAACATTGAAAGACTTAGTCTAGTACTCCAAGCCCTGAACCTCAAAGTTGAACTTAACGAGTTAGAAAAATTGAAATAGATCTGTTTCTTTTGTTCCCTTTGGTTTAATTTTTGCCCGTAAAAATGGTGACTTTTACAGAAAATACAGTTAGGGGAATCCCTGGCTTACCACATCCGTGAATCCTTCCTTGGCGACTTGTCCGACACTCACAGTTGCACTGCAATGATCAAAACACGAAAAGTGAAATTTGTGGGACAAGTTCGATTATGGGGCCCCTGTCTCCCAGAACCACATTAAGTGGAAAAGGCTTGCTGCCCAGTGTACCCCAAATCAAGGAGGAGTCTAAGTTAGTTGTGTGTTACTTAGTGGAAAATGAAACTCACTTTCCAAGAGGGTCATCTTTAACGCCGGGATCCTCGTCAAATACGTTGATCTGCATGGTCTGTCCTTCTACCTCGTACACCACAGCCTGGAGAAAAAAGACCATCGCAGACTATTTCATGTGTTTCAGTGTGAAATGTTAGAATAGATTTAAAGGAAGTCTCAACGGTTGACAAAGATTGGATTGAACATATCGGCCGAAGAGCATCGTTGGGAAAGTCACAAGTTCAATACTACTTTCATGTTTCCTTACCTCAAAATACTGGTTCCACTTCGGCTCCAGAGTCCTTTGAATGGTCTTACTCTTAAAGAGTTGAGCTCCAACTGAAAACCGCCATTATAATAATTCAAATCATACATAGCACGCGAGTAATATCCCGTATACTTAATGATGAGAAGCAATGCAGTAAAATACAGTATGGTGAAATCTTGGTTTCAAATAGCTCGTAACTTAATATATCAATGATTTTTCTACTTTAAACTCCAGTTGACGTTGACATATATTCTATGTCGGTATTTACCATGCAGAATACAGTAAGGATCTGATTTCCCCTTCTTAGTGAAGAAATCCGGATCAGCTGACATGAGTTGTTTCGCCTCCTTCAGTTGAATACGCAGAACGCCCTGAAAACAACAAGGAGCCAGTCAAGAACCAATAGATCAACAGGCAATTCTGTTGTTAAACAGAAAAAAATGCCATGTATTACAGACATAAGAATATGTGAATTTCAGTAACTTTAACTGACAAACATGGATAATGTTATGAGTATCCCTGTACTAACAATTTCATAAGTAGTCGCTGAGAGCAGTGTGTTCCACAGCTAGTTTATTGCTCGGGAGTCGCGACTATATTCTAACGATAATCATAGTATCATTCAAGATGGCTGGAACAGACAGTCTCGCAGTTTCCAATAATTCTAAAAAAAACACCGTCTCGAAAAGCGCTGTATTGTGCTGACCTTAGGCATGGGGTACCTGAGCCGGCTGGTGTCCAGGTCCGGTACCAGGGGAATGGGAAAGCGGTTCGGTAGAACCATGAAGGCCGCGACTTGGTCAGCTACCACGCCCTTCAGCAAGGAGCTGCTCACGGCATAAAAGGGAATCAGATTAAAGGAAATGAAATGGACACAGTACCTTGTTTTTTTATGTAAGGAAAGTATGGAAAGTCATGCTCCGAAGCAGCTAGATAGGAGTTCTTAATTTTGGACTACCATTTCCAGAAAAAAAGGAATCTCCTACCTTAAACCAGGAAAATTCAGCACCTCTCCAATGTTACTCAGATTGAAGTTGATCTCCTGTGGGTGTCAACATGTACTTGCGTGTTATTATTCGTTCGGAAACAGTAAAGAGAATAATACTTAATGACAATAGTACACGTTCACATTAATACGATCTACGTGTATGCCTAGGTACGTATGATATTATTCTATGACTTCCAAACTATTAACTGCCGTGTGTAAAGCAAAACGGCCCGATGTATTTCGCCACTTTGCTTTTTTAAGGAAAACTGTTTGTCTCTCACCGGTCTGTTGAGGAAGAACACGGTGATTCCTCCCACCAGAGGGTGCTGACTCATCAGTGGTTTCATCACCACTCGGACGGTGCCCTGGACCTGCAAAACGATGGTTGCACAGGAGAGTGAATTGTAAAAACATAGCCCATTTGTTGGCACTATTGAATACATCATATTTATGTGACAAAGGCAGCTGACCGTACTGACAGCCACAAACTGTGTTGGTACTGTCCTTGGTGCTGATAAGACACCTTTTAAAGATTTATATTACTATAGCGTTTTTCAACCCGCTGCCATGTGTCTGAATGTCTGTTTGCTCAGAATCTGTTGTAAAATATTCTCCATGCACTATTTGCGTCTTACTGATGTTTGTTTATAGGTATGCGGTATCAAAGCTGGTGATATACTTTGTCACATGCAATGAAATATTTTACGTGGCGAGCAATTGTCAAATGATAGCACTACGAACAAACATATCAATATTGAAATTGCTTTGGCACTAGTTCATCTTTTTGCCAAAAGAAATGACCGGTCGTGGAAACAAAGTTTAAAGAATCACCTGTAGGTCTTGGACGCCGGCCAGGAAGCGTTTGATGCGAATTTCTATGTCACAGTCTCCGGAGTACCTGTGGTAAGACGGGCATGTCATTTTCTCTGGCGTTTTCTTACTCACGTAACAGAGATTTGTAGCACCAAGACCCTTCTGTTACTAATATATTCCGGACAGTCACGCGATAGCGATTCTACAGTAACTATGAGTTCTGAAGTTCGAGGAACGGTCAGTTCAGTCTACTTTTCATATCCTACGTATAGTATGGCTTTACTCTGTTAGCGAGAATAATGTGCTTACATTAGATCCATGTCCATGACGATTTCGTTCTTCTTGACATACTCGGTGTAGACTTGAACACCCGCTACTCGCGGCGGCTGGAGAGGAATGTAGTATTCAAGATAGTTCATCAGTATAATGTTTTGCGATCATACGGTGTCGACAAGTTTCTGTCACATCGGGGAGTTCATGATAATGATGCCTGATCTTTGTATATACTTTTCCCAAAGACTGTTTACTACTATGTTTCCAATTTACACATGTGTTGACGCGTTGTAAGACTCGATGTGACAACTTATTACCTACCTCATCCCCCAGGTCGATCTTACTGAACTGGAAAGACTTCAGCATCTCGTTCGCCTGCTGGACAGCCGGCTCCACAGACAGGCGCAGTGTCTCCTCCACATAGCGGTCCAGGTTCGGCCAGACTTGAGCCAAAATCTGCAGGAGTATTAGGAACAATTTTATACCGGCAATATACTTTCCCAAGTCACAAACAACTATGGAAATCACAGCAAATCTGTGTATGTACAAAACTCGATGGTATAAGTGAGATTACCAAAAGCCGGAATCCCAGCAAAGATTAAAAAGCTTCTGCGAATGACTGCTTTGTTTCTTACCTTGTTGAGCCACTCTGCTTTCTCCACATCTGGGAAGTAAACCTAAAACAGCAAGAACAACATTTAAAAAATCTAGATTTTAAGCTCCTTGATTCAAGAAGAAGAATGTCGGTAAAAGACGTGCGCGTCATTCTAGACATTCCATATATCTAAAGTGCATCTAATTTTACTTTACGTCTTTGACTTTGTTTCAAGAACGCATAACTCTCGTAGCCTGAGTGTCAGCCTTTTGAGCTTTTGTCCGCTCCCCACAATCCGCTACCGGGCCCGGTAACGGATCATGGGGAGCAGACGAAAGCTAAAAAGGCTGACACTCAGGCTAGCATGAGCTCTCATACCCATGACGGCAGATCTTGTACGCAGGACAGTATGGTGGACTGCTCGTTTTGAGCCACGCCGCGCGCGGTTTGGATCTTGTAGTTCTTCTTCCTGATCTTCTTCTCGCGCCACATCCAGATGAAGAGCCCCAGCATGACCCACGTGACGCTGAAGCCCCAGTACCCCACCAGCCACACAAGGACCAGCAGGCCTAGCGACATGACGTACACCCGCATGGACTCCATGGTGGGGTGGTAGGTGTCCCACATGTCCCTCCAGCTACGGTCCGCTTCAACTTTGGGTTGGGGTTCTTCTGACTCCATTCTTCTGTCGTGTAACTCTGCTAGCTAAGTAAGAGCAAAAGACAACATGTTAACTTTTCATCGCAGCTTCGTATGTTTCGTTTGTTACAATGATTGCGTAAAAAATGTAAGACATTCGTGTGAAACTTGCCTCGGGCTGTACAAAATAGTCATTAAGTTTAGCCCCTATATAATTATATGGAGCTAATCTTCCATGGCTCATTGAGGATTATATATTTTAAGTTTGCTTCAGGTGCTCAACATGAAATCATCCTATTCATATTTTATAAGTATACACCCATGAGGCTATCTAACTCTTTTACTAAATTTATGGCCTCTTCCATTGGGAATGAAATGTTGAAAAGCCCATTTTTGTATGTATGCTTAATGAAACAAGCTGTTAGTGTTTGTGATATCGTTTTGCATATACTTGGAAATGGATTGCTTGGACAGCTTGAGTTCTTGTTGTTGACTACAATCACAGTAACAGCTGATATTTCAAGATCGCAATTTTGCATTTCGGTGGGAGCAAGCAGAATAACGTGTATCCCCAATAGGAGCCTGTAGACAGAGGTACACATACGGACCTAGGCCTTTCAATATACATGTATGTACTGCAACTGCAACGCCTTAATGGCTGTTTTAAGATGATAATTAGTACTAAGGATAACTTTTATGTTGACGAGTCTATAACGTTTTGAGGGTTCAGGATCGGTCTATAAAACCAAGTATGAATATAAGAGCGGTTGAAGCTGCAGTGATTCGAGACATGTAAACACGTCACTACCTGACATAAATGCTTGCAGCAAACGGAATACTTTCAACAGAGATGATATAACATAAGATATGCTTTCATAGAGACACTATGGTTTGCTTTTACACAGTTTTGGGTCACAGTGTCTGACGCCCACGGCAGTTACGTTACGCTCAATCCGTGACAAAACGTGCCAATTGTTTCCCCTGCCATTGTTGTAACCGTACAGTTTGTAGTTGTTAAGCTTCCGGCAGAACTGTGCAAAAATAACCTTCTTAAGCATACTCTTGTGGGATTTGATTTTTTGCAAGTACTGTATTTTCTTTTTTAGGTCCAATGTCATGACTTGGTAAAATTGATCATCGTATAGCCATACAAATCAAAAATACGTTCGTGACAACAATATTTCTGTTCTCATATCCTGTTGACTGCATGCATGTACCTGATATAGTTCTGGGCGGAGCCCTCTTAAACCGGACAAAATGGCGGCATACATATCGTTATCTAGGAAAACATTCGCCTAAAATCTACTGCACCTACCTGCACTTGACCAAGCGATGGAATTTATGCGTGCCTGCAACTAATTTTTTTTTGTGGTCAATCGTGGTTAAGTTGTGCAGAAAGTTGTGAAAATGAGGAAATGAAGGTAAAAGTTGTGCCGTGGGCGTGTGCACCATACCTGTATAGACAATGACTCTCACACAATACAGCCTAGGTGTCAGTGGCTTGTCTCTTCCGGTAGGTAGTCTCACACCGAAGAACGAACACAGTAATCCCGTCGTCTTGTCATCCACGAATTTAAAACTTTCTACCAAAATGATAACTATGATTCATTTGCAACAGCATGACAAGATTTTGTTAATTTAGTTCCCGTGTCTGTTCTACAGGAACTGACATGCATTGTCACCCATGACCTTTGACCAAAAGCGGTTGGACAGGTTTGACTATCTATCCTGTAACAACACAAAGGATATATATATATAGCAAGTTCCGCAGCCAACGTTGTAGTACATGTACATGCATTTGTGTTTTTACTGATTGTTACCATGGATTTTGTTCACGTCACAGGTTTCAACAATTTTTTCGTCAATGTGAACACCTACTAGTATGAGACTGAGAGGGGAACCCTCAGGCCTCGTCCTATTCAATTGTGCAGACTGAGACGGGCTGGTCTCCCAACAGTCGACCTCACCACCGTATACTGCGGCTACGTTAGACCGCTGCTTGAGTATGCAGCCCCAGTTTGGAACGCCGCACTCACCAACAGACAAACAGTCAGACTAGAACGAGTCCAGAAACGTGCTTGTAGGATTGTGTTGGGCCGGCAGTACACTTCATACCCGGAAGCCTTGAGAACTTTGGAACTTGAACCTCTTTCTGACCGCAGACACAATCTTTGCCTGAACAAGGTTAGACAGTCGCCCCGCTTCTGTGGCTGGCTTCCTCCGACGCGCGGAGATCTGCACGGTCGGCAGCTGAGGAACTCGCTCCAGTACTCCCAGGCCAGAGGGACCAAAAGATACACCAAGAGTGCGAAGCCGATGTTGGCTAAACTCCTCAATGGACTGTAAACTGAACTGTTGTGAACTGTTTTGAGTCGAGAGCAGTCTCACCTTTAACGATTCCGCACAATGCTGTTTTTAAATCCTTGATGTTGAACCACCTCGCTATATGTATAGTATGGAAAACCTGTGATGTCGACAATTATTGAATGTTACCTGTATATGTATTATATTAGCCTACTGTTTTAGTTTTACTGAGTATGCAGAATGTAAAATTCGGCGCAATTCAGTGTATAGTGCAAGGCCGACTTGTATCGAGTTTTTACCAATAGACCATTTACTACTACTACTAGTTTTTTTATTACAAGAAAACAGTACGGAAGCAAAATACTAGTAAATTTATAACCAAAATCTTCGATTTGTACTAAAGGAGACATTTTGTTCTGTTCCTATGGTGAAAACAGTGAAACAAACGCTGAAACATGCGATCAACTAAATCCCTTGCCTGAAATTGAAAACAACTGTTACAATGCTTACTAAAAGTGTGTCTTTTCTTGGTGCCCTTTAGGATTGCTATGATCGGCGCTTGAATAAAAATGGAATGTTTTCAACGCTTTTTTGTGTGCTTAATTATGCTTAGAAATTAGTCTAGCTTCATGCACACGAATTTGCTTGTGATTGGTGCGACGTATCGCAACATAAAAACGCAACAGCGACGAATTCAGTCAGTTTCCAATATTCTGTTGCAGACAATATTTAGTCAACATTCACTGTCAACGTGGGGACAGACTGATATAAAGGTATTTGGTGTTTTTGTTTCTGATTCTTTCCTTCAGAAAGAGGTTGTTGTGACAAAAATTATGTACGTGTGAAAACAATCTGGCTCTATATGATATGTACACCGTATCTGTACGATTTCTGAAATGAATCACGAAATTCAGCTATAATCATGAAGACGTCGTGCTAGTACACGTATTTTTTGGTTACACGATGATCGGGATGTGTTTGAGAAACATCGGTCTCGTTAACCCTGTAATGAAAACTGCGCGGTTCCAAAACCTTAATTTCAGGCACTCCACGCTATCTAATCAGCCCAATAGAGCGAAAATGTACAACGGTCTTTATTATGTTAAAATAAATAAAATTTTGGAGAAGTAGGAATCCATTTTTTCTTTCAAATATTGCTTACAAAAGATGGGGATATATGTCAATATCGTTTGAACAATCTCAGAAAGGTGGTCCCCGTCAGATTTCCTAAGTGCATGTTACAATATGGACTTGTGATCAAGAAAAATGGCGCGACAGATTGGCCTTTTTGATATCCAACATTCGCGTTTTGCTGGTAGGAAATAGAAACGGAGGATACAAAAGGATTGCCGGTAGAAGAGGGCGACAAAATGGAAGGAGCAAACACCCTTTCATCCACCGTGGAAGAACCAGACACTGGCCAGTCTGTGGGTCCAACAGGTGCTGACCACGTCCACGGGCACCACCTGGGCGATCTCACGGAGTCGTCCTCGGATAACCTTGAAGCTCCTGAAAAGGAGGATCCCTACCAGCAGACTGAGGAAGTTATGCCGGGAAACCTTTCGGAAAAGGAGGATCAGCCTGGGAAAGTTAGCCCGGGTAAAATTCCTGAAAAGGAGAATCCCTACCAACTACCTGAGGACGTTAGTCCAGGTTACAAATTTCGAGGTACGTCCGCTTTTGGAACTTGGACATTACAACACTTTTACCGCAGTGCTACAAAATGTTAAAAACAATGAGAACAATTTTTTACTGGAAATCAATACCATAATTTGTATTGCAATATGGTTTTTGACGGTATGCGTCATGTACATTTAATTGTGTCAACCCTAGTTTGTAGTCTTTTGTTGTCTAGACTATGTGATTAGGTTTGGTGATATGAAAAGAAGTAAGAATGTCTAAGATCTGCTTACCACCAAATAATGAGGCGGGCTTGTTCAGCTGAGTGGGAGGGCTAACATCAGTGGGGTCGTGTGGCGTAACGGCAGAGTGCTCGGCTCGGAACCAAAAGGTCCAGGGTTCGAGTCCTGACATGCCACCAATCTTGTGCCCTTGGGAAAGGCACTTTACACGACTTTCCTCACTTAACTCAAGTGAAAATGAGTATCATGAGTCCTGTCCTGTATTTTGCCTCTTCGTTGGTGGTGGTATAAAATAAGTTGATATAACTTGAGTGTGTCTATCACCATGTCTAGTCATGAAATGTTGGAATTTAAAAAAAATCAGTGACAGTGACTGTACGTCAAAACTGCTTTCTGAAAACTGATACATGCATGTACTTCAATGGAGGTTTATCTCAAAACTTCGCACAAGGGCGATAACATTTTGCAGTCAGTAGCCTAGACACATCAGAGGTTGAAAAAAACTGTTTCATAGTATTAGGTATACTTTTCTGTAGTAGTATGCATTTTTTGGTTCCTAAAAAATACTGTCGATGGGAAAATAACACCATCCTCCCTACTTTTGTGCTCCTTTAATGTTACATATCAGAACGCATCCGTGATATGTGGAGTAAGGTGACATCTCACAAAGTGTGCTGGTTTGTGGTGGGTACCGGGTGTGGACTCCTGGTGATGGCGGTCGCTATGACCCTGGCAACTCAGTTCATTCATGGAGGCCAGGTGGGCCAGAGTCTTACCATCATGTTTGATTAAAGTTTTTGATGTGATGAAGTGATTGGACATTACTTATCCTGATGAAGATGACAGTGGTTGTTGAAAATTTGATCCCTGTGTACCCTTGCGTTGGAATAAAGTTTAGCATCATGCTATAGTTTTATAAACTTGTTGGCTTATTTTAGGGGCCACATGACTTAGCCTATCATCAGGACGTGCTGAACGGGACAGGTCCTCCGCCGACGATGATTTTCCCGATGGAAAACATCTCGACTGTTGCCAGTGTGAACGACATGACTTCACCGACAATGATCGCTTATCTGGCAACCACGGGTAAGCACTATCCATACATTGTGTATAATAATATGTTTATGACACATAGTTAGTTTAGATGTACATTTGAACTAGCCCCTCTGTAATGTCCTTGAACTTATAGAAAGACAGGGTGTTACTGACAGTTTCAGTTATAACCAGCCAAACAAAATTATGTAGCTGACTTGTATTCTATGAATTACAATATTTAAACATTCGAGCTTAGACATGGTCATACTTTCCTCCAACGCAGACACAAATGGATGCACCACGAAACCATGTCTCCACGGGACCTGTGTGAACCAAGCTCCTGGTTACGACTGCGCCTGTTTTCCTGGATGGACTGGCCCAAACTGTACGCAAGGTCAGCACTTCAGATGCTTGAGATACCAGACTAAAGGATTCTTTGTCTGGTCTGGTTGTTCTAATCTTCTTTATTACTAAAATTTCAATAATTCATATAATGCTATGCACAGCATTGCTGTTGCTTAGCAGGAGAATAGATTCATCATGTATCATACAAGATTTGTTTTTTCAAACTACAGACATAGATGAGTGTAACAGGCACCCTTGTCAACATGGACGCTGTGAGAACAAAGATAGCGGATACAAATGTACCTGCTCACCTGGATGGACTGGACAGAACTGTCAGCAAGGTGAGCTTCCCCTAATTTATTGTATTGTATTGTGCTGTACTGTGCTGTACTGTACTGTACTGTACTGTATTGTATTGTATTGTATTGTATTGTATGAAAACATTCTGTCTTTGAGCTACAGCATGGTTTTAATTAGTTCATTATTAGTTCCATGACTTGAAATACTGTTTCACCACACAGATATTGATGAATGCACCACGAAGCCTTGTCAACATGGACGCTGTGAGAACAAAGATGGCGGATACAAATGTACCTGCACACCTGGATGGACTGGACAGAACTGTCAGGAAGGTGAGCTTCCCCTATTGTATTGTATTGTATTGTACTGTACTGTACTGTATTGTACTGTACTGTATTGTATTGTATTGTGTTGTATTGTATTGTATGAAAACATTCTGTCTTTGAGCTACAGCATGGTTTTAATTATTACCTCCATGAAAAATGGAGGTATTGTTTTTGGCGTGTCTGTCTGTATGTATGTCTGTCTGTCTGTCTGTTGTCTGTCTGTGTTTCCACAACTTTGTGGTCAGCATAACTTCAGAACGCCTTTATGGATTATGATGATATTTGGTATGTTGGTAAGTCTTAGGAAGACAAACGTCAAGGTCAAATATGGGCCTCCTGGTGGGTGACCTTGGTACTGCAGCAGAACTTCCCGTTTTTGAATCTTTTGTCCTGAACATGCTATGGTCTTGATGTTTTGGTGACAGATAGCTTATCCTGTCAGGAATAAGTGGTGTGAGTTTGGTCCCCCTAGCAGCTTGTTCTGGAACTGCAGGGCACTTTCTGGCGAAATGTTTAAAAGCCAATAAGTCCAGATAGGAACAACATATTTTCATAATTTTTGGTGTGTAGGTAGCTGAGAGAGAGATGTACATGACTAAATGCAAATTATGCAAATGAGGACTTTATTTGCATAACTAATGAGGAAATTCTATAATCACAGTGTTTTACATTATACTACTTTCATACATGTAATGTATGTAATCTATGGCAGGGAGAACATCAACAGATACTAATTATGCAAGTGATGACCTAATTTGCATAATTTATGCAAAAATTCTATGATTTCTTAATGGTGAATGATGGGAATGTCATACCTGGGACATCTGTAACTTAATCAAAAGTTAACATACATCGTGATGCATATATCATGTTAATGCAGAGGTAATTTGCATAATTAAAGAAGAAATTTACATTTACATATTAAGCCCATATTTCATGGAGGTATGAAATCTCGGAATTCTTGGTTCGTATTAGTTCCATTACTTGAAATACTGTTTCACCACACAGATATTGATGAATGCACCACGAAGCCTTGTCAACATGGACGCTGCAAGAACAAAGATGGCGGATACAAATGTACCTGCACACCTAGGCCTGGATGGACTGGACAGAACTGCCAGCAAGGTGAGCTTCCCATAATTGTATTGTATTGTGCTGTACTGTGCTGTACTGTACTGTACTGTACTGTATTGTATTGTATTGTATTGTATTGTATGAAAACATTCTGTCTTTGAGCTACAGCATGGTTTTAATTAGTTCATTATTAGTTCCATGACTTGAAATACTGTTTCACCACACAGATATTGATGAATGCACCACGAAGCCTTGTCAACATGGACGCTGTGAGAACAAAGATGGCGGATATAAATGTACCTGCACACCTGGATGGACTGGACAGAACTGTCAGGAAGGTGAGCTTCCCCTATTGTATTGTATTGTATTGTACTGTACTGCACTGTATTGTATTGTATTGTGTTGTATTGTATTGTATGAAAACATTCTGTCTCTGAGCTACAGCATGGTTTTAATTATTACCTCCATGAAAAATGGAGGTATTGTTTTTGGCGTGTCTGTCTGTATGTATGTCTGTCTGTCTGTCTGTGTGTCTGTCTGTGTTTCCGCAACTTTGTGGTCAGCATAACTTCAGAACGCCTTTATGGATTATGATGATATTTGGTATGTTGGTAAGTCTTAGGAAGACAAACGTCAAGGTCAAATATGGGCCTCCTGGTGGATGACCTTGGTACTGCAGCAGAACTTCCCATTTTTGTATCTTTTGTCCTGAACATGCTATGGTCTTGATGTTTTGGTGACAGATAGCTTATCCTGTCAGGAATAAGTGGTGTGAGTTTGGTCCCCCTAGCAGCTTGTTCTGGAACTGCAGGGCACTTTCTGGCGAAATGTTAAAGCCAATAAGTCCAGATAGGAACAACATATTTTCATAATTTTTGGTGTGTAGGTAGCTGAGAGAGAGATGTACATGACTAAATGCAAATTATGCAAATGAGGACTTTATTTGCATAACTAATGAGGAAATTCTATAATTACAGTGTTTTACATTATACTACTTTCATACATGTAATGTATGTAATCTATGGCAGGGAGAACATCAACAGATACTAATTATGCAAATGATGACCTAATTTGCATAATTTATGCAAAAATTCTATGATTTCTTAATGGTGAATGATGGGAATGTCATACCTGGGACATCTGTAACTTAATCAAAAGTTAACATACATCGTGATGCATATATCATGTTAATGCAGAGGTAATTTGCATAATTAAAGAAGAAATTTACATTTACATATTAAGCCCATATTTCATGGAGG